TGTGGGGTTGCACAATAAGCATTGTGGGACACACCATAAGCACTATGGGAATGCGACATTGGGATTGTGGGAACGCACCATAAGCACTCTGGGATTGCACCCTAAGCATTGTGGGAACGCACCACGGGGATTGTGGGAATGCACCCTGGGGGTTGTGGGAACGCACCTTGGGCGTTGTGGGAATGCACCCAGGGGATTGCGGGATTGAACCATATGTACTGTGGGAAAGCACCCTAAGCATTGGGGGAATGTTGGAATGCACCATAAGCATTGTGGGAATGCACCCTGGAGATTGTGGGAATGCACAAGAAGCACTGAGGGAAAGCATCCTAAGCATTGAGGGAACGCACCCTTGGGGTTGTGGGAATGCACCATAAGCATTGTGGAAACACACCCTAGAGATTGCACCTTTGGAATTGTGGGATTGCACCATATGCACTGTGGAAATGCACCATGAGGATTGTGGAAAGGCGCCCAGGGGAATGTGGTAACTCAACCAAATCTTTGAGGGAATGCACCATAAGCACTGTAGGAATTTACACTGGGGATTGTGGAAATGCACCCTGGTGATTGTGGGAAGGCATGATAAGCACTGTGGGATTACATTTTTGGGATTGCGGGAACGCACCCTAGACATTGTGGGATTGCACCCTAGGAATTGTGGGAACGCACCCTAGGAATTGTGGGAACGCACCCTAAGCATTGTGGGAATTAACCCTGAGGATTGTGGGAACGCACCCTGGGGATTGTGGGAATGCACACTGGGGATCTTGGGAAAGCAACCTGAGCATTGTGGAAATGCACCATAAGCATTGTAGAAACGCACCGTAGGGATCGTAGGAACTTACCCTGGGGATTGTGGGAATGCACCCCGAGAATTGTGGGAACTCACCTTAAGTATTGTGGGAATGCACCATAAGGACTGTGGGAATTGACCATAAGTCAATTCCCTGGGATTGTGGGAATGCACCATAAGCACTGTAGAAACGCACCCTAGGGATCGTAGGAACTTATCCTGGGGATTGTGGGAACTCACCTTAAGCAGTGTGGGAATGCACCATAAGGACTGTGGGAATCGACCATAAGTCAATTCCCTGGGATTGTGTGAAACGCAGTAACGCAACCTGGGTGTGGGTACGCTCTCTGGGGATTGTGGGAATGCACCATAAGCACTGCACGATAGCACCCTAGCGATTGTGGGATTGCACCCTAAGCATTGTGGAAACACACCTTAAGCACTGTGAGAACAAATCATAGGGATTGTGTGATTGCACATTGGGGATTGTGGGAATCGACCACAAGTACTGTGGAAACGCTCTCTGGGGATTACATTTTGGGGATTGTGGGAACGCACCCTGGGGATTGTGGGAATGCACTCTAAGCACTGTGGGAAAGCAACCTAGGAATTGTGGAAACTCACCAGAAGCATTGTGGGAACGCACCCCGGGGATTGTGGGAACGCACCCTGTGGTACCTGGGAATGCACCCTGTGGTTTGTGGGTTTGCACCGTAAGGACTGTTGGGAATGCAACCTAGGGATTGTGGAAACGGACCATGTGTTTTGTGGGAACGCACCCTGGGGTTTGTGGGTTTGCACTGTTGGGAACGCAACCTAGGGATTGTAGGAACTTACCCTAGGGGTTGTGGGAACGGACCATGGGGACTGTGGGAACTCACCCTAAGCATTGTGGGAATGCACCATAAGCACTGTAGGAACTTACCCTGGTGATTGTGGGAATGTTGCCCTGAGGATTGTGGGAAAGCACCATAAACATTGTGGGAATACAGAATGGTGATTATGGAAACGAACCTTTAGCACTGTGTGATTGCATTTTGCGGATTGTGGAAACGCACCCTGGGGATTGTGGGAACACACTCTAAGCACTGTAGGAACGCATCCTGGTGATTATAGGCATGCACCCTGGGGATAGTGGGAATGCACCCTAAGCACTGTGGGAAAAGCACCCTACCGATTGTGGGAAAGCACCCTAGGATTGTGGGAACGCAACAAAAGCACTGTGGGAACGTACTCTGGGGGTTGTGGGATTGCACTCTAAGCATTGTGGGAACACACCATAAGCACTGTGGGAACGCGATATTGGGATTGTGGGAGCACACCATAAGCCTTAAGCACTCTGGGAACGCACCCTGGGGATTGTGGGATTGCAGCATTAGCATTGTGAGAACGCACCTTGGAGATTGTGGGAACGCACTCTGGGGCGGGAATGCACTCTGGGGATTATGGGAAATTGAATGCACTCTGGGGTGGGAATGCACCATGGGGATTGTGGGAATGCACTCTGGAGATTGTAGGAACGCACTATGTGGATTGTGGGAATTCACTCTGGAGATTGTAGGAACGCACCATGGGGATTGTGGGAAGACACCATTAGCATTGTGGGAACGCACCTTTAGGGAATTGTGGGAAGGCACCCTAAGTCGGTGTAGTACAGGGTTGTCCAAAAGGTAGATCTCCAAATGTTTTAAAACTACAGCTTCCATGATGCTTTGTTATTCTAAAGGTATGCATAGCATCAAATGGAAATTTCCCTGTAGGCCGCCAGCCCTGGGTGCTTCTGTGTGCTGCAGCTGCAATAAGAGCGCAAGCTTTTGGCCACGCCGGCTACCGGGTGGGTATGCCCCCACAGCATATGTAGTCATACCTGTGCAGCGGCGGTGCTACACTGCACAGAGTGGCTGGCTGGCTGGCTGGCTGCGTGAAGAGCAAGACAGACACTCCCCCTTCCTCCTGCTTGCAGTGCCAGAGGAGCGTGTGGCCTGTTTCAGCAGAGAAGATCGTGGAACCGGAGGACGGCTCATCTTGAGGTAGGGTAAAAGGGAGTTTGGGGGACCTTTCAGTAATGCATTAAATTGAGAGTAGGGAGAGGGGGTGATGTATTAAATGCTTACAGTGCGTTCCCACAATCCCCAGGGGGTGTTCCCAAAATGGTAATGGTGTGTTTCCACAATGCTTAGGGTGCATTCCCACATTGCTTATGGTGTGTTCCCACAATTCCCAGGGTTCGTTCCCACATTCCCCATGGTGCGTTCCCACAATCCCCAGGGTGCTTTCCCACAATCCCCAGGGACAATTCTCCTGAGGGCATCTTAACTAGGATGCATGTGGCGGAACCTATTCATTCTCATTCGGTTGTCCGTACCTATTCTGGAGTTTCCCTGAACGTACCTTTGTGTAGCAGACTGGGTCCTGCTGTATAAAACGTATTTTGCTTTTTTGACTGTCCATACCCCCTGTTTGTTTCCCGAATGGAAGATGTGTGGTCCCCGTTTTATACCCTTTGAACACCGACCTTCTCTGACTCGTTAACTTCAAAGAAGCAATTAGTTCAAGTGCTTTCCCTGGGTGGTCGCCATTTGTATAACTCTTTGGCGGCTACATGATCCCACGAATTCTGGAGAAAACTGTACCGCTGCTCGTTCCCCTCCCAGACCATATAGGAGAACACCATTCGGGAGAAAGAAACTACCGAATAGGGGGAGCATTCACTCCCTAAAAGCCAGGGGGAATGTTCGACGGTGTTTGCACAGGAACTCCCGAAAATTAAACACCCATTGCCTCTTTTCCACTGGAACTATTTTGGACTACCACTTTGTGGCCGGCCGGTCCGAATGGTGATTCCGTTCTACCGAAGGGATCTGAACGCTATTTGGACAACTTGGGTGCTCAGATCCAGTCTATTTGGGAACATAAGGATTGTGGGGTTCCTGTGTAGTATGATTGCATTTTCGGGGTGTTTTGTATATTTCATATGTGGTTTCCTGTAACTGAGAGATAATTGAGTTACAAGTTTTGGACGCAATTATCTCCCAGACACAGGGACGCCTGTGAGGAGTTTGTGTTATGTTGAATGGAGACCCCATGCTGGGGGTCTGTGCAAAAAAGGCCGAGTGTGGCATAATAAAAAACTCAGTTGACTCCCAGAATTGTGTGTCATCCAGTTTCTGGGGAAATGGGCAATATTCACTAAGCAGCGCTTTGTTCCAGCTCAAGAGGACTTGAGCGGAGCTATTCGGTCTCTGAATTGCAGCTCTGTTACAACGCAAAATTCAGAAAGAAAGAGAACCTTGCTCAAAGAATGGCAATATTGTTCAGGTTGCTTTAGTCAGTACTTCAGAAATCCAAGAATTTAAAGCCCAGATTGACACTGCTTTTCAGAAATAAATTGAGAACCTGCAGTTTTGAGCACAGGTAAAGTGTGAACTGAACCAAATACATTTCAGTGGCAGCCATGTAGAGATATTTTGAGATGAATGTGAACGGTAAAATGAAGGAAAATAGCTAGTAACTATAGTTACAGGTGGATATGGACAGCTTACTTAACAGTAGTTTTATTCTTGAAAATACATGAATGAAATAATTAATTTTATTTTTTTTCTGTTAATCCGATTTTTTTATTGAGTGACAATGAGATATCACTAACTAAAAACATTGTACAACTGTCAAAGATATGAGAACACGCAAACATATTATTTGTACATGTTGGGTCGCCACTCGTACGTACATATATATATATATATATATATATATATATATTATTTATTTATTTTTTCGAATATAACATGCTATATAATTATATAGCATGCTAGACAAAACAAGAAAGGGTAATCTTGCTTGACATACATAAGGATTTTTTTTTATTAAATACTATAGTCTTCATGAGATGTTGCAATTTGTACAATTATTGGGAATTTAAATAATGTAAAATAACTGCAAATTCAGCTATCATACTGAAATCATATTTCTACCACAGGCTTTACTTCAAAGAGGTAAGTACGGTACATATTATATATATAGTTAAAACTGCAAAAGAGAAAGATTCAGTTGCATATTTCACAGAGGTTAATGGAAATAAAAAAAAAATGAATTTTGTTAACTCATAACTAGAGATGGGGTGGGAGGGTGATTATGTAAAAAAAAAAAAAAGAAAAGAAATTACATTTTTTTTAGATATATTATATACACGTTTTATAACTGCCCCAGTAATTTTGTCCCTGGCCCCCCATGTGCCCTCCTTATATTTGAATCCTGGAGATGTCACTGACAGGAATACATAGGGTTCAGCTAGTCTCTGAGCAGAGGGAATTGTGGGAGTGAGGGGGAGTTTCCAGTTTAGCAGCAATGGCTGCCTGCAGCTCCATGAATCCCAGCTGTGTGTTTGTGTTTTCTCTCCCACATTGCAAACACTGAGATTGCCCCCTGTATACAGTAGCAGTCAGTGAGTGAGTGAGTGAGACCATGACATGGAGCCACCAGTGCCATAACACAGCACAATGAGCTCTAATTAAAGCTTTAAACAGGGTGATGTGACTGTAGCAAAGACAGCAGGACTATAATCCCCATCATCCCCCAACCTGGCAGACTGAGGAGCTCAGTGGAGAGCAGAGCGCTGAGTACACTGCATGCAGAGAGAAAGAGCCAGCCCCAGCCTGTGTTGTCCTGTTTCCCTGGATACTGCAGTTGAGGTAGTTACTTGGCTGAAATCTGGGCTACCTACCTTGTTTTATCCGCTGCACCGGTGGGTATATCGACAGCCGACATCCAAATGAAGAGTGGCGAAGAGAAACAGAGGATGGTGGAGGAGGTCAGTTTCCCCTGCTCACTGTGAGCCCAGAGAATAAACATTCCATTTATAGAATGTTCACACACTGTAACTTTCTCAACATTGCATTGCAGTGATCTATAAACATGTATCTTATGTTCCCATTAACAAAAAAGGCAAATGAGCATTAGAGTTACTATTCTAAATAAACAACAAAAAATTATCTCATGTGTCAACAGAAACAGCAATGCCTCTATTGATTTACAAAATGAATGTAATATATATATATATATATATATATATATATATAATATCTTTAATGAGTGACATACCAAAGTCCTTTAATGTTACATCAACGTAGCAGTTATTCATTTTACCATACACTAGGGTAAAACACAAATCAGCCATGTGAAAAGTGGTTTACTAAAAAAAAGTCACTAGGCGCTAAGGGGTTAAATCTTCAAACATCACCTGAGGTAGTGCAGGAGGTGCTAATGTTTCTGTTGTGAGAATTGCTACAGCAGATCTGCAGTTAGGTTGCTAAGCTATCACTAAACATCAACCAACTGTGAGTTCCTGTGACAAATAGCATTCCCATGGAACTGCAGAAATATACACTGCTTATACCTTGACATATTTATGAATGAATATTTCCAATACTTAATAATTACAATTAATTTACAGCAAAATGAAGATGTTTTAATTCACTGTTTTTTTTTGTTGTTGTTGTTTTTTATTGAATTGAATACAATAATTGTTATTTACCAAGGTGACATTTGTAGAGAATTATTAAGGGGCATTTAATAAACAAATTGTAAACATTCTATAACTTATTAATTTTTTACACTTGGGCTACTCTGGTTTGGAATCTTCAATAGCCCCACAATGCCACAAACAATTCTTGTTTTGGTAAATAAACCTACAAGTAATACATCACACCATATTTTCCATTAACTTTGTTATTAAAAAAACAACAACCTAAAATGGCAGATTTGAAAAGGTTTGCTACTTTTTAACCCCTTGAGCACTGTGGCATTTGTCCAACTACTGAACCAAAACAAAACCTAGGGAACACTATACCGTGAGGGAAGGGGCACTATAGTTTCCCTTTAAGTGCACCTATACATATTTTTATATATTTTTTTTTTTTTTTAAAGGACAGAACGGGCTTTCTTTTAATATCCTATATGTATATCTAACACAACATTAAGTATGAAGAAAATTTAAAAACAGAAAAAAACAAAACACATTTTCCAAATTTTCTTAGTTTCTATGCATCAAGTGCAACTAAAGGAAAAAAAGAACGCTCCAAATAGATTCACTTATATGTCCTGACTGTTAAAGGGAAACTATAGTGCAAGGAACACAAACTCGTTTTCCTGGCACTATAGATCTCCCCTCTGCCAAGGCCCCCTCCTGTGGCACTGTAGGGGTTAATAAACCTAACATAGAGGGCTTCCATCTGCTAATGTTAGGGCTAATATCAGCGCTAACATCAGCAGAGGGATTAGATAGTAAAAAGTGCTCTGTGATGCTTGATGCATACGCACTATGATTGGGCCTGGGCAGCTGGCACAGGGGGATGGGTCCTTTTCAGACCTTGGGTCTCTATCTCTCCTCTTGCAGGCTCAGAATCACACAGCTCATCAGTCAGTCTGGGGCCACTTACTATGATTGATACTCCTGTCTTCCTGGTGTGAGCATGGATTTAACCCTGCTCATATAAAAATGTAAGGATGTTCCAAGCAATCCAAACATTGATAAATCTCATTCTGTTTAGGACAGCATGGAACATGTAACATCCTGAACTGGTTAAAGGGATACTATAGGCACCAAAACAACTTTAGCTTAATGAAGCAGTTTTTGTGCTGGCATCTAAACATAGTTGCCATACAGCGTATGTGTTATGATTGCTAAGGGTGGAGAGTAGAGGGACATCTTCTTATCTTTTCTCCCTGAATTTCAATTCCTCGGCAGATGGGGAAAAAAAAAACCTAATTTAAAGCTACACCATAGTCATCAAAACAACTTAAGCTTAATAAAGCAGTTTTGGTGTAGAGATTATGCCCCTGAAGTCTCACCGCTCAATTCTCCACCATTTAGAAGTTAAATCACTTTTGTTTCTGTTTATGCAGGCGTAGCCACACTTCCACTGACTGTGAAAAGAAATGGTTTCACTTTCAATCTGATGTAAAAAGTTTTTATTTCCTGCTCTGTAAATTGAACTTTAATTACATACAAGAGGCTCCTGCAGGGTCTAGAAAGCTATTCACAGAACAATGTGATATTCTAAATTAAACAGTATTTTCAATACAGTAAGTGTAAACATTAGATGACTCTTTGCAGGAAGTGTTGAAAGGCTGTGTAAGTCACATGCAGGGAGGTGTGACTAGGGCTGCATAAACAAAGTGATTTAACTCTCAAATAGCAGTGAGACTGCAGCAGCATGATCTACACACCAAAACAGCTTCATTGAGCTAAAGTTGTTTTGGTGACTATAGTGTCCCTTTAAGTAGGCTTTTTTCCAAGTCAATACATTTGCTTGCAAAACCTCTGACACAATGTGTAGATGACATCCCAAGCTATTTTAAAAGAGCTAAAGTAGATTTATCCATGACAGGTTCCGCTTAAATCATCAAGTAAGTTCCTGACAATTCACCATTTAGTGAAAAACCTTGCACGTAACTCTTATAAAATCATGTTGGATTTTCTTTTACTCCTTCCAGAGAGAAGTTTTATGCCAGATTATATGTATTTTTTTGAAAATAAATTGTATTTTTTCAGTAATGCATGGAGAGACTGGGTGGGGCAATATCATCATGGCTTTGTGCCAGATGATAGCTTCACATGGAACTTTCCAGGCTGTTTCTGTAACAAGCATAAGTAAACGAATGTATGTGCCTTCCTCGGATCCAGGGCCAGGTTAACATTGGAGCTAAAACCCAGGCCCTTGCATTGCAATAGGCCCAAACTGGCTGCTGATTTTTTTTTTTTGTCTGCCGCCCTGAATTGTTGGGTGCCATACTTACCTTTGTCCAGGGAGACTCCGATAACTTTAAACGCTTGCCATGGTATATCTACATCTGATCTGTGTAATGATTAAAAATCGGGGGGGCCAGATGTATAGTGAAGGCAGATTTTTTTGTTTTTGACGTCTATACATGTGAGGATGGTTTTATGTATGACTGCAAAGTCTAGTTGCAGGTGGAGGTCAGGTGCATAAGTCCGGAAATGCAAATTATAATTTTGTATTTAGACCAGTGTTCATTTTGGTGGCAAATTTCAATTTAGTTTTAGTCATAGTCTTTTGACTAAATAGCCATTTTAGTTTTAGTCGTATTTTAGTCATCTGAGTTGTTTTAGTTAAGTCTCAAAAAGTTTAGTCGACTAAAATTGTTAGTGGACAACATTAACACTGACTTAGACTCAGCATAATTTTCAGCTCTATACCAATGAGTCCCCAAGTCCAGCATTGCACATACCGCTCATTATCACCCATCTTTCATTGTTCAAAAAGGCTGCCAGTTCTCTACCACTCTTTAAATATTAGTTTTCAGTGTTCTGATTTTAAAGAAAACAGGAAAAAAGGTCAAATTAGAACTACTTTATTTGCTGGCATAGAACCATACTCCCTTACCAGTTTGCTTTAGTACTCTCTGTCTGTGTGCAAACCATATATCACATAATTAGGAATATAGAGATTTTAAAAAAACACCAGGACATATATTTTGTATGATGGCTTCTCCAAACTCATGAGAGAGGTTCTGATCTCAGCATTCTGTCTACCCACATACATACTGGCATGAATCTGTGAATTTTAGTCATCGATTGCGCTACAATTTACGCAAAGTGATTCCAAAATCATTAAGTAATGCAATTAAAAAAACTCTTCAGAACCATAACTGGACAAATTGTACAGGGATAGTAGATTATTTTTAGGTCCTTTTTTTCCCAGTAGTTGAAAGATATTCTAATTTATCAGATGTTAGTAGACCGAGATATTACTGTGTAGACCCAGGTTTGAAGCTTTGCACTACAATGCAGGGCAGACCACACAAAGATATCCAACATTGTGGGACATGTCTCTGTTCCAATGCAGGGTCTATCAATATTCCAGTAACGTACTCTGGGATTGGAATCAAACAACTTCTTGGGCCTGTAGCACATTAAATTACAAAACTTTGGGGGAAAAAGCAGTCAAATTACCAGCCAATTATCTGCAAAATGATTTGCTCTTAATGCATCATGTATTTCCTTGGTATTAGTCTATGCTGGAGATGTTCTATATGTGTAGATCTGAACAGTTGTCACTTGAGTGCCATACCTAATCCTGTTGAATTCATACCTATATTGTTTAATTGCCCACCCTTTTCTCTCTTTAGGAGTTTATTGATGGTGATGCAGCTGAGGTGGAACGTTTGAAAAAGACTTTGAAAGTACAACGGAAAAAGAGAAAGAAACCGGTGTGTGTCCGATGATGTCTAATGCTCCTTGTGCAAAATGTTATTCCTATGTATTACTTTCCCTGTGTCAGTGCACTTTATTACATCTTTATCTTGGCGTGATTTTTCTGCCTACCACTTTGGTTTACACAGATAAATACGCTATAAAGATATGAATTTCCTGTTTGATTAGGCATCGCATATATCTTTGACCTCTGTATACTCTACTCCATTTGCTTACCATTGTCTTGCTATTAAAGTTTGTTAGTTTTTAGTGTCACTCGTAGTTTGTGTTTGTGCGAAAAATTCTATTGACAACAAGGCCCAATTTTTATGCTGTCATACATTTCAGTTAACAATACATTGTTATTCCGGTTAGAGAACAAGATACTTATTAATTGGCATTATTGTGTTGCTTTTTCTACATGCAGTGGCTTCTTTTACTCAATCTTTTGACTGTATTTTTTTTTAATTTTATATGAAATTAGATAATTAACAAATCGTGTTAAATATGCACTGTTTTGTAAATTGCTTTCTGACATCTGTTGACCGTTTTTCTTAATAGCTGGTAGATCCTGCTATAGATGCACAAACAGTGGAGCCAGTGGAAGAATTATCCAGTGTTATCCAACGACAACGCAGTAAGTAAGGCCTGACCTTCTCTACCAATCAGTGACATCATTCTCAAATTATTTTCCAAATAGCTCCACCTGTCAGGGTTCTAATTAGCAATACAGTGCCCAAGCTAAACGCAAACATTACGACCTACGTAACTTCAGGACATGGTAATCAGGAAATAGTGAGTTGTGTTCTAACCTTTGGACCATTCTGTTCCAGGTCTACCTCCACTGACATCTCAGCCATCAAAGTCTCTTTTTGCAGAGAGCTCCATGAGAGAGAGGTTGAGAGAGAAATTAAAGGCTGGACGGGTAATACAAAGTCGCACTTTGCAATTTTCAAACTGTTTTGCTCAGTTTAATGTTCACATTCTAAATCCCTTTAGTAAATATAACTTTTTAACTGAATCATTTACAATACAATGCTCTTCCTTTGGTCTGAGTGCAGTTTGCTTTTAAATTTTTGGTTTTCAATCTAATGTATACAGTATTATCATATGTCGGCTGATAGGCAGGAAGTGAAGACATCCCTCGCATTACTTTGGCCTTCAGAGCCATTCACAGACAAACTATAGATGGCAGGAAATTATCCTTCTAATATTTTGTAATATTTTCAAAACGTCTTTGTGTTTTGAATGCAAATGGTTTGGTGGGTAAATGTAAATTGTTATTCCGCTGAATATGTATTGTGAGGATTCCTGCTTTATATGGATTATAAGACTTCCAGTTGGGTCGTTGTTTTTCTCTTGTTACTTGCAGACCTTATATTCTCTCTAGTTTATCTGTTATCTTTAGCCTGCTGTTAGCTAAAGCTGATGCATCTCTAAATCTTATACTGACTTAATATTCTCTTTGTATATCTGAATTAGTCCAAGGCTGAAAGCATACTACAGCAAGAATCTCCAAGCATCTCGCCACGAAGCTTAACTAGATCTCGACGTACAGGTGCACTGACCAAGTTCGAGGAGGAAGAGGCAAGTATATGTTCAGCCGCAGGTTTTTCTGCTCTTGGGAAATATTTCCATGTACATAGATTGTTCCTTGAGTATTCGGCTGATAATTATTGCAGTCCTGCTTTCTAAGCAGTGACATCCTGCTTCTCCAACTGGAGAAAACCAGCAAGACCCAGGTAGGTTGTCAAACTGTTTGACTTGTTAATGTTGGATGGTGCAAGGGCACTTCTGGCACCATAATCACCAGAGAAGGCTGTAGTGATTATGGTGCTTGGAGTGTGTATTTAACAACACCTATACAGTGTTTAGTTGATCTTAAATAGAGACAACATAATATTTTAGAGAAATATAATTAGGGAGCATAAAAGAGGCTGATGCGTATTTTTTTCAATCTAATTTTAAACAGAGAGAAGCAATTCCTTTACAGCGATTAAGAGATGTTGAAGCACACCTGAATTCGAGAGTAAAATTTCGTGATGCTGTTAAGACAATACAGCAAAAAAAACAGGTAAGAGTCTTCACTTATATATTTGGATATATAAATAAAAACCTCCATCCCTTTGATTTTTCATCCATCATGTTCAGATAAACACTTGTTTCTGTTTAATGCGCCCCAAGCCACAACTACCATGTGACTCATACAATGTCCATGAAAGAATAAAATGTTTTCATTTTGAATCAGATCTTATAGCACAGTGTGTTTACTGTGGAAATTATCTCACCTTATCTTATTTTCAATCGGTTAATTGTACAGTGTTGCCGGCTTTAGCAGGGAGTTAACAGAGCAGGAGATACATCTAAATTCAACATGCTGTTCTAGAAGTAAACCTAAAATCTTTAACGTTTTTGCCAGGGGAGGTGTGACGTGTGCTGCAAAAAAAAAGTTATTTCAGTGGCAGAGAATTGAGCAGTGAGACTGCAGAGGCATGATCCATACACCAAAACTGCTTCATTAAAGGAACACTATAGGCACACAGACAACTTAATCTCAATGAAGTGGTCTGGGTGCCATGTGTACTCATTATAACCCTGCAGCTGAAAACATTTGACATTTTTGCAAAAACGGCAATGTTTTTCTTTGCCGGGTTAACCTGCCTGTAGTGCCTGTCAATACGACCGCTACTATAGGTGCTTCTGTAAAATATGATTGCTTCCCAATGCTTTCCTATATTGACTAAGATCAGCAATCTCAATGATCTCAGCCAAGGGAGGCTGGACCAGCTGTGGACAGAGATGAAACAAGGTAAGTTAGCTGTCAAGCAAGTTAACTTTTAACTTTTAACCCTCTGATGAGAGCCTGTCACCTTAACAGTGACTAGGGCACTATAGCATTAGGAATACACATTTGCATTCCTAACTCTATAGTGTTCCTTTAAGCTAATGTTATTTGGTGCTTAAAAAGTTCCTTTAACTTCAGCTTTACATGAGCACTATATTGGTTTTTAATGCTGACTCAACAAAACACATTTATGATATGTGCTTGGTGACTTTTTTTCAACCTAAATAACTGTTACTTTGTTAAAACTGTGTATATGTTAGCTCATTGACCCGAATTTAAAAGTAAGATTTAAAAAATCCATATAAACTGAAAGTAGGAAGGGGGAAAGCGAAGTTCCATAAAAGATTCCATAAAAGTAGGAAGGAGCTTTTATCCCACTGGCAAAGGCCTTGTTGGCTTTGTGTGCTTTCACCATATAAGTGCCAATGTTGTTTTTCATGGGACATATGGACTCCAAGTCCTCTTAAGCTGGATAGGGGCGAAGTCATTTCTAATTTTTTTTTTTTATATAGAATAGCTTTTTCTATAATTTGAAGTCATGGATGTGTGATTTATATTCAACCACTCCTTGAGCACCTCCGTTTTCATGTTTCATCTTATACAATATTTCTAGTTGTGCCAAGTAAAGAGGTCTTTTTTTCTCAGGTTCAAGATGGCTTTCCCACTGCTGAAGAAAGCTACAATTTCTTTACTGGGAATTTCGATCCAGAGCCAGCGGAAGAAGACCAAAGGATTCCTAAAGCAATCAACAAAGATGACGTGGAAAGAGAATCATCTGAAAAACCAGAACAAAATGAAGAGGAAGAGGAGGGGGACGATGGAATGGTGATTTACCCTTATTTCAGTTGTCCATGATTTCTTTTTAATAATTATTCAGCTTTGTACTTCCATGCGTACTGCCTAGATTTTGAACTCCGGAAATATGAGAAATCTTTTAAACCTGTTTCTTTAAGAAGAAATATTAAGAAGTCCGTTACCTTCTCATGGTGTGTAGATTCATTAAACAATAGGGTGTAGTGCTTTAGATTAAACAATTGTGTTATTTTCCAAATATTCTCTATATAAAGGATGGCATACAGGAATATAAGAAATACTTCATTATGTTAATATAAAAAGTACATATTAGAGGGTAGGCAACCTTGGAGCTCCAGATGTTGTGAACTACATCTCGCGTGATGTTTTGGCTGTAAGAGCATTATGGGAGATGTAGTCCACAACATATGTGATCTACCCCTTAGATAGACTAAGGTCACGCCACAATGCATCAATTTTTATGTTATAAGGCATAGTGAACACTGTGCTTTGTGCTATGACCTGATGTATGGCAAAAAAAACCCCATAAAATATATAACTAAAATATAAAAATATCAAGGACTGCTTTCCTAACTTAAATGAATACACCACATTGGCAAAATAAATTCACAGAGCGATATAAAAAAAGCCTTATATGTTCAAAGAATGTCATAAGTTAAACTTCAGATACACATATAAAAATATGTAATGTGGATAAGTTTTTGTGTTTTCTCTGACGATTTCTTAATTATTTATTTATTTCTACTTGTTTTATTTTCACGTAGGGTGAAGAGGAATCCTTGGTTCATGCAGATGACTTGTTTGTCATTGATCAGACACTGCGTGATTTTATAGAGTTATCACCTGCACAGTACGATGGCTATCACAGCCAGCTGGAGAAGGAAAAAGAGCTATTTTTTATACCAAGTATCCGACGAGGTAATTATTTAGCGTAATCTGCACTTCTTTGATTTGTCAAGCAACACTCTACGGTACATCAAATAGGAACTCATTCTAGAGAATTGGGAATCTCTGAATAAATCACTGCCAGCATTGTTCCTGTTGTATCTGCTTATAAGAGATGAACATGAAAGATGATGGTATACTCAAAAATGTATAACCACTATTTATGTTTTTTTTCTACTCAACAAGATCTCTCTTTGCCGTTGGCCCCAATATGTTCAATATCAAAGGAACACTATAGGGTCAGGAACACAAACGTATTCCTGACCCAGTAGTGTTAAAACCACAATCTATTCCCCCATGTCCCCTCCTTATCCCCCTAAATATAATACAATCTTACTTACAATCTTACTTGTGTTCAAGTCTGCAGCTGCTTGCCCCGTCCCTGGTCTGCTTGCTTGCCTGACATAATCAGAAGTGTTGTTCTGAGTCAATCACAATGCTTTCACATAGGATTGGCTGATACTATCAAGGAGGTAGATCAGGGACAGAGCCAGCACATGCCAAACACAGCCCTGGCCAATCAGCATCTCCTCATATAGATGTATTGAATCAATGCATCTGTATGAGGAAAGTTCAGTGTCTCCATGCAGAGGAAGGAGAATGTTGTGATGCTCACTGTGCAGCACTGCCACAGGAAGCACCTCTAACAGCCATCAAAGGAGTGGCCAGTGGAGTCATCACTAGGCTGTAATGTAAACATTGCATTTTCTCTAAAAAGACAGTGTTTACAGCAAAAAGGGAATGATTCTACTCACCAGAACAAATACAATAAGCTGTAGTTGTTCTGGTGACTATAGTGTCCCTTTAAAGCGTTGCAGGACTCAAACATAATATGTTTGGAAAAAAGCCTTATGGCATATCATTAACAGAGCTGTTTTGTTTAGTAAAAGGGGGAGGAGTGAATGATTCCCTTCTACCCACAGCTACCTTGAGTGTGCGATACCAATCAGGTATTGTCTCTTGTGATCTGAAGACCCAACTTTCATTTACAACTGTACAATTATAAAAAGTAGCAAACTGACCTGGTAGATAGAAGCTAAGGTTTAGAGAACAGTCCACAATGTGACGTGGAAATTATTCTGAAAACAATAAAGTACATTATAAGTGTGGTTGTCATGCTGTACTTTAGATGGTATCAATGCCACTAAGATTTTTATTTAACTTAAACATTTTGTTAATTTGTTTTGCTTACTCATTTCTTAAAATATAGTGCCAACCTCTGAAAAGGTGCCTGAAAACATGCAGCCAAGATACCTTGAAGACGAGGGTTTGTTTATTGGTCAGAGACCGGAGGTATCCCAAACCAATCAGAATATAATAGAGAACAGGATCCTTCGACAAGATGAGGTAAATTGTCTTTCATATTGGAAGCGAATGTCCGCTTATGTATTGACAGGCATTTCTCCATTTGGTTATTACTAAAATAAGATACACTAATTTTACCTGTGATTATTTTGTGTACAATACATTGTGCTATAGCAAATATTTTCTTCTTACATATTTTAATAACTTTGTGGTTAATGGCTTCAGATGATATTCCCTTTGAATTCTTACTTTTGTAAATTACCCTGTGTGTTTTTGTTTTTTAGTACAACCAAAAGATGGTGTTTTTTCCCCATGAGTTTGTAGAGAGTTTACGGTTACTAAGAAAATCACAGTTTGATAGCCTGATTGCTGATTTTGTTGCTTTTTTTTCATTGCTCGGTTTAGTGAATTGTTTGCCTGTCACACCACTTTTTGTGCCAGTGTGGAAGCGATGGAAAACAGTTTCCCCCCCTCCCTGTCCAGTGGGACAAGCGTTCAAATAAACCAATAGAATATCAAGATTTTTGTATGGCATTCAGATATGGATATTATTTTTTTGGATTTGGTAAATCTAAATGTTGAAGGATTTTTTTTGTTGGTTAGTTTTGTAACGAAACATATTGGTTAAATATATTGGTTTTTGTTCAATGTATTATAATGTTTTTATTTTAGTATTCTGATCTCTGTTTTTTAGGGGAGGAAATGGTTTGGTGATGATGGTAAACTCTTAGCCTTGCCCAATCCTATTAAACCATCCTCTACAAGACCTCCAATATTCTTTCTACATGAAGGATTAGATCCTGCCCTGGAAACTGTTTACGTTAAGGTAAATTTTTGTCTGTAATAAAACTCATGTCCAAATGAAACAAAAGGAATTATTCACTAAACTTCAATGTAGCAGACTTTAGAAATTCTTCAACCTGGCTGTAGTCACAGCACGTCTATTTTGCCTAAAGTTTGCCATTCAGTTTTTAATTCACTGCGATTTAAGATTAGTGAGTAAACCTGAGATATTTGTTAAACAGATATTTAACACAGAGCAATACAACTGAAACAACAAATACTGTTTTAAAGGAACCCTATAGCATCAGGAATGCAAACATGTATTTTTAACACTATAGTGTTCTAGAAACCATTTAGCTTTATGATTAGACTTAGATTGGGGACGAGAAACGCTTTTGCGTTAAACGCCGCACACCTCCAATCAAATGCTTCTCTAAGAAGCATGGATTATATATATTTAAATATATCATGTTGAATTCTCACAAAAATGGGAGGTTATTTAATAAATGGAGCTAAATCCTTTAAATATATATTTCTGAATGATAAATATATAAAATGTAAGGGAAACTTTCATTTAGACAAAGTGAAGCCCTCTTTACACATTTTACTAGGTTCCTGTGTTCTAGAGTGTAACAGCTTCTTGTTCCACTAATATCATACTTTGTATATTGGAATGTCTTTTTACTGTGGATAATATTAATAATGATCAATTTGTCTTTAACATAAAGGCAATTCCCCCAAAGCATGCCAGCCAATACATTGTGGATTCAGAAGGTCTTCAAGGGGACTTCCAGCTGGACATTGACATTTCTGGAATCGTATTTACGCATCATCCACTTTTCAGTCGAGAACACGTTCTAGCATCAAGACTGGCGCAATTATACAATCAGTATCTTGGAAGGAAACAGAGAAACCTTTCCAATCTTTTGACAGACAAGGTACATGATTTCATTGTGTTACAATCTGTAGCGGAGCCCTAGTCCTAGCAGGGACTCTCCTCCGCTGGTTACTCTAAAATATACTCTGGAACAAGTATAACACTCCAATGGAAAAGCCAAACACAGTAAAATAATCCAGGAATCTCTCACCTCATCCCCAGCAACTGGACGACACTCAGCTCTGGGGCTATAACTGGTTTTAATAGAGCCACACACGGCCTTTTATGTGAATCCCCATGCAAGAGGTTTCCTGATACATATTCCAGGGGCATTTCCCCACTGGACCTGAGAGTAGACTGAGACAAAATACACAACATAATTACATTAACTCTCAGGTCCAGGATATATACAGTAATAACACCCCAAAACATACAGTTAACAACAAGGTACCCCTTCAAGTCATATATTCTCGGATAGCCTGGATCTGAGTGCCTAACATATCCGAAAAGCGCTCAAGTCCCACGAACGCAGGCTAAACGCAACCGGGTTATAGTTTAGATCGACCGCACACGAGGCACCTGCCCAAAAGGGTTCCATGAAATCAGGCTGTGTGATCGGTCTCTTTCGGGAGTACAAAGCATACTAAAACTAACTGTTCGTGCATAAGCTCATCTCATGTATCTTGATCGGGAGTATGCTCTCCCCGAACGCCACTCTGTTCGTTTGGATTCCTCCAAACCTCCTCTGGAGGTGGAAGTCCCAGCGGTGTTCGCGCCATAGAGTGTCCGATTTTAGTTCCATACACTCGACGACCCAACACCGCTGTCTCTGTTCATGGTTAAAGATGGCCGCTGCCACGTATTTGCACATACAAACAGCGGCCAACCAGCTGACCGATTAGAGTGTTAGTATAATTGCGTTTTTTGGAGGTTACTGGGGTCAACAAGCGGCACACTTCACATATAGGTGGGCTGGCGTTTGGTGTCGAACAGAATACTATTAATATGGGAGTTGAACAATCATGTGAACAGGGTGAATAGCTGGATAATCCAGGGACAGGGTGATCTGTCCCCCACACAAAATATAAGAAAAACATACGAAATAACAGGGGGGGGCAAGATACGGACAGCCCATAGAAGGAATAAAGTGTAACGTCCAAAGGTTCATTCCCTACACAATCTATGTATTTGGTTAAATCATTCTTTTTTCTATATGTTGTGAAATAGCAGTAATGTTTAGATCATATTCCCAAATGAGACGAACTGCAAGTAGTATTCACGTTACCTAATTCTAAGCTTAATCTCTGACGGCAGGGGTGACATATAGTTCTGCAAATAATAGGCACTTATGAGTCATAGGAAATGGTAAGTAGACTATGTAAAAGTTGTTTAAAGTCGAACTCTGTCATCAAAAGTCATATTCTTTATGGAGTTTTAGGGTTTTCAATTAGCACATTGCCTTTCATTACATAGTATGTTAAGCATTATATGTTATGCTGCCTGGATAGATTTCTTTATAAGAAATCTGGTCTCCCTGCATGGAGATGTTTTCCTCACAGAGTCTGATTCTGACAGGTTTATTTACTAAAGTGAGAATTCAAAGTGAATTTCAAATTTATGTTCAAAATAGCTAATTCTTACATTGGTAAAGAACCCTGTGAGCCTCCTCAATGTGTAACTGCCCAAATTCCTTCTCTGCCAGGCAGGTGGCGTCTCTGTGGATGGGCCTGCTTTTTTCCCCTATTTCCCCTCCTTAACTCTTCCCTTCTTCTAATTTCTCTCCTTCCCTTTCCCCTCCATAATTTTCTTCCTGTAGCTTTTCTCCTTCATCATTCCTTCTCAGTTTCTAGATGTTTTCCAGGATGTACGAGTACATTACTCTTACTTCTTTCTCATTTGTTCACCATTGTTGTAGCAAAAAATCTACAATAAAAACCAAAGTTTCAAAAAAACTAATTATACAAGTAGTGGATTTGTAGAGCAGAGGCCATTTTTTTTTTTTTTTTTTTTAATGTAAAGATCAGGTATGCATATATTCCAGAATGGGTGCTACTAAAAAAAAATATATAATTTTCATAAGGAGGTCACTGTTGTTAATATAATGAAAGAAGTCTCTCACTCTTCCCAACAGGGAAGGTTTTATCTAAGTCTATCCCCTCGGCCCTCAAATGGTGGTATGACCATGTAACAGAAATCCACACTTACAAGAGGGGGATAAAAAGTGCCAGAAGGGGGGCATTTCTTGCTCATAGTCTCCTAGTCAAGAAGGCCCTAAAAACATTGCCATTTGGGGGTGGCAATCAATAACAAAATAAATAGGCCAAACTATCTCCCTGTGGGCATCCAGGACATAAAATACTGGGGCAGTTCCACTGGTCTGGGTCCAAGCCCTGAAAAAAAGACAATTAAAAAGTACAATGTAACAACCACAACAAATATTACACTAGTGAGTTTGCCTCTATAAAAACCTGTTGGTAGTCATTATGAAAATGTGTGAAATCAGATATGTGTACATTGTTATGCATCTTAGCAGTAGGGCATTCTAGAGGGTACATGCAGTGTGAAATTGAACAGATTTGTTTGTCACTGTAACTTCAAGTCCAGTCCTCAGAGAGGATGTGATAGACACAGGGCTTCACTTAAAGGGTGTTTTTCTGCCAGTGGCAGGAGGAGATAGTGCTAAAGAATTGAAAAAGGTAACCGTATCTTAAAGCCATGCTATAGTCACCAAAACAACTTGAGCTTAATGAAGCAGTTTTTGTGTATCACTGCTCAATTCTCTGCCATTTAGGAGGTAAATCATTTTTGTTTCTGTTTATGCAGTCCTAGCCACACCTCCCCTGGCTGTGACTGATACAGCATTTATATAAAAAAAATTTGTTTTATATTCCATCATATGTTAATGTGTTTTTAATTTCATCTCATGATCTATAAATTGAGCTCTAATTGCACACATAAGGCACCTGCAAGGTCTAGCAAGCTATTAACAGAGCAGGAGATAAGACATTCTTAATTAAACAGACTGTGCAATAAAGGAAGTGTAAACATCAGATCTCACTTTACAGGAAATGTTTAGGAAGGCTGTGTAAGTCACATGCAGGAAGGTGTGGCTAGGGCTGCATAAACAAAGTGAGACTTCAGGGGCATGATCTATACACCAAAACTGCTTCATAAAGCTAAAGTTGGTTTGGTAACTTTTTTTTTTTTTTTTTTCGTTTCTTATTATTTCAGACATATACCAGCCTTGTATAGTTTGCTAATACTTCTATATTTAAGGCCTTGGTACTCTTGTCATCATCAATATCTCATGTTATCCTATTAAACTCCCTGTGACCTCCCCCCATCTCTTGTTTAATTTTATTGTATATTCTTATTTATCAACTTGCTTTGCCCTGTTGCTTCTGGAGAGAGAGAGAGACACTTATGCCCAGTGTATTTTTCTTATTTTCTTATTGTATTTTGTCTGCCCATCTTTACCTCTTTTCTTTTCCTTCCCAACAACTATAGTGTCCTTTTTAATGTGCAAGGTGAGTGATTAAAATAGTGAGTGCACATGGAAAAACTATTTAGAGATTTTTCTCAGAGCAGAGAGCTCACGTGTATATAGCTTTCCATGACATGCAACTACTTTCAAACATAGTTACATTAGTGTCACCTTCTTACCCATTTCTTTTACTAGTCTTTATTACTAGTATAACCGTTCCTGTTGGATGAAGGGCATGAAGAGTGGAGGGGTCACTGATAGACACCGGGCTAGGGCTATTTATTGTGCTTTTAGAGTGCCTTTAATTACAACCAAATTTGAAATTAGGGCTATTGTATTTTTTATATATATATATCTTCTTAAATATGTTTTGTAGGTAATGTTGTTCTTTAAATGTTGTATGTTTTGATGTAAATTAATTATCCTTTGGTGGTGGTGTTTTTCTTTAAAGCTACATGCTCTGAGGAACGCAGTACAGAACATTTCCACAGCTAACTCACTGCATGGGACCTGCTCAGTTACTGAACAAAGTAAATCGGAATATAAAATGGAAATCAGGTAATGTCTTTTTACCTACAATATTTCACTATTCAAGGAGAATGCTAGTGTTCTAAGGAAAGCGTAGACAAAAGGGTGCATCTTCTTTGGCTAAGTAAAAACATTTAGAATGCAAGCTTCCAATACTATGTAGGACAAACATGTATTCCTGACCCTCGAGTGTTAAAACCACCATCTAGCCCCCCTGGGCCCCTCATGCCTCCATAAATATAGGAAAATATTACTGTATTTAAGCCTGAAGCTGTAGATCTGCATGCTGTTTGCCTCAGTAACACAAGCTGTCTGCTGACATCAGCCTGATCCAATCACAATGCATCCCCCATAGGATTGGCTGAGACTGACAAGGAGGCAGATCAGGGGCAGAGCCAGCATGACTCAAACACAGCCCTGGCCAATCAGCATCTCCTCATAGAGATGAATTGAATCAATGAATCTCTATGAGGAACGTTCAGTGTCTGCACGCAGAGGGAGGAGACACTGAATGTTTGGATGCATTGTAGGCAGCCGTGACCCAGGAAGGATCTCTAACAGCCATCTGAGGAGTGGCCAGTGAAGTTATCACTAGGCTGTAATGTAAACATTGCATTTTCTCTGAAAAGACAGTACTTACTGCAAAAAGCCTGAAGGTAATGATTCTACTCAACAGAACAAATACAATAAGCTGTAGTTGTTCTGGTGACTATAGTGTCCCTTTAATTCAATAAACAAAATTTTGAAATGCAGTAGAATTCAGTTGTGGTTTTCAGTAGATGTTACAGGAGGTTGTTTCTAGTGTTTTTCCACTTCTCTTAATACAGAATGATTGCCTTTAGTTGGCCGTGTTTGGCCTTTTTTACCGACCTTTTCACACAAATGAATATCTGTTACATTATTCAGTTCGCAGGCAAAGTTCCTATTAATCTTGCTGTTTTGTTATGTGGTTGAAGTGGTATGGAGTGCAGATTTCACATATGTAATTATTTCCTACTTAAACCTTTAAGGACCAAACTTCTGGAATAAAAGGGAATCATGACATGTCACACATGTCATGTGTCCTTAAGGGGTTAAAGGACCACTATAGGCACCCAGACCACTTCAGCTTAATGAAGTGGTCTAGGTGCCAGGTCCATCTAGGATTAACCCTTTCTGCTGTAAACATAGCAGTTTCAGAGAAACTGCTATGTTTACAAATGGGTTAATCCAGCCTCTAGTGGCTTTCTCATTGACAGCCGCTAGAGGCGCTTCCGCGCTTCTCACTGTGATTTTCACAGTGAGAAGACACCAGCGTCCATAGGAAAGCATTGAGAATGCTTTCCAATAGACTGGCTGAATGCGCGTGCGGATCTTGCCGCGCATGCGCATTCAGCCGATGATGTCGGAAGGAGGAGGAGAGTCCCCAGCGCCTAGGGAGCCCGGCGCTGGAGAAAGGTGAGTGTTTAACTCCCTTCCTCCCCCTTCAGCCAAGCAGGAGTGGGACCCTGAGGGTGGGGGCACCCTCAGGGCACTATAGTGCCAGGAAAACGAGTTTGTTTTCCTGGCACTATAGTGGTCCTTTAACATCCACATATTACCACGTTATAGATTTCTTCTTTATTATATGGTAGTAGTAGAGTAGAAACCTTACGGCATCAGATATTTTTAGGGTTGTAATTATGAGCTAGGTATTTAAAACATGTTGTATTGGAGTTAGACAAGTCCCCATCTTGCGTATAGGCGCTTGACGAACCCACTGTTTGTTAAGCAACCTAGAACGTTCACATGTTCTTCTGAATTAAATGACTATTTTATTTCACATAAATGAAAAGCTGAATAGTGTAAAAAGGAACGTTCACATATTTACTAGGACAGGGGTCAGCAACCTATGGCCTTTGCACAGCACTCAAGACAGCCAGAGCCAAACAGTCCCAGTGGGACTTCAGATATCTGCTTGTGCAAACCAAGTGGTGATTGCAGGGGGTGACTGAAAATCCTAACTTCACGCAGTGCAGCATTTAAAGACGTTATCTCAGATCACTTCCTCGCAGCACATGTGAACGGTTATCCGCAGTGGAGTAGCTCCTGCCCTTGACCTGTAACTGGCCAGCCAGGTATCCACTGGCAGCCACTCACCCACACTGCTAAGTATATCCAAAGCTGCAGAAAAAGCCTCTCTCTGTCATACAAATAATACAAACAGCCCACTCACAAATATACACACACACAGTCCACACAAGCACAACAGAACTGACAATCTACATACAGTCACACAACCCCACAAGCAGCCTTTCAATGCAATACCACAAGCAGCCCCACACATACACACAGCACCAAACACACAATGTGACACATTATCCAAACACACTATTACAAAAGCAGTCCATATACACAGTACACATTCATATGTATCAGTATCATACACAATACCACAAAGTACTCATGCACATATACAGTATAACAGCCCACATATGCAGAAATACAATAGTACAAAGCAACTGTAGCACCCATAAATAACACAAGCATAATATGGCAACATACACAACAAAATGTAAAAAATGTCCCTTTATGCACATTAGGGACTTATTTCCCTAATGTACCGAGTAACTTCGAATAAGGAAAAACAAGATCAGATTTCAACCCATTTTAAAGTGAAACGTTAGACAATAGCTTGTTGAAAGCAGATGTCATGGAGGTCTTGTGTGATGTGCATTAAATTTAATAACAATTTGACAATTATTTTGTGTATTTTAACTGCTGGCTGACCTGAGGTTAACAGAGACTACAAACATGGGCAGATCCAGTGGAGAGGAGGAGTTGGGTACCAATCTGGCTTCCTTTCACTGCTCATTTGTGCTTATAGTATTTGCACAATGACAAAGAAGTGTAAAGGATGAGGAACAGATGTGACCTCACCGCCTGTCACTAGCTGACCGCCTGTCACTTTAAGAACACAGATCAAGGAATAAGTAAAGAAATGGAGATTCATAAAATCTCCCATATGTGAAAAACACGGCTATTGCCTTGGCAGAGCTTTCGTTATCAGAACTGGTGCATTCTCTGTGCCAGAAAATTTTTATGAGTCAACAGCCCTTCTTCGTTATACGCTTGTGCAAATCATTGATTTTAAATATCAAACTCCAAAATATTAATCCTCATTATTTGTAGAATACTGTAACAAGGAAACGGACGATGTGTATCACCGAGCCATGTGCTAAGTGTTATTCTAAGTAAATGGGTGTGTTTACATCCCGCGAGGACTGGAGCTTGGCACCGCTGATGCGCTGTGCATGATGCAATGATAAGTGTGATAGAGTGGAAATTGCACTGTATATAGGAATACCACTGTAATAGTTCCACATGGTTGGTTTAGTAGAGCCAAGAGAATTACATCTAACATTTCGGATCCTGGAAGGCTTCAATTTAATAACATTACATCAGATAAAGTATATTTGCCTAAACTGTGACATATTGGGAATACATGTTTTTAGTTATGTATGGCTTAAATAAGCAGGTCTAAATATATGTTTTTAAGTCTGTTACAGTTATAATTGATATTGCAATGTTGTGAAAACTGACTAACTTAAAAAAAACGGAAAAAAAAACCGGAAAGCATCGTAATAACCAGAATGATACATTCCCTGACCCTAACATACACTGGAGGTTCTGTAAATCCCACCTCTGGCGGAAAATGGTGAAGCTTCTGGCCACAGGAAATGAAGAATTGGGGGCACAAACAGAACATGCATTGCATAATGGGCATGCTGCTGTAAAAATAACCAAGTATATGCACACTCAACATTAATCCAAAATAATTTCAAATGTTGCAATGCTGCTTAAAATCACCTACCTTAACAAATACAGTAAATATGATGATTTGATGTTCACAACAGCATTCTTGGCAAAGGTAATTCTATTTTATTTTATTTTCATTTTTTTTTTTATCAGCTGCCTATAAATGACACATATACTTTTATTAGTATTAAAATATGACTTAAATTCAATAAACACTAGACTTGGAGATTTGTTTCATTGCTAGAAACAATTTGATGGTTCAAATTCTAGAACTCTGAGCCGAAACATGAGCCAAGCTAAACACACAATGTTTGTTTTTGTCTCCTAAAAAAAGAGATATTTGATTGGATAAAAAGTTTATTGCGGCCAGGGGACAGTTACTGAATGTTTGTTTTATTCATAAATCAAGTAAGAAGTGACAAATATAGGAAAAAAGGAGGAGCAGTTGTAGCTTTAGGAAAGCTGATGGCCTCCAAGACTAACCTCTACCTCACATACCTGTATCTTGCTCTCTCCTAAAGGGCAGCCCACCTTATTTGACTGCAAATTCCTGTCCTAATGTGTTTTACACCCCACCTCCTATAGAATGTAAGTTCGGTTGAGCAGGTTCCTCTTCAACCTATTGTTCCTGTAAGTTTTTTGTAATTGTCCTATTTATAGTTAAATCCCCCTCTCATAATATTGTAAAGCACAACGGAATCTGTTGGCGCTATATAAATGGCAATAATAATAATAATAATAATAATAGCGGACCACGGGTAACCCGACTGGTTACCTCCGCTTATTCCTTCCTTCAGCCACTCTGGAACCACTAAAGCATAGAGACATCCATGCCCCCAGTAACCAGACAAAAAAAAAAACATAGTTCTGGGAGTCAATTCCAATAAACTGAGGTTTATTGGAACACACACAGCTTTTATGCACAGACCCCTACATGGGGTCTCCCATACAATAATACAGGGCTTTTTCTCCCAGCATCCTCTACAGAAACATATACAATATTCTAAAACACTCCAAAAATATATTTTCAAAAGGGGCTAATTTGATTGCATGGCAGGTCAGAGTTTACAATCCAAACTCCTCTTTGAAGCTGGGACCCCAACTGAGTCACTCTGCAAGGTGTGATAAGTCGCACACAAGTGGCCTTATCACTTACATTGATAAAATACTTGTCATAGGAAAGAGAATTAATTGGCCATTACCTTTTGTATTTTACCTTCCAAGGTCAAGTTAAAGAAAAAAGTAACATATATGTGTTTCCAGAGCCTGTTAAAAAGGAAAGATTGTAAAAAAACTGGAGGTTTATTGCACCTGTGGAATAGATTAATTTAAAATAGTAGTTTTAATGTGCTAGTTTTCTTGTTTGCTGCACATCAGTCAGTAAGAAATAATACCAGCTTTTACAGTGAACTTTATATCGTTATTCAATGACTCTGCCTTAACTTAACAGAATAATAAAGCTGTATAGCTCCACACAGAGGAATTAAAGTTATTGGTATTCTTGAGAATTCTCAGGTTTTCATTCCTCGTCTCAGGGCTTTTACTGCTTTCTAAGCGGGGTATATTTTAAGGATCTCAATGTCTGCAGGTATCTAACTCATTTTAAAATGAAATCATTGTTTAAACAGAGATGATATAATAATGGATATCTAAAGTATGGATATTGAAGATAAAAGCACTACTGTTTGTGTGTATGTGTATATATAATTTTTAGCTCATTAAGAATTATAATTTTAATACATCTCTATATCTTCTAGGCTAACGAGAAAATATCGAGACGGAGAACAGGAGAAAGATCGTACTCTTCTTAAATCCATTCTAAAAGCTTGGAAAGAGATTAAATCCCTTCGAGAATTTCAAAGGTTTACCAACACCCCGGTGAAACTCTATTTACGAAAGTAGGTTCATTTCGGAGGTTTATTATGTTGTGTTTTCTCATCAATAACTTGTCTGTGTGAATGGATACCAATCATAAAATCACTGTTTTAGTGTTGTAACACATTAGTCACACAACATGAGAATAGTTAAATTTAGAATATGTTTTTTGTATCCCTTCACCGTGAAATGCATGCACAAAACCACAAAGTATTCTTGGAGTGGAATTAAAAACACCAGTCAAATTTGTCACCATGTCGTAACTGGGATAGAGGCTGGCAAGCAAGACAAGAGGCACTGATGATAACCATATTAATTTTACAGCTTTTGCAGCATTTGTAAAGTTTAAAACGTGGATCTTCTGTTTCTTTCAATGTTGCCAGCTTTTTTTAGACATGCTTGATGTTATTTGTTTGGCAACGATTTTTGCAGATCCACGTAATGTTTACCACCAAAGATTCTACATTTGCTTAACATATGTTGAGCAGGATTTGGTAAAGTTGTCTTTCATAGAAACAAACTAATGGTAAATAGAAACCTTTTAGTCTGTTGAATTGCTGAGCCATGCACATAGTGATATCATGCTATGGGGCTTACAGGTTCCTACTGGTGCATTTATAGGGGAATAGTGATTTGCATCTCATCCTATGGTTCTTATTAGTCTGTGTTTGTCTTGACATTAAGGGAAGAAGTTAAGAGAAAAGTCGATGAGGAAGAATATGAGGCAGAAATTCAGGCTGAGATACATGAACTTATGGAAGAATATACAGAGGAGTATGAAAAGAGTATGACTCAATATAAGAATAACCTCCAGCAATGGAAAGCATGGAGAAGAGCACAGGTATGAAGGACCTACACAAAGATATTGGAATGTATTCTTCATAAACTAAACAGCTAGCCCAATACAGCCAAAATATGGATGCAACTGATATTGCTAATATTGAAATGGAACCTCTGCAATAGCACTCTGGGGCCAGACTGTGTTTGCCTCACCTTGCATGTAGTTCAGGGGTAGACAGCCTTGGGCACTTCACATATAGTGGACTTCATGTCTCATATTGTTCATGCAGCCATAAATGCTGGCAATGCATATTGGGAAATGTATTCCTCAACATCTGTAGCGCCGCAAACTGGAGCATCCGCAGCCTGGCCTCCGCTTCCTATTGCAGTAGTTCCATTTTAACTGTTATAAAGGGTTGCCTAACCTGATCTGACTAAGAAGGGATGCAGTTATTAATGGGCTTAGAATGCCCTTTCAAACAGTTAAACGCTGTTTTTCCTGGAATATTTAACATTATGTTTACTTACTCCCTGCATTTCACAAATATGAATTTGGGAGGTCTAAAAAAATAAAATATTCATTGCTTTTAATTCTATTCTGGAACTAAGCGCCTCCATCATTGTTCTAAGCTCTGACATTTTCTGTCATTGAACATAGTACCTGGAGGTGGAGATACAGAAGCAATGTTTCTATTTCTCCTCTTCAATGCAATGTATGCCTTGGCCGTGTCTGGACTGAACTGCATTGTGGCACCATTTGCTTAATCTTTATTTTTGATTTAAAATAAAAATGGAGCATCACATGAAAAATGTGAACACAATTTATAGGAGATTCTCCTTCTATTCAGTGGTGTAATTTCCAGAAAATTGGTGGTTCCCCTTTAAGGAATTATGCTTGTGATTTTTCCTTAAGATGAATTAATTTGTTTTATTTACCAACCCATGGCAATAGAAGAAGAAGAAGAAGAAAGAAAGCGATGAACAGGAAGATGAGGCAGATCCTGCTTATTTAGGAGAGGAGCCAGTGAAACCTTCACCACCTATAATGACGGATACACAGGAAGTCGAACAGCTGGTTCGAGACAAAGCAGCTAACATCAGGAGGAAACCTGGAGAGCCAATCCTTATACCTGAACTTAGCCTGTCTGGAACCATCACTCCAAATGATATGTGTCCAAGGTAAATGGAATAACTCCTTCATTGGCAAACTATTTTAGGGTGTTTGCAGATTTATTTTTACTTGTGCGTTTGAAATGCAGAAAAAAAAATATAATGCCAAATGTAAAGAAGATCCAATTCATTATGATATTTTACTGTAGTCACTTTGCCTGCCAATAATACATGAAGTATATGTTTGATTTTTCTCTTGACGTTCCAGGGCGGAAGTGCAGAGACGTGAAGACGTTCAGAAGCACTCCATGTTTGTAAAAATTCTTTTCAACAATAAAGAAGTTTCCAGGACTGTGACAAACCGGTTAGGATCAGATTTCCGAGTCCATCTTGGACAAATATTTAATTTGCAGATCTTTAATTGGCCAGAGAGTATTAAGCTGCAGGTAACCTTGCACATGCTACGTATTCTTTTTCTTGTGTTTTCTTGATCCCAAATGAAGGATTTCCATCCCAGCCACTCTTACTCACGTGCATTCATTGCATTCCTCCATAAACAACTTGATTCATACAAGCAAATAGCTGGGAATTCTAAATCCGAAATGTTTCATCCATTTAAAAAAAAAAAAAGAAAAAAAAAAAAAAAGTGAAAGATTTTTTTTATTTTGAATGAATTGATCTTGTTTTGAACAAATTGATTTGTTTATGGATGAATACAGCAAATGCACATGTCTAATGTTTGGACACATAAGAGGGGCCCTAATCCAAATAAAAAGGAACATTTAAATGTTTTTTTCCATAAAATATTTAATTAATAAAAAAACCATTGGGTCGCTGTTTCTCTTTTAGTGTGTATGGATTGTAAGTTATTCAGACCATGAAAGGACCTGTCCTATTACTAGGTTCAGACTTTTTTTTATATAGACATTCACACACTTTCTGGATGAACATTTGTAAATCTTCCAACAGATAAATGAACATTGGTAACCGTGTGACATGGGAGCATGTTCTACCCATGCAGCAGACAATACTGATTGCAAAAAGTTACTAAATTCAATATAGTAGGCCATAAGAAATAACTGAGCAGAGTAAAAAATGTGATATTCTCTTAACGTCTTTAGACCCTTTGTGAACAGGAAATGCAGCCAAAAATAACCAACTATTTATTTAAAAAGTTGCACTGGCATGTTTATTGTTACAGATTTTTGAAAGTGGTGGGCTTAGCAGTACCACACTGCTAGCAGAAGTGTTTATCCCTATTCCTGAAACCACCGTGCTAACTGGAAAAGCCCCCGTGGAAGAAGTGGAATTCAGCAGTAATCAACGAGTAATGTTCAATCATGAAGGTGTCGGCAGCGGTAAGCCTACACCACTTGCTAAACAAATTAGATTAAATTCGGCACTGTATAGTATTACACCTTACCTACTTGTACTAGATCTGGAATATTGTTTCTATTGCCAGCATCTATACTTCGTTACATTTCAGTAAACACACTGTTTGTTTAGCCGCTAAAGGGGGAACGGAGACTGCCGTCTATCTCTCTTTTTGCGATTTACCACGATATTACTGAGAAACAATCTTACAGTTGCCACTATAACTATATCTTACATCACACCTTATGATGTTAGAATTATCCCAAGATTCTGTATACCTTTCGATTATTATGTTCATTGGCTTGTTGTAAATATAGCGTTTAGTCGATGGTCTCCCACGGATTTATATGCACAATTTTGGATTTGTATGTTATTCACAATTGCCAGCCACTATAGAAGCCGATTGGCATGGGTTTATTTGTTACAGCTATTGTCCTATTACCAGTTGAGACAAAACATTGTGCCAATCCTCAATGTGATATATTAGCCCACTAGTGCATACCATTATTTTAATATTTTCTTTTGGTAGATATGTATATTTTTGTTTTCAGGGTGGTGGTGTCGTATACATATATATAAGCTTTATTCTACATGTGTATTAAAAGTTAAGTTTTATGGTTATACCTGCCTATTTTTAGTTCCATTCTATAGGGACACTAGTTACCTACTATCCCTTCCTCCTGTCTTTGACGTCTTAGTTGTGTGCTTGTTTTCCCAGGAACCATCAGCACGTTAAAGGGACACTGTAAACAAATAAACAACGTTAGCTTAGTGGAGTGCTTTTGGTGTATAGATAGAAACATAGAATGTGATGGCAGATAAGAACCATTCGGCCCATCTAATCTGCCCAATTTTCTAAATACTTTCATTAGTCCCTGGCCTTATCTTATAGTAAGGATAGCCTTATGCCTATCCCACGCATGCTTAAACTCCTTTACTGTGTTAACCTCTACCACTTCAGCTGGAAGGCTATTCCATGCATCCACTACCCTCTCAGTAAAATAATACTTCCTGATATTATTTTTAAATCCTTTCCCCTCTAATTTAAGACTATGTCCTCTTGTTGTGGTAGTTTTTCTTCTATTAAATACAGTCTCCTCCTTTACTGTGTTGATTCCCTTTATGTATTTAAATGTTTCTATCATATCCCCCCTGTTTCGTCTTTCCTCCAAGCTATAAATGTTAAGTTCCTTTAACCTTTCCTGGTAAGTTTTATCCTGCAATCCATGAACCAGTTTAGTAGCCCTTCTCTGAACTCTCTCTAAGGTATCAATATCCTTCTGAAGATACGGTCTCCAGTACTGCGTACAATACTCCAAGTGAGGTCTCACCAGTGTTCTGTACAATGGCATGAGCACTTCCCTCTTTCTACTGCTAATACCTCTCCCTATACAACCAAGCTTCTGCTAGCATTTCCTGCTGCCCTATTACATTGTCTGCCTACCTTTAAGTCATCAGAAATAATCACCCCTAAATCCTTTTCCTCAGATGTTGAGGTTAGGACTCTATAAAATATTCTGTACTCTGCCCTTGGGTTTTTACGTCCAAGATGCATTATCTTGCACTTATCCACATTAAATGTCAGTTGCCAAAATTCTGACCATTTTTCTAGTTTACCTAAATCATTTGCCATTTGGCTTATCCCTCCTGGAACATCAACCCTGTTACATATCTTAGTATCATCAGCAAAAAGGCATACCTTACCATCAAGACCTTCTGCAATATCACTAATACAAATATTAAAGAGAATGGGTCCAAGTACAGATCCCTGAGGTACCCCACTGGTGACAAGTCCAAGCTTCGAATATATTCCATTAACTACAACCCTCTGTTGCCTGTCACTCAGCCACTGCCTTACCCATTCAACAATATTCAAATCCAAACTTAAAGATTGCAGTTTATTGATAAGCCTTCTATGTGCAACAGTGTCAAAAACCTTACTGAAATCTAGGTAAGCAATGTCTACTGCACCACCCTGATCTATAATTTTAGTTACCCAATCAAAAAAATCAATAAGATTAGTTTGGCATGATCTCCCTGAAGTAAACCCATGTTGTCTCTGATGTTGAAATCCATGTGTTTTTAGATGTTCATCAATCCTATCCTTTAACATGGTTTCCATCACTTTCCCCACTACTGACGTAAGGCTTACTGGCCTATAGTTGTCCGACTCCTCCCTATTACATTTCTTGTGAATGGGCACAACATTCACTAACTTCCAATCTTCTGGGACTACTCCTGTTAACAATGATTGGTTAAATAAATCTATTAATGGTTTTGCTAGTACACCATTAAGCCCTTTTAATAACTTTGGGTGTATTCCATCAGGTCCCATTGATTTACTTGTCTTTACTTTTGACAGTTGAAATAGAACCTCTTCCTTTGTAAACTCACATGTAACAAATGACTAATTTGTCCTTTTTCCTAACTGAGGCCCTTTTCCTTAATTTTCATCTGTAAATACAGATGATGGTCCTGTAGTCTAACTGCTCGATTCTCTTTCATTTAGATTTGTTTTGTTTTTTTAAATAGTTTTTTTTCATTAAGGCAATAGTCACAAGCAGAGGCAGGTCACAGGCTACAATTTCTTGGCTTTAAATCATGCTCCAAGAGCTTGGAACATTTAGAATGTGTTGCCTTCTGCTCTGTTAATAGTCTGCTAGAGACTGCAGGAACCCCCTGCAGTCTCTGCAGAAACAGAAACAAATGTGATTTTAACTCTTAAATGGCAGAGAATTGAGCAGTGAGGCTGCACAGTCATGATCTATACACCAAGACTGCTTCATCAAGATAAAGTTGCTTTGGTCCTTAGAGTGTCCCTTTAAACATTGAAGGATAGGTTCGAAAGGTAGCTAAAAGCTAAATTGTCCATGACTGTATTTCCAGATCAGGACTGTAGTGTCTCTATTACAGGGTTTTATTTTTTGTACTCTTCCAAAGATTTCCGCCTCGGCCAGATGGCTGTTTCTTACATGTATGTGTAGAGTATTTTTGATGTTATCCTCAAATTTCACTTCTACAAATTCTTTGATCTGGTTAATCTGTTTTCGGTAATTCTATCTTTCCATCATGACATTTTTATATCTTATATACATGCACCATGTACTGGGGTGCAAGTGGTCTGTGTAGTGGATGTAACAGTGAGTGTATTGTAGCATGTGTTCATTTTACTCTATGATCTAGAGTTGCAAATAATTTCTCTTCTCATCCTTCTTTTATATTGTTAGATGTACCATTTTCTTTTGAGTCCGATGGTAGCAATAAGATGTCTTTAATGACTTCAGGAAAAGTGTCTTACTGTGTTTCTTGGGCTGTTGGAGAAAATGGAGTACCTTTGGTCCCTCCCATATCACAACAAATTATCAACAATCAAAGGTAAAAAAAAAACCCCACCTGTGTTTACACTTTGTGATGCATATAGGGGCATTGTTATGGTCAAAAAATATATGGGACTTGACCTAAAAAATAAATTAATGACCCCACCCTTGCCCTTCCCCATTCCACAGCTTAACTTTACTTTGTGGCAATTGGTAAATGATTACAATGACCTGTTTGTTATGTAAATGTATTTATTTTCATCCATACATTTTCTACCAATTTAGGAAAAACCATTCATAGATATCAGCCTTCATATCCTTTTGCATAACAAATTCACAGATTAATTCTATATTATAGAATGTCATCCATTAATGCAAGAAGAGCTCAGGTCCCTTGAATCTCATTAAAGGGGCACTATAGTGTCAGGAACAAAACCGTGCATTCCTAAAACACTATGGTTCTAAAACCACTGTTTAGGTGGTCTGCCCTCCTTAGAAAGGTTATTTACTCAAATTTTTCCAGCACTGCATCTAGACGCTGAACTTTTTCTATAGAGATGCATTCTCTATGAGAAGATTCTGATTGGCAAGAGTGGTGCTTGGCTCCACCTTCTTGGATGACATAGTCAAAATTGATGATATCAGCCAATTACAATGCTTTCCCATAGGAAAGCACTGTATTAGCTGAGTTCTTCAATTTCCGATGATATCAGCCAAGGGGGTGGAGCTGTGGGCGCGGTCAAACGCCACGCCACCATGGCCAATCAACACCTCCTCGTAGAGAATGCATCACTATGGAGAAAGTTCAGCATCTCCATGCAGAGCCTAAGAAGTGGCCACTTGAGGTGTTCCTAGGGAGCAATGTAAACACTGCCTGGTAGTGTTAACATTAAAAAGCCTGCAGGGACTGACTATACTCACCAGAACAAATCCAAGTAGCTGGTGTTTATATATTTTGACATTTTTGCACAGTTCACCAACAGATATCACATCATCATGTATGCGACATCCGCCAAAGAGTATACCGATAATGGTGCATATTATAACATAGGGGAAAAAAGGAAACTGAACGGAGGGTTTTTCTATAGGTAGTATAAAAGAGCTCAGCCAAAAAGAGTGCCACAATATTTCTATTGACAATAGTCACTATTACTATAGATAACAGACCATATATGATACCTCACATTAATTCTGACTAATTAAATATGTACTGAATAACTGGAGGTGGGAGTATAGTGAAGACATGTAAGATATTGCCATGCAGTGGTGAGATGGATTTAGAAATAGACTAGGAAAAAAAAAAAAAAACTATAAAACAGAAAAACAAAGTGTCTTGGTAAACTACGAAGCCATCAGGCTTCCATTCAGGCGGTAGTTTCAGGTCGTTGTAGCAACATATGCGTCTTCACTGACTCCTCTTGGGATAAACGGTGTAACTGAGGATGGATCCCAGTGATGTAGAGGTGTTATGGATGGGACTCCTCTAAGAGAATTCAATGGTAAGCCCAGGTTTTCAAGCATGGCTTTTGCGAAATCCCGGATAGGTCTTTGTGAACTGCCATGAGACTCATAGAGTGTGCAGGAAAGGTTCCAAAGATAGCGACTATTACGTTCTCTGAGAATGGTGGTGAAGGAGCGAAGAGATCTTCTACAAGCCAGCATTCCAGAAGAAAAGTCTGCAAAGAAGGTGCTTTGCATAGATTCGAACTGGAAAGAAGATTTTTTTCTAATGGCTGCGGCCTTCTTTCTGCCGGATTTGAATTGGACCACCATATCGTGTGTTGCTGTTGCGGGTGCTCTGCCCAGTTTCGGGAGCCTGAAAAATCCTTCCAGGTGTACTTAGCCTGCTTATGGATAAGGCCATAAAAAGTCTCCTCAGACTTCTGCCGCCTCTATATAATCGGAAATGCCTCATCTCGAGGTTATTTCTGCAGCATGCATCCTCGAGCTTCGCTATATGCCGCTCCTTTAGCCCCAAAGTGTGCTGCATCCTGGGAAGATTGCTCCAAGGAAGCAAATCACTGTAGGTGACCCCTCATGGCATTTTCCACCGTCTGGAGTCGTCCCATGAGGCCAGAGAGGTCTGACCTGAGTGCCACCAGGGTCGTGGTCTGCATATCAGGCAACAGATTTTTCATCACAGCTGTGGTGATCGGGGAAGAGTCTATCGGCTCTGGAGCACTGGCAGCTTTTGAACGTGCTGGCAAGCAATTTGTCATTCTCACCATCTGCTTATAACTCCTCCAAGAAATCTGAGCGGCCGAAGAAGGAGGCCACCATAGGCCCCATGGTTCCCCTGGCCGCTCTAGTCTGGCGAAAGAGATCTCCAATATAGCCTGGGCTTTTTTTTGTTTTGAGGCCCATCCCTAGTAGGGTGATCCTGGATCACGGTAATTCCTCGGTCAGAGGTACAAAAATGTGTGAAATACACCGAAATTTCACTTTTGAACTAGGAACTACGGGATTACACGTCCATCCCCTCAAAGGCTTGACTCCGCCCCCTAATGTTCATACATTATGGGATAGTCTGCTAGTTTGATGATGTAGTAATCCTAAAATGTCAATGCTGCCAGTGCAATTGGTACTTTTTATACACAGCACCACAGGAGATGCCAATAACTTCATCATTAGCCTGTCCAACCTTAGGCAGCAGTCATATGCTGAGACTATTAAATTAATAATAAAAAAATAAAAAAGAGCAACAGGGACAAATACTGATATTTTTATTTTTTTACTTTGGTAATATCTTGATGGTAAAGCTCAAATGAGGAATGTAGATGTATTCATAATGGAACAGTCAAATACCTTAAATAAGGAAATAAAATATATATATGTATATTGCAAAAGAGAGAGAGAGAGACTGGAGAAAAAAAATGTTTTTTTCATTTTTCCCTATCTGCGTCATGGAATGCCAATGTGAGCTGTCATTGAGCACTGACTTAAAGCAGTAATTAAACCCCACCCTCACTAATACATTACTGAATTCTACACTGATTTGGAGCACCACAGCCATCTGCTTTGGAGGTGAACGAACTGGTTCCCCATATGGACTTTGCTAATTTATACAATGTTCAGCCATATCCATCTGCTGGGCATGAGGAGCAGGGATGAATTTTTATGTAATTTTTCTACAAATCTGTTGATTTTTAAGTAAATATGTGTAGTTTTACATGTATTCATTTTTATTTTAAATTGTTCGGGATTCAAATACAAGTGTTGAAGATCAACATGAAGCTATAATTTCTATTTAAATAAAAAAAGGCTACACTGCCAAAACTACATCACCCAGAGCAGAATGATTTCACTGATTACTTTTATCTACTTATATATTTTACTTGGCTCTATCTCTTTGGGTTTTTTTTTTTTGGTTTTTTTTTACAGTGTCCAACAACATAGGCAGTAGATCTTTGTTGAGAAGGTATGCCCTTGCTCTTGTATATTATCTTAAACAAACCTGCTTTTCCATTTTAGAGCGTTCAACAGAACGGATGCAGTTGCATCTATAGGAGCATCTGGATTAGCGGATATGAAGAAATTAGCCAAATGGGCTGCAGAATCCAAACTTGATCCAAATGATCCCAACAACGCAGCTCTCATGCAGCTTATAATGGTAATAAGAGAGACACAGAAAATATATCCATACATAATGCTGTTTTATTTGTGCTTTTTCCTGACGTTTGAATGAATTAAGGAAACATAATCTACAGTCAATGTATTATATTATGTCATTATCTTTTTGCCATTACAATAATAAGATAGGATGACGATATTCTTATGAGAGAATAAAAAAAAGAAATCACTTGCAACTGATGTGATTTGTCTGGAACTCAAAGTAAACACTAAAGTGAATTTTAAATCTTCAGCCAAAATACCTGCCAACATAGCGGATTAAGAGAATATTTTTCAGTTTTGGTCTAAAATTTAAAATTCACTTGACAATTCATAAAACGTCTGTAGCTCTAATGGCTAAACATGGCACAGCACATTTGTGTGAATTAGATTTTTCATTTAGGTTATCCATAAAAATACATTGTTATTGGAACAGTGTTCATCTACTTTCCCCAGTGTCATAAAATATCAGTGCTGTCCTAAAATATCAGTGCTTGCAGTGTTATTGGTACCTTTTACATACAGCCCTATGAGAAATACCAATTATTTCATCATTAGCCTGTCCAATGTTAAGCAGCAGTGATAATCTGAGATTAAGATAATTTGCCTCTCATGCTCATATCACCGGTGCCATCCAAATCCATGACTAAGGGGCTGAGCTTTAGGCGCCAGGGGAGCCCCAGTTTTTGTCAAACTACTCAAAAGAATGGGATGGGACCTGAAGACATTTTTTGGCTAGCTTGGGGAATACATAACTGAATTTCTAGGTTATCCATCAGTGATAAATTGTTATTGGAATAATGTTTATCCCCTTTCCCCACATCATGCTTATAACTGCAATAAAATGTTGAAGGGCAGCTCAAAAATGCTGTTTTAAAACCTCAATTCTCATACCTGTAGGGTTTGCCCACTTAACATGTGAATACCCATATTCTATCAATAATAAATTAGGTTGTTAATACCTACAGAGGCACCAAGTGATGATTTTTTCTATTTTTTATTTTTAATATTTTTTTATTTTATAAAAAAAGTCTTATATGACTCCTATGCCTTACCAGTAACACTCAGTTTAATTACATTGCATTTGGCTGGTTGAGTCTCATGGTAAAATGTAGTCAGCGAGAACTGCAGTACTTAAGGTAGGGCATCTGAGGTCACTACTAAAAAGCTTAGTTCAATTTCTAAATGCAGAGTATTAGACAAAGTCCACCTGGCTGGGGAGCAGTGCTTTCAGTTCCTGCCTGGGTGAGACTGCAGTGGAAAGCTGTTTGCCGGGGTGAGTGAGTGTGGATAGGACGTAAACTGCTGTGTTCATAATTTAAAGGACATAAACAACATGTTTGATCAAACAGACACATCACAAGGTGTAGTTTAAAAAAAATAGTTAAAAACCCCAACAGAAATTTTTTTTATTATATAGTTTTATTTTTTTTATTGCAAGAAAAACTGGTGGACGAGCCTCCACCGGTACTTTGGACATGTATTCTCCCATCTCTGTTTCCACGTTTTGTAGAGTTCTATGTTGAAATAAAATCTAAATTAAGATGATTTTTTTTTTTTTCAATTTGATTTACATACCTGACACTTTGAAGGTGCAATTTTAAAACAAATAAAGTTCTGAAGAAGAATCAGTAGGGTTGAATTAAAAAATACATATCCCAAAACTTTAAACATTTCTGGAGCACTGTAGTACTCATTATGGGAAAATTTTAAATAATTTTGTGCAAGCTACCACTCATCCTAGAGAAGGCTGTCCACTAAAAATCAATGACCAGGTAAGATAAGCAGCCAAAGTTAATCATCAAAGAGCTGGACAGATCGCAGGTGACTTGTAAGATCAGTGGGACACCTTTTAATCATGATGCTCCACCAAACAGAAATTCATAAACACGTGTTGAGGAAGAAAACATATATCATATCCCATTTAGAGTTCGCTAAAAGGTATGCATGAGACACGGGTAACATGCAGAAAAAAATTCTCGGGTCTGACAAAGTTTTAAATGTAATTTATTGGTCTGTGTAAAACCTTTATTTGCTGAGTAGACTGAAGGCTTCGTATGTTCATTAGAACACCGTCATCACAGTGTGGGATGTATAGTTGAAGCATATTGTAAGGATGCTTTTTATCTGAAGAGACTCAGAAGTTTGGCATGGTTCAGGAAATGGATGGAGCCATATAAAAGGATGTTGTAGAGGACACCTGAGATTGGGGCAGATGTTTCACCTTCCAACAAGAAAATTACCTCACATTGTCACTGAAGATGTTTGATAACAAGAATTTGAATATCTTAAAATTGACTACTTAAAGCTTGGACCTCTGTCTAATTGAGAATATTCACCAGCTATCTTTATCCAAGCTGACAGAGCTTTAGCAATTGTGCCAAGAAGTATTGTAAAAAAGGCAGGGTCCAGATGTGCAAAAAAAACCTCTTACCAGGGTTATTTACCAAAGTGAGAATTTAAGTAAATTGTAAATTTACGGTCATATTGGCTGAACTGGAAAATTATGTCAGTCAGCTACACTTTTAATCCAGCAACTCTGAATTTAAATCTAAAATGTAATAATTGCACAACCAACAAATGTCTGTTTTTTTTTTGTGGGGTATTCTTTTTATAATCTTTAATGCCACCTTATAGCGCTATAAAATGTGGCAAACAATCAGGTGGCAAGTACAGTGACGTAGTTTGTTAGGTAATCAGTTGGTCATCAGTGTAATCAAGGCTGCATTTACTGGCTTGCCATTTTAACAGTCATCCTATATATACATGTACCAGGGTTCTATATAATATTAATAATAATAAAACCACTTTAGCTAGAGGAAGTCCAGATAAAAAGTTACTTGTGAAACATTCAAAAATATCATCTCTTACATAGCTAATTATGCATCATTTTCTGGAAATCTTTTTAGATTGCAAATACTGGAGATGCCTATGTTCCGGAATTTTTCAGACTCGAGCAGCTACAAAAAGAGTTTAATTTTGTGTCTGATGAAGAATTAAACAGATCTAAAAGGTTTAGACTGTTACAACTGCGCAACCAGGAGGTACCAGAATTTAATAATTATAAACTTGTGCCTATAAAGGAGCGGGAGATCCCTGAAAAGATGTTTCTGGTAAGTACAAGAACCGTATCTCTCTGTACAAAATACATTCGATGAATATAGGTCATGTATTAATTTCAGGAACAGTAAACTAGTTTGTTCACGGAGTTTAGAGACTACAGTTTCTTCAAAACAGAATCTATATGCATGTGTCTGCACCTTAGGAATGAACAACATGTTTCAAAAATTAAATGACATCCCTAAAGACCTAAATTTGTTAACCATATAATTCAGATTATAGGTTGGTTTTCAAAATGTATCAAGTCATGAGAATTATGGCAAATGTGTCTTGATCTGAATCAACAGTATCAAAGCCAACTCTTGTCTCCTGTGTCACATCTGGTAAATCTTGACCCTAAAGTATGCAGGTGGCAATAGGAAGCTTGATCTGTTTGAAGGATTTCCAGTTTTCACTTTACATTTCGTAGTGTAAAAAAAAGATCATTTTACAAGGTTTACTCATAATGCTGGTAGCCTGCAAGAACACAACACTAGTTCAGCCAAGTAGCTATGTAATGATGTTTGCGAATATTCTTGGAATAATTCCTACAACAGAATGTTCCCCAGTGCTATTACATAACATAAGAGTATATCTGGCTACAGCACTGGTTTCTAGTGAAATGAATCTAGATCGTTAGAGCTCACATTATCAAGAATAATTAAGGTTCTTGTATTTTCCACCATGAAGGAATATGAGAAGAAATTGCGTGAACAGGATGTAAGCACTGCTGAGAATCATTTGGATGCGCGCCGAGTCCTGGTTGCCAAGTATCTTCAGAAGGTCAGTTAGAGCTGTTAGTGATTTATAGCGTGCACATATTTGCTCATGTTTGTGCGTGATTATCACATTTCTTCCTGCGGGATAAAAAGATAATTCAAAAACAGGATGTAAGAGAATACTAACGGACAAAACGTCCCTTAGTTCCCCTTCGATTTGTCACTGCTGTCGCAAACACATTGTAGAACACTTGTGTCCTTGAAGTGGCAATCTATTTTATTTGTGTGTCAGACTGATGCCGCAAACAAGGGCAGTCCAGAACCAAACTGCTATACAGGTCCTCTCTGCACATGAGATACAGCAACCCTCAACAGTCAGTTTGGACCTCTTTAGCTGTTGTCAATAAGTTGTTGCTGTTACGCCTCTGGACACTGTGAGCAAGGGTCCACATGGGGATAACCCTTTTTACTTAGTTTTGATTTATGCAGACAAGCCAAAACAGGATGTACAGTTGTATCTCTATATTTTAGTTGGCGTCCTAACAATTTGTAAAAGATTTTATATACTACAACACAAAACGTATCTCTTTTTATTTGCTGCAGAACTGAATAAAGCTTGTATTTTTTTTTTTTTGATGTCTTATAGCACACACTAATAGAATTCCTGGGAATATTTGTGGACACTAAATAACCTTTCCTTTATGAATTCATCAGAGTTGTCGGTGATCTATATTTATCTGAAATTATCCAAAAAACACTTTGTTTTCATGAGACAAGTAGGGTAAAGATAACTTTACCGGCTAACCTAGTGCATTTAGAGTGGACGTTTTCATCACCATACTTCTGGCTTGCTGTGATAACCTAATGGCCTTGAAAACTTGCAGTCTAAATCTGCTTGATTAGTCAATAGAGTGTTCACATTTAGATAACTTGTTACCTATCATCCTACAACATGGTGCCACTATCTACTTACAGTTCAAATTCCTTCTAAATGTAATTAACACTTTTTGTGGTTGTGGTGGTTTTATTTTGGACAGGTCAAGGAATCTGTAATGAACAGGTTCTTGATAGCCAAGCATCACTTCATTCTACCTGACTTGGTTGTTGAAGAGACGATACCAAGTCTTGGGTAAGTAACCTTTTACACTTATGCAGATTTACATGGACGAATAATCTTTGCATGTATTACTATATCTGCATGTACAGCCCCAAACATTAATTTTCCTTCTGTTTATGCTTAAAATAACTTTTGATTAATGCCATGTAATTACTAGGTATTTTAAAGATTCATATAGTATTTTAAAGAGTTATATGGCCAGGAACAGTAGAGTTCCTGAAGAAATGACGGTTTAATAAGTAAAATCCTTCTGATAAAATCCTTTTTATTTTTTAAATGGGCTCGATTTAATATTTTTGAAGGACTTAATTTTTTTTTTTTTTACTTTTCAATTTATATTTTATTGCAGCATTGCATAGGATAAACAACAATCCAAACAAATAAAACAAAGTGACACTTTTTTTTTTTGGTCAGGTGCAAGAATAGAAATCATGGCATAAAGTCACCAGCAGGTTTTTTTGTTTTTTAAATTCTTTATTTTGAAAGGTTTTTGGTTTTACAGAAGGGAAAAGCCACACATCATTTGACATTTTATAGCAAGTAGTATCAGTTGGGTGAATACACAATGCAGGGGACAAGACATCAGAGACCTTGTCGTGCTCGCTTGTTCGGGGCACACAGTTGACACGGTTGCTGTGTGGATAGTTTTGGCCTGTATGGTGCCCTAGGCTGTTAATTAGTTTACCCTTTGTGGATCTGGTTGAGCGGTGCAAGCATATCTGAGAATGGCCCGGGCGGAGATATATACAATGTGCATCTGATGCTGTGTCGCCCACCTGGTATCCTATGTCGGTGTGTATTCTTGTCATGAGGGTGGCTAATAGAGAACCAGGGGGGGAAAAAGTACAGTGGGATGTCAGACGGCGAAGTGTGAGTTGTGATCAGGAGCCCTAGCTGGGAATTTGTATGCAGGGGATTTGTGTGCCGTGGGTGTTTGCAGGTGTCTGATGTGGAGAGATTGCCTACTGCTTCCCGTATTTGCGGTCCCTGTCAAAGATATGCTAGATTCCCCGGAATGCCGCTAGCAGGTTTAAATGTTTATGTCAGACTGCGGTATGTATTGTCAGCTAGTGTTCTCCAAGTTTGTGATGTCAGCAGAGAACCCACACTGTCAAGTCAGTGTTAATAGGTACAGCCTAATTATTAAAAACATGTTTACTACAACAGAAATGTTTACATCAGTATGCTATAAAGGCAATATCAGCTATGAGTTGCACACATAATAAGTTGGCTGATACTGTTTAGTAATACACACGCTTACATTTGGAGGGGATTTAAGCTTTTTGGGAGTGTAGTAACTGTTTTACATACAATAATCGGGGCTTTTGGTTCTGTAAGTTAATTACTAATCAAGTCACGATGAATGACTTAATAAAGAACTGAACCGAAAAGGTACCAACATCAGACAAACAGTAACACAAAAAACAAACATACCAGGTATCATATCTCCAGCTATGGGCCGGCAAATTAAATATTAAAAAAATATTTTTCAATAAACTTTTAAAAATTATATAATGAAAATTTTGTTAATCTTTAGCTTTTAAAAAAAATGTATTTATATATTTTTATTTTTGGTAATTTACTTTTTAAAAAAAATTAAATAAATAAATAAAACAAAAGCTTGTCCAAAAATATTAAATTCGAGTTCTATCTTTGAAGAAGTGGCAATGTGTTTCTTTAATGGCAATGCATTCTGTGGCAAGAACTGCTGAAATAACTCCGTGTACCACTAGCTCATTTTGCCATTTCTAAGGAAAAACCATAGATTACAGCTATTTAAGAGTAGATTGTGTATTACAGATCCATTTACAAGTTTTTTGTTTTTTTTGTTTGTTTATATTTTGGGGTGGGTTCCGGAAAGATATAAAATAACCTATTTTGGATAACTCCAGACCTTCTAACTATTTAATGTTTACTCCAGGGCCAGTAAAGGCTTGTGCTCAGCACAAAGTGCCCTTTCGCCATTTGTAAAAACAAGACCCAAGATTCTGGCAGAATCCCAGCTTAATTATGTGCAGGTGTTAGTTGAGCTCTTTACACTCTCTGGTTGAAATGATCAGCTGGTTTTATCCGCACTGATCTGACTGTAGCATCTGATTGAGCCGACTCCTAGACCTAACTGTGTAGCCCTGGTATTTTACTGATAGTGTCCGTGTATATGGCACAGTGAAACTGAATATTATTATAAATTCCAACAACCACAGTCACTATCGCAATGTACAGACCAATGTTGCAATCCGTACCATTGAGATAACCGTCTCAGATAAAGTTGTTGCTATTTATTTAGCTTACTATATTTGTTATATATGCCATATAAATTAAGAAAACACTTTGCAATTTGTCTACATATATCCTGAGTGTACACAGTTATCCAATTTGGCTATGATTATCCTTTTAATCTGTTCATTTATTTATTTTATTCTTATCCAGGGTGCTTTAATGGTATTTATAGCTTAATTGGTCTATACATTGTCATTGGGATGATAACCATGCTTGATTCAACATATATTTTGCATGTCTCGAAGTTAATCTTTGTTACCTGTAGGTGCGTTGAAATCAAGGTTACCCCTATTTCATGGTTTCTTGCCTCTCTATGTGTATCAGTAAAGACTAGGGTAGTCCGTCTAACTGTTCTGTCTCACATCTAATTAACTTGTTTCACAATCACAGTTTGCAGCATGAACGAACATAGTATGTGTCTGTTTTAATGATTGATGTTTATACTCTTCCTCTGCTTCTCATTGTTTTCTAAGCTCTGGTGGCTCCGGGTATGTCATCTTTCATTGTTTCCATTTTACTTTTCATCTGACTCATGGACAATAAACCAGGAGTGTTTAATAAACTGACAGTATTGATCTAGTTAGCGCATTGATTATTGTCTTTGTGTATTATACGTACATGTAAAAAAAATCTTTTCCATAAACACGGATTAACGTTTCACTGAGCACAGTCCCTATTAGTGGACTTTTTTTGTGGTCACTTACTATTTTAATCAAGGAACGTTGGATTTTTATGGACACACAAATTCTATTTCTATTGACACATGCTAGTTATTGCTTTTTTTAGTCCATGTTTTATTTTTAAGCAAACATGCTTGATGTCGTCCAGCAACATCCAGAATATCAATTCGAAACACAGGCCTTGATCACAATCAGTCTTTAGACAATTATTTTTAACATGTTTACAGCTGCCAATGAGCCATTAACGATGTCAGTACAATCACCCCATTCTGATACTTTCCAACCGTGTGTTCTGCACAAGTGCCACTATACATTACATAGGCTGAAAAGAGACATGTGTCCATGAAGTTCAGCCTTCCTCACATGTTTTTGCTGTTGATCCAAAATAAGGCAAAAAAAACCCAGTTCGAAGCACTTCCAATTTTGCAACAAACTCCCTCTTGACCCCAGTATGGCAGTCAGATTTATCCATGGTTCAAGAAGCTATTACCCCACATTGGAAAATTATATAATGGAATATTCTGTTTTTGCAAGTATGCATCTAGTTGCTGTTTAAACATTTGTATAGACTCTGTTAAAACCACTTTTCCAGGCAGAGAATTATATATCCTTTTTGCTTTTACAGTAAAAAAAAAACATTCATTTGCCTTAGACCAAATCTTCATTCTTCCAGTCTAAACATATAACCTTGTGTCCTTTGTAAGGTGTTTGTGAATACATTCCCACACAATGGTTTGTACTGGCCCCGGATATATTTGTATAATGTTATCATATCCCCTCTCAGGCGACGTTTTTTTAAACTAAAGAGGTTTACATTTGTTAACATTTCTTCATAGCTGAAATGTTCCATTCCTTTTCTTAATTTTGTAGCCTGCCTTTGCACTCTTTCTAGTGCCATAATAGCCTTCTTTAGAACAGGTGCCCAAAATTGCACAGCATATTCAATATATGTGGTCTTACCAGTGATTTATAAAGAGGAAAAATTATATTTTCATCCCGAGAATGAATGCCCTTTTCCATGCTGATTGACATTGCACATTGTTGCATAGTTTATTGTCTAGAACAATTCCCAAGTCCTTCTCATGTGTTATCCCTAATTCGCATTCGCTTCTACTAAGGGTATAAGTTGCTTGTGCATTCTTTACGCCAAAGTGCAGAACCTTGGATTTTTCTACATTAAATTTCATCTGCCATTTGAGTGCCTAGTCCCCCAGTCTATCTAAATCTATCTACATTAATCAGTCAAGCTTAAGAGACCACACACTCTTTGAATAAAACACACATATATGTATGTCCGTTTAGAACACAATAGTTTTAATGCAACTCTTGTTACTAATAGATACTATTCCTGCTATCGGCATCTTTCAACTCACAATGTAAACAAAGATCCTCCAATATCTCCATTTAGTTTGTCGCTAATCCCAGCATATTATTCTTGAGATGACACTACATGACACAAGATGTCATGCCTTGAAAAAGGCTGTGCATATCGGCAAGTATTCTAAGGGGTTTGTCATCCCCTGTGCTTGGAGTACCAGTGTATTGGATTATTATCCCATAGGATGTGTGCAGTCCCTACTGGAAACATATTTGGTAACTATAAATGACGATGACTAGAGTTGAGCTAAGTTTCAAGTCGATAATAAATTCTAGCTTCATTGGCATTACCCTCAGTAAATTGTAATTATGCTGAAAACATCTAATAACAGCCAAAGTACAGGAAATGTTAGCACCTGAACGCTGGTGCTGGATTGTGATCAAGGCCTCAGTCGTCAACCAGAATTTCCATATCTGAATAAAGGAAGTTTTCTTCCAATGTCCCAGGTCACTATACAGTTGGGAATCTGAGTATATTTTTTCTCTTTAAACATTCTCAATTATCTTTACCCTGCAAAATGCAAATGATAAACTCTTTTCAATAATATTTTATTATTACAACTTTTAGACAATTCTTCCACCATTTTAGTTTTTTCATGTTTATGGAGTGGTTCTGTTTACATTAGTTATTATAGAGCCAGTTTTTAATATACAGTACAGTCCTCTTACGAGTTCATGGAAATGGTTGGAAAATCAAACCTAATTCAAGTGAGAAATTAACCCCTTAAGGACACATGACGGGAATATTCCGTCATGATTCCATGTTATTCCAGAAGTTGTGTCCTTAAAGGGTTAAACAGGTGTTTAACTTTGGATAATTGGGTTGCAAGCTGGGAAGCTCAATACATTTTAAGTGTCACAGGAAATCTGTGGAGCATCATCTACGTTTGGACTGCATCACTTATCATCCTCATAACAGTTACTGTTCAATAGCTGGACAGCTACAGATTTCTCAGCCTTACATTTTCCTCTACAAAAATACCAAGTACCGTTTAGAAAAGTGCAGTGGTTATGCTTGGTATTAAATCAAAATAATAAACTATTAATCCTTAAAAAGTTTCTTCCCCACAAACATTTTTTAAATTGTTATGTTGAATATTTAAACTGTATCACTTTAAAGATTCTGAAATACATTTTACAGTAATGAAGCAATTATGATGTTACGTGAAATGTATTCAGTTATACACCTTTCACATGGCTTTCATCACATGAGGCTACGAGAACCATATTCCAACCATTTATGGTGAACTTTGATGGGAACGCTAGCATAGTTAAATATTTAGAACATGTTTAATCCAAAAATAATATTGTATAAGGCAGCAGAAGCGTAACCCAAGATGCGCATTGTGTTACTTTGACAGAATCTTAGGAATGGATCTTTTTAAATTGGCCGAGCCAAAACGCCCATTGAAGCCAAGACGGAAAGAACGCAAGAAAGTTACTGCCCAAAACTTATCCGATGGTGACATCAAGGTCCTGGTTAATGTCATTCGTGCCTATGACATTCCCGTTAGAAAACCTGTATCCAGGTATGCACATTGTGTTTAAATAGTCATTGTTGCATAGCAGACTTTAAAAGCAGTACTTGCACCAAAATTAACCCCACCACGGTTATCATATGTTGTGGAGAAGTCTAGACGAGACATATCAAAAAATAATTTGATCACCAGGACTAATATGGTATTTGTCGGATTTCAAGTTAAAAGATTTCTGACCAACATTTAAATGTGCATACATATGTTAGTTGTTTAACTAGTTATTTTATGTGTTTATTTATTATTGTAGTTAGAATACTAGTTATAATATGTCTTTAGATATTATTTTTGTTGTGTTCTTCCTATATTATGAAAACAAACACTTGCCTGTCAATGCGTTAGCATCCTGCAGAGATAATCGTGTTTCTTGTTTATCTTTTGTAAATTCTAGAATAATGAGTAATGAGCTGAGTATAATTTGTTTTCAGTAAACCCGCACAACCATCTCGGTCCGCACGATCATTTAATGAAATGTTTACAGTAACCGCATCACCCCAGGTCCAGTCGCAAACACCCGAATGGACCATTCACCAGGTACCCAGTTATTTGATCTACTTTTTTTTAAATAAAAATATGCACACATATGTTTTTACAGCCTGTACAACACAGCTGATTGGGTTTTGGGGGAATGCTTAAAACATCCGAAGAGACTGTGAATGGCAGCTAGTGTTAAAAACCCTCAATTGCTGAGAGAATTATTTCTGCATCTTTGTTTTTATAAAGAAATTTGGGAACCCCTCTGTTTTATTGTATATGACAATGTCACTGTGTCAAGCAATGAGTGACCATAAGGAACAGAACAGTCTTCAGTGTGTAGTATGAAGGGTCCCTGCACGTGCATTTAATAAAAAATTAAAAACATTGTATTACCATACTCTGTTAATTTTATTTATCCTGTTTCTGTTAAGGAATCAAAAAATGGAAAATATTTAAAAAGGGCTACATCAAGTCCTGTGACTTAAAGAAAGATTTTGGCTTACTAGGATTATTCAGCTGATGTAATAGAATAAAGTTCTCTGGGGAAAAGAACAGCTGTTAACTCTCCTTAATATAAGAAAAGGAAGAGATATCGTGTCTCGTGTTTTTACGAGAGCGCGTGAAGGTGTCAGCCTACACCTGTTTTAGTGGGCTATTTTAGCTAATACATTCTTTTGTGTATCGTTTTTTTTTTTTGTTTGTTTTTTTTTCTCTGTACATTTTTTATTTTGATTTATTTTGTTTGTGGTTATTCTTGTTCCCTTTATTCCATTCAATGGACTTTTTCTCTTAGGGATTAAATGTTATGTTTTATATATACCGTATATTAATTCAAATTTAGGATCTGGTTCTGTTCAGTGCTTTATTCCTTTCCATTCTCTGTTGCATCCTCCATCTCTTCCTTTTTTGTACATTTACACCATGGTTAACCCCCACTAGGAGGGTATGCAACTCTAGGCTCCACTTGTTTTCTTCTTTATCTTTCCTTTTTCAAAAACTCCTTAATATCAGGTTTAATGCTGTGTAACTGTATAGTACTATTTTATTAGTCATCAAATCAGAGAAGGGCTACTAAACTGGTTCATGGATTGCGGGATAAAACTTACCAGGAAAGGTTAAAGGATCTTAACATGTATAGCTTGGAGGAAAGATGAGACAGGGGGGATATGATAGAAACATTAAATACATAAAAGGAATTAACACCGTAAAGGAGGAGACTATATTTAAAAGAAGAAAAACTACCACAACAAGAGAACATAGTCTTAAATTAGAGGGACAGAGGTTTAAAAATATCAGGAAGTATTACTTTACTGAGAGGGTAGTGGATGCATGGAATAGCCTTCCAGCTGGAGTGGTAGAGGTTAACACAGTGAACGAGTTTCAGCATGCATGGGATAGGCATAAGGCTATCCTAACTATAAGATAAGGCCAGGGACTAATGAAAGTATTTAGAAAATTGGGCAGACTAGATGGGCCGAATGGTTCTTATCTGCCGTCACATTCTATGTTTCTAATTCTAGAACATACTTGGCCAAAATATAGTTTAGGAAATTGAGGCATTTATGAACTGACACAATTTTATTTTCTATAAAGCAGAGCAAGACCTATAACTTATATATACAACAAAATATCTTTTTCAGTCTAGGGCATATCTCTCTTATGTCTAAATTCTATAAGATGAGGTAAGCTTATCTCATGAGGTGGAAAATCATTTTTTCCACAGAAGTCAATAGGAACATTGCTATTTAAAGGGACACTCCAGTGCCAGGAAAACAAATCATTTCCTGGCACTGCAGGTCTCCTCTCCCTCCCACCCCCCATCCCATGTTGCTGAAGGGGTTTAGAACCCCTTCAGTGACTTACCCAAGTGACTTGTCCCTCGGTGCTGGTTTAGGGTCCGCCCACTCTCCTCCCCATCCGGCGGGGGAGACCTAATGCTTTCCTATGGGGATTTTGGCGACACTGGAGGTCCTCAGAAAACCTGTGCTATAAACCAGGAAGTCCCCTCTAGTGGCTGTCTAGTAGACAGCCACTAGAGGAGGAGTTAACCCTGCAATGTAAATATTGCAGTTTATGATAACTGCAATATTTACAGTTGCAGGGTTAAGGGAGTTGGGAATCCACCATTTTACACTATGCTTGTGTACTCACAACACTTTATCTAAAAGAAGCTATATTCGCTTTCATTAACCCAAGGAATTAGGTACCTGTAGTCAAAAGAAAAGTGCATGGGGAACCTTAATCCCTCCTGATTGCTTAGTATTTCGTCATCCAAAAGAATGGGCTCCAGATTATAGCTGCAATTTCATTGATTTGTATCATAAATAACCTCCTTTTCAGTGCAGAAATGACACTTTCTATCCTCTTATGCCAGGTCTTAGTTCGGCCATTTGTAGAGGTGTCTTTTCAACGTACTGTGTGCCAAACGTCAACTGCAGATGGACCAAATCCAAATTGGAACGAAGAACTGGAGCTACCTTTTAGGTGACAAAAAAAAAATATGCACCTTCTTAAATATCCTCTCATTACAAACAAATGTAACACTGGATTTAAAAACAGAATAGTGTGTGCATGAATGAATATACAGTATGAATGTATAGTGAAATGACTCATTTGGTTTGTGCAACAGCTTTACTAACTACAATTCCGGTTCCATCCTCCGTGTCATAGTTTTGATCCCTGAAAGGGTAAGATCTATCCCTTCACCATTGTGTATTCATTGTTTTCAAACATAATAAGCTACTTAGGATAGAAGCTGTAAACGTGCAAATTTATACCTCCACACCCCAGTTTAGAACAAAGATTATTTATGAGTTGTAATAAAAATTATCTTTATTTTAGACCATATTAAAACTATTACATGGAGTCAGAAAATAGCTAGGATGAAAATAGACCTGATAAAACCACGGAGGTTAAAGCATAATGCTTTTTAATAATGTCTAAAATGAAGATTATTCTTATTACAAGCCACAAGCCATTTTTTGTTCTGATGTGAAGTGCTGATGTTCAGCCTAGCCTTTCACCCCACTGACATCTATATTATGATTGCTATTGAGTTGGGAATATGACATGGGTAATGTATGACATGCTTGTAAGTACATAGATCTCAACATATCCGTTACAGTAAAATACGTTGACATTTTTATGTAAAGATTTAAAAAGACAAAAGCAAGAACATAAAAATATAGTATAGGCTGTAAAGTGTAGGTTTAATTAAATCTACAGTTGCTCTCACAAACCATTGTTTGCCACGGACGTGGTAAGTAATTGCAGCTGTAATCAGCTTGACTCTCATATTACAAGAGCTCCAACTGTCTGTTCAGAATAGAGCAAAAAAGAATGGGCGTATTAGACATGTAATCGTTGGTTAATAAAGTAACTACTATTCTAATTTATAATAGAATACCACTCCTGATAGATATTTAAAGTGATATACCTTAAATGAGTTATTGCGTACATAAGCCATCTTCTCTTGTTTATTTTTACGTGTACTGATTGTGGAAAATGAATGGACTAAAGTGTTTTGGATAGGAATGGTATGGATAAGATGTATGGTATGGAGCTAAATAGATCTTGGGGTGGATAATAATAATGGTACTAAAAGGGTTACTCCAAGCATCATGACCATTTTAGTGATTTGATGTGGTCATGGTTTGTGGAGTCTCTATGTAGAGCTTTTGCTATGGCTCCTAACCGTTATCCAATGGAGGTATATGAGGGGTGTATACTATGACTCCTAACCGTTATCCAATGGAAGTATATGAGGGGTGTATACTATGACTCCTAACCGTTATCCAATGGAGGTATATGAGGGGTGGTCACTATGGCTCCTAACCGTTATCCAATGGAGGTATATGAGGGGTGTATACTATGGCTCCTAACCGTTATCCAATGGAGGTATATGAGGTGTGTTCACTATGACTCCTAACCGTTATCCAATGGAGGTATATGAGGGGTGTATACTATGGCTCCTCGATCGTTATCCAATGGAGGTATATGAGGGGTGTTCACTATGACTCCTAACCGTTATCCAATGGAGGTATATGAGGGGTGTTCACTATGGCTCCTAACCGTTATCCAATGGAGGTATATGAGGGGTGTATACTATGGCTCCTAACCGTTATCCAATGGAGGTATATGAGGTGTGTTCACTATGACTCCTAACCGTTATCCAATGGAGGTATATGAGGGGTGTATACTATGGCTCCTCGATCGTTATCCAATGGAGGTATATGAGGGGTGTTCACTATGACTCCTAACCGTTATCCAATGGAGGTATATGAGGGGTGTTCACTATGGCTCCTAACCATTATCCAATGGAGGTATATGAGGGGTGTATACTATGGCTCCTAACCGTTATCCAATGGAGGTATATGAGGTGTGTTCACTATGACTCCTAACAGTTATCCAATGGAGGTATATGAGGGGTGTATACTATGGCTCCTCGATCGTTATCCAATGGAGGTATATGAGGGGTGTTCACTATGACTCCTAACCGTTATCCAATGGAGGTATATGAGCGGTGTTTACTATGACTCCTAACCGTTATCCAATAGAGGTATATGAGAAGTGTTCACTATGACTCCTAACCGTTATCCAATGGAGGTATATGAGGGGTGTATACTATGGCTCCTCGATCGTTATCCAATGGAGGTATATGAGGTGTGTTCACTGTGGCTCCTCGATTGTTATCCAATGGAGGTATAGGAGGGGTGTTCACTATGACTCCTAACCGTTATCCAATGGAGGTATATGAGAGGTGTTCACTATGACTCCTAACCGTTATCCAATGGAGGTATATAAGGGGTGTATACAATGGCTCCTCGATCGTTATCCAATGGAGGTATATGAGGGGTGTTTACTATGACTCCTAACCGTTATCCAATGGAGGTATATGAGGGGTGTATACTATGACTCCTAACCGTTATTCAATGGAGGTATATGAGGGGTGTTCACTATGACTCCTAACCGTTATCCAATGGAGGTATATGAGGGGTGTTCACTATGACTCCTAACCGTTATCCAATGGTGGTATAGGAAAGTATTACTATTACATTTGCCAGGATGAAAGAGTTCTTCAATGTTTCTGAATTACATATTAACTAGATTTTGTAAATAAGAATAGATAACATTTTCATATAAGTCACAGTAATATATAAAACAAAACTTGGGAAATAAATTATAAATGTTTTAGAAACATAGAATGTGACGGCAGATAAGAACCATTCGGCCCATCTAGTCTGCCCAATTGTCTTACGGCTATTGAGCACACTGACAAAAGTACGACTCCAAGGGGCCAATAAATGCATTTTGCTGCAAGTGTATGTAGGAGATACTCTGCTGATATATTTATAATCCAGCATTATTTTTGGTTTCCTTAACACTGTCCATATTATCTATCTCACTGGTATATCTGGTCTAAAAGTATTTAAAGTGAGAGAAATATTGTATCAGGGCTACCACAATATTGTATTATTCATTAAAAAAAAAAATCAGACAAACATTAAGTATAATGACTATGCAAAGCGAGTTAATGTTTTAAGGTTTTATGAGTTAGACGTGTTATATGAATGGTCAATATTTCTCTTGAACCCTTGACAACAGCAGACATTTGTTGTGTGTATTACGATGTTTATCACTGTTTTTTTTGTTGTTTTTTTGTAGAGCTCCTAATGGCGATTACAGCACCAGCAGTTTGCAGTCAGTGAACGATGACGTCTTTATCAATGTCTTTGATGAAGTATCCTATGATATTTTAGAGGTTAATTTTTGTTGAGTTATACTGCATAGCCAGTGATGACTAAACTTAGCAATTCAGTCATATCAAAGTCAATTTACCTGGGAGCCACCGGCCAAGTTGTTGTCTTCCATGGAAGTTGCAGATAAGTACTGCCAGACTCCTATACATGCAAACAACTGCACACTCCTATACACACACAACAACACACATCCATACACACAGACACACACACACAACTGCACACTAATATACAAGCACATAAATACACACTCCCAAACACCGTTGCACACATATAATGTATGACTCCCCAGCACCTGTAGCATATCTGAATTCTTAATGGAGGCTGCTTCTCTGAGCTAGGTGCACAGGCCAGCATCATCACTGAAGTTTTTGTACACCGCTGCTGAATGCCGAAACTTTAATAACAATGCTGGCCGCAGCACATAGCACACTCCTATCTTCAGAAAAAAAACAACAAACAAAATAATGGCATGTACGCAGTGCTGATGCAGAACAGGTCACAAGCAAGTTACGATATGCCCAGAACTTGTACATACCTCTCTGTTCTGGGATGGGTGTCCCCAGGCCACACATCAGCTCTCCCATACTCCAAGCCTATTGTAGTGTTTATGGTGCAAGTACTGTTTGAGTACAGTCTCTCTCCTTTTTTTGTTAAATCTTTTTTTTCCTGCATTGATTTATGGGCACAGCAGAGGATTCTGTTTGTTTTTTGTTTCCTTGTTTTGTGTTAATTATATAAATTTATAGATATAACTTAAGGGACACCTATGGTACCTCCTGCTTACATAAAATAGTGTCAAAGACTTTACTATTTTTTTTTTTGTTTTTTCTTCAGGATGATCGGACAAGAGAAAGTGGAATCCATACGCGAGTGGAAAGACACTGGCTGGGATCCATACGGATTCCATTTACAACCATTTATTTTCAGTCAAGAGTAAGTACAGATACAACTTTGCTGTAAGCAGAATGTTTCATTTAAGCACCGGTGACCGATGTTGCTTGCCTTTGTGGAAACGTAGGCAACAAGGTACCTTGTTGGTCATGTATAGGGATAGTTTATGGTTGTTTTATACATACACACTAACAAAGCAAATTAGAGCTTGGGAACTTTGAGTTAGTCAAGAAGTAGGACCAATGTTTATACCCTTGTTTTTCCGCAGTACAAATAGTGAACACCTACCCGTCCCCAAAAAAACTGTAATATTAAAGAGACTGTTGTTTGAGCAAAGAGCAGATGAGTGGGATACGGTTGGGATTTAACAATAAACGTAGAATGTAGAAAATATATATTGAAAGTAGAGATTTAGTTATTGATTAATGATCCATTTCAAGATATATAGGTATTTTGAATTGAAAACTTTTTTCTTTTCTTCAGATTGATGGGACTTTTCAGATTGAGGCCCCCCCTGTTCTTCTGGGTTACAGTAAACAGCGGTCTATGAGTGGTGACGGGGGCTATGACGCAGTACGAAGTTTAGGCCAGGGTTCGTTTTTATCACTGTTTATCACCATTGAACCTCAGCTAGTCCCAGGAGAAGCCGTGAGAGAAAAGGTATTTTATGTATATTCTTGAAACCTAATTTAAAAAATATGTAATATTATTTTGTTGCTAATAAAATTGTAGAGTATATGAATTTAAAATGCATTAAAGAGTTAATTCAGTAGAGAGAGTGCTTTTAAAACTCTTAATTACTCAAAACAAAATAAAGCAAGAAAAACTTTGAAAAGTTTGTAATAATCTTCTATAAACTTGGTCCTCCGCCCACTAATCCAGACCAGTTCACTAATGACAGAAACAGAACATCATGGTGTAGCAGCAGCAAGCTCCTAATTCTCCCTGCACTGACTAACACAGCAGGGAGAGAGAAACCTGACACTAGAACATGCTCTGCGTGAACTACACTGATCAGACTCCCTGTCTTCACCCCCATATAGGACATTGCAAAGAGAATAGACTTTCCAACTGCACATGTGCGACTCTGTCAGGCATGCTCAATGCACTTTTTCTGCATTCCTAGGGATAGGACATTTAATGGTTAGATCAGTGTCCCCCTGGAGTGGGTTTGGGAAGCATAAAAAAAAAAGCAGATAAATGTGAACAAATTCATATTTACCTGCTTTTATTCAACCTGTAGAGTGAGGTGGCGGAGCCAACACTCAAGCTAACTGGACATGCCATTTGTTAGCGACCTCTAAAATCATGTTTTCGGGCACGAAAATTGAGTTGATACCTGCCCTGGTCAAGCTTCCCGAGTCCTACAGCTATGGGAAAGCTCTGAAAAGCTGAAAAAAATTACGAGCGGCATAGGCAAGCGGATCCAGAGATATCGGGAATTATCCTGCCCGGCCTACAGAGAACTGCGCCTAAGATGGTGCCCACGCTAGCAGGGGAACCCCGTCCTCGGAGCAACAGGAGCTTGGACACCCCTGGTAGCTTTCCCACAGCAGGCTTGTACAACGCTTCCTCAGATGAGGAGAATAAACTCCTTCCACCAATGGGACATCAAAGTGCTCCTGAAGGAGCTGAAACACATACTGGCAACTGATGCAGGGAAGGTCAGTTAAAAGGTACAAACACTTGGGGCACGAGTAAAGGCAGTGGGGGGGCGGGAGGTGGCGAAGCTTGCAGTATTTTGCACGGCTACTGCAGAAACTCTCTCCAGCCTAGGGAGCACTTTTGAGTCCGTGCAGGCCAGGATGGCATCTCTGGAAGACAGTTGTCATCGGCAACACATAAAGGTTAGGGGCATCCCTGGCATGGTCTTGGTGACCGAGCTACCTGCATACATAGGCTGACTCTTTCAGGCCTTGCTGAAAAAAAAATCAACCAACCCTGTTCCAGTGGATGGGATCTTCAGGATTTCTAGCCCGCCGGGAGCGAAGTACAAGGAGTCCTGTAAAGTGATCACACAACTGTCTCGCATGGGAGATAAGATGGCTCTTATAAAAGCAGCCAGAAGCACACATCATATTTGTTTGAGGGCCACTGCCTGTCCGTTTACCACAACCTTTCCAGGGCTACCCTGTAATGGGGGGCTTTGCTGAACCCGATTTCTCAGTGATTGAGAGATACCATATCGATGGAGCAACCCCAGATCCCTGATTGTGGAGCGCAATGGAGTGGTACACGCAGCAGAGTTGGAGGTGTTCATCAAGGAGCTGGGGATCACACTGCCAACTACCACAGCTGACCACGAGCAAGGCAGAGACCCAAGACAATGTGCCGTCTGACAATCTCCCCATGCCCAAGGGTTCTATTCCTTGACGATTGCAGGACTTGCCACCTTTGCCTTCTACAACGGGCAGAGGCCTTTGGAAAGAATGATCCATGAACAGACACAATGACACTTTCTAATTTAGTGTCTTCCTGTTTATCAGCTATGAGCCTAGCCTAGGCCTATGGCCTTTGATTAGCATAAGGTCAGCGGCAGGATGTGCCTGGTGTTGGGATTTACTGTCTGGATTCCGGTCCAGTCCTGACATAACACTCACCCCTATAGCAATTACCCTTAACATAAAGAGTCTTTGCCCAGAGCACACTATAGGCTAGTGCATAATGAATCCTTTCTACGCCCTAGACAGCAGTGTAAGCCGGAGTTAATAAACTGCATCCTCACTGCTTGTTTATGCTATGTTTTTCATGTTATAAAACTGTGCAGTTTTAGGATATGCTATTAACCAACTGTCTTTATCACTCATGTCAGTAACGCTGCACTTTCAAAATAAAGAATGTCAACCTGCAGAGTGAGGCTACTCTCTAATTCACAAGTTAAAGCTTTTGAATGAGACTGCTGTCTCAAAGTAATGCATGTCCCTTTAATTTATAAATGTGCCCATTTCTATTGAAATCTGCACTTTTTGTAAAAGAGGACACACTCGTCCCATGCATCTAAAGTGCTTTAGGTGTGTAGAGTGTTCCTTTAAATTGAAATTCACTGTCTTTCTCGACAGTGCTCACTTTAGCAAATAACCCTGTACATCTACAGTTTGTGAACATATACAATACTTTGCAGCTTTGTTTTTAACCCCTTAAGGACACATGACATGTGTGACATGTCATGATTCCCTTTTATCCCATAAGTTTGGTCCTTAAGGGGTTAAAGGTAGTGTATTGCAGGGCTTAATATTTCAATTCCCAGTTGTTAGTAAAGCCACATATATTGAGCCCTGGCGTACTGGACTAGTTGATATTTCAATAAGACTTGTAGGTAGGTGATATTGTAAATGCTTAGACGTTTCCTGGATCAGTCTTCAACCAAATGCTAACCTAAACATTCATAAAAACCCTTATCACCAATATATGTGTATATCCAAGATACCTTACATTCCTAGCAGTATTCTAAATAAATAATGAAAGATATACATTGTTGCTCCCATCCTTTAGAATTCCATTGGGACTGCTTGGTTGCTGGTAAACTCCTAACAGTCATACTTTAAGGTACATAATATGTTTGCACTGCCGCAATCTATAATGAATGCGGCGGCAATGCTCATTTTCCTGTCCACTCGCGCCTCCCCGCTCTGTCAGTCCCTGCACTGGCTTCCAATTAGATATAGGGCTCATTTTAAAATTCTGGTGCTTGCTTACAAGTCCCTACATAATGCTGCTCTAACCTACATATCCTCCCTAATACAAAAGTATGTCCCATCGAGGCCCCTACGCTCTGCCAAAGACCTATGTGTATCCTCTGTCCGTACGCCCACCTCTAATGCTCGCCTCTGAGATTTCTCCAGGGCTGCACCTCTTCTGTGAAACTCCCTTCCATTCTCCTTAAGACCCAGTCTCCACTCATTCAAAAAAATCATTGAAAACTCACTTCTTCAAGAAAGCATATCAATTAAACTGTTAGCAGGTTTTTATCCCCCATGACTCCTCTCTTGCAACTGTCAAAAAATTACCTACTAAGCCGTCAATGAATACTTAACCTACTTCGTACCCCTACTTTTACCCTTTGTCTCCCTATACCCCACTCCCTCTAAAATGTAAGCTCATTGAGCAGGGCCCTCAACCCCTCTTTCTGTACGTCCAATTGTCTGGTTACAATTACATGTCTGTTAGTCCACCCATTGTACAGCGCAACAGAATGTGATGGCACTATATAAATAATAAAATAATAATTTGATGTTGTTTTTTTTTATAAACTACGAAATCTTTTGGCTATCCAATAAATTGTCACATATAATATAGTAAATCAAATGTAATCATGAAAAGCTATCAAATAACTCTGCCTAATGTACCTTCTGACTTGCCAAAAGACATGCCTGAAATTCCGTAATATAAAATGTTCACCAGATAAGACCGATATTAAATTAAACCTGGTTTGTAGTTTTAGGCATCTGTTACTAAAAAGATGCATTACTGAGGTTAATCACCGTTTAAAATACATGATACAGCTTTTATTTTGTTTATAGAGACTATGCTTGGCAGAGAGAATGTTAATGAAACAAACTGAATATTTCTTAAACTTGCCTTTTCTTTGTACTTTTCCTTATACGTACTTTGCACATAAGTTGATTGTGTCCTAAAAGCAAATTTCCCTGCAGGCCAATCTGATCTACTGCTGGCTAAATAGAATCCAAATATTGTTTTTGTAAAGCTAGCTATCTGCTTCCAGTCACATTTACCTTTTTGTTTATACTTATTTTAGCCCAATTTTTCTTTTTTTTTTTTTCTTGTTTTCTTCTTCTTCTTACAGTAACCCATGATCCATAGCATGTTTAAATTATATTTTCTTTACTTGGTAGTTAGAGCACTCGTGAACTGTAAATGTTAAGAATTACTGGTGTGACTAAAGAGAAAAGAGCTTGAGAAATGATTGTTCCAAAACTACGGTTGACATGATCCCTTACTCCAGTTTGATTTTTTTTTTTTTTTGCTTGTGGTCTGCCAGGTATTGCCTCCTCATAGCCTTCAATGGAACGGGATGGTCCTGCTTAAGAGTTTCCGTTAGCTCTCCTGAGCTAAGCCCCGCCATGCAGAGTTCTCTCATTGGTTGATAGTGACAACAATGAGCTAAGCCCTGCACACAAGCTTAGAATGCTTCAAGAGTGAAGAATAATACACAGCGGACCCCGGGTTAGAAGTTAAACTGTTCAAATTGGCTTAAATGCTTACATTTGGAGGGGGGGGGGACTAGCTGATCTTTTGCTGTTATTAATGTCCCTGGGTGTCTTATCGTTTTTGAGGAGTAAACATTTCAAATCAAAGATAGAATAAAATTTTCAAATTTCTTTTTCTTTTAATTCAAAGTTTGATAGCCGGGAAGATGAAAAGTTGCTGCAGGCAGCAGAGAAATTCCAAAGTGAAGCAGCTACGAAGTTTCCAAAGCGTCAGTGTTTGACCACGGTAACTGATATCGATGGCACGATGGTTTTTATTACAAGATACATCAAGGCATTGAATCCTCCTTCGGAATTAATAGATGGCAGCTCAAATAATACACAAGCAGCTATGGTAAAAATGTGTTTGTTTTTATTTAACTTTTAATTTTAAAATCATTATTTAGAGTTGGTGAAAATAATATACACATTTTTTTTCTCATCAAGGTCACCCTCTCATCTTTTTAAGGGTGATTTTGTTAATAGTAGTAATTTTCTATGAAACTATTCTGTTATGTTCTGTTGTATGTATTAAGCACTATGAATCCCAAGGAGAGAATCGGTTTCTTTTTAATTATCTACAGATGTAATGTCTTCTGTATAAATAATATATTATTCATATTCATAATTATTACAAAGCACTAATAGATTTTTTTCTGCATATGGTGTTTCAATCAAAGTAGTGATTACTTGTTCCTTAAGCAATTCATTCTATTCTGTTGTTCTTTTTAGAACCCCTCTTACCTCTGTTTTGTCATATCCTCACAGGAACTAGTGGCGCGTTATGTTTCCCTAATTCCTTTCCTACCTGATAATGTCTCGTTTGCTGGGGTCTGTAACCTATGGTGTTCATCAGATGTAAGTAGAAGTTATGTCATCTACCTGTGCATAAATTAAATACAATATTTTTTTTTAATGTGCCCCTCCTCCTACCTGCGTAACTTTGCAGATTGAAGAGAGACTCGGCAGAGATGCACGCTTCTTTTATCACAGATATCTATAAAAAAAAAAAATCTGTTGACTAAGGCACTTTTTATCTCTTTAACCCCTTAAGGACACATGACATGTGTGACATGTCATGATTTCCTTTTATTCTAGAAGTTTGGTCCTTAAGGGGTTAATAGGGTATAGAAACTATGTGTTAACATTTACCAATACTGTCATTGTGCATATTTGTGTTTTATGTTACACAGTCAGCCATTAGGGGGAGCTGCTAAGCAAAGTGAGCCATTACATTAGCTATTAGTATTTTAATATAATATAAGGAGTGAATACAAAGGATGAGTTACATTTAATTTTAGCCTTTTTCATCTAATCACTAACAGACAGTTAGAACCAAATAGCAACATATAGAAAACAATACTCTTCAATGAGAGAGAAACTGCAAATACTGTAATTTGGCGATATCACTTAATTTAAAAAGTGCATATGCACAAATTTAATAAACACAGATAAGCCATGCAACTAAAATCCCATGCCAACCAGATAGTGACCTTTAGGTATATGAACAGCAGTGTATTAGTCTGTGAATTTAACAACTTAAAAACTATGGGGGAGATTTATCAAGGGGGGAAAAAAAACAGGTGCTATTTTTTGGCAAAACGATAAATAAGTTGCAATCACCATGGAAGCCAATGACATTTTTCATAACATTTAGCACTTTGCATCCAGAATAACACGTGTGCGCCTTGCTAAATCTTTCCCAAATTATGAATCAAGCCAATCTAGATCAATGCACAAAGTAATAATGGAGAGGTGGTAATGTAATCCATGTTATAGAATAGCAGCTGTATCATTGAATTAGCAATGCAGGAATCCATAGTGCACACAATGTAAAACCATGCTAGTCTGGAGCACATAGTAAACACCATACATGCTAGAACATGGTTTACAATCAATGTATTGTGGGCACTATGGTCTTTATACCATCTTGTAGCCATAGTTTGCTATTGGAGGGTGCATGGAAAATGCATGTGGAAAAATCAATGTGTATTAAATATATCATTTTATTTTTATATTGTTCCTAAGATATTAAATGCAGTTTAAATAAACAAACAGAATACGACAACCTGCCTTTAAAGAAGTGAATTATTTCTTTTTATGTTCTTCTTTAGCAATTCCTCAGCCTGTTAGCTGGTGACGAGGAGGAGCATGCTGTCCTGCTGTGTAATTACTTCATGGCCATGGGCAAAAAGGCATGGCTTATAGTAGGGAATGCCATTCCAGAGGTAAAGTGCCATATTTTTTTGGAATTAAAAATAAAAATGTAGAATCTTATTTTGGAACTTTATTTACCCTATTATTGTACCTCTTGAATATAGAATATCCCACACACAAAGGCTGGAGATTGTGACCTTATTTTTTGTGCAACTTTGCATGTGTTGCATGGCTTTCTGGGACTGTTGCAGAAACACAGCCTTTCAGAGATCAGTTGCCATTGTACATTGTGCCTCGGGACTGAGATGGTGAAACATTTGTATGCAGTTAAAAAGTTTTTGACCTTAAACAAAATAGCTTAAAGTAGTAACATGTTACTTTATGATGTGTGTTTGAAAACCAGTATAGTGTAGAATGATATGAACAGCACTTTGGTATAATTTTTTTATACGTATATTTCTTTATTTTTAGTCATGTTACTTGGACATAATGTTTCACATTGACAACATTGACCATTAAACAAATGCTTTAGCATGTTAAGAAAAAAACAACAACAAGCTGATTGTATTATTTACTTTTCATAAATAGATTCACATAAGAATGTTAATCCTCTTGGTGCCCTGCCCATATGTGGCATTTCTCTTAGGGCTCATTTATTTAAATAGCAGGTCTGATTTAACTTATGTATTTATGAAAGCTACCTAGCTACATATTGTTAATTCCTTCAGTCTCTCAAGTTAACAGTAAGACATCCACGCTCTTTATTAGAGAAGTGAGACCGCATTAAAATCAGTTTAGCTATCTCCATGGAAACCAGTAGAATGTTCCTACTGATTCCAATGGTTTAATCTCCCAATGAGGTTTTTTTTTTTACTTACTGAAATAACTTTCAGAATGCCATGTAGTTATGTAAAAAATCATAGACTAGGTCTTCCCCCTTCTTACACCTCTTCAAAAATGTCTCTCTTGGACCATTTGATATGTTGGGATGCATGGGTCATGTATCTGCATTTATTGCTGGCATATTTAAAAATAGAAATTAAAGATGGCTTTTTTCACATATTTTCTCATATCCACTCATTGTTCTCAAATATATATCTACAGTCTTAAACATAAATGTACTCAGTGCTCTCACAAAATTTTATCTTATTTGTTTATTTAATTTTTAGGGACCCACATCCTATGTCCTGACCTTGGAACAGAGCCAATATATTATTTGGAATCCCAGCAACGGGAAGTTTTATGGCCAGTTCGACACGTTTTGTCCATTGCAGAGTGTTGGCTGTTTGATTAATGCTGAAAATGTAAGTATTCTGACTCATTACGAGAAAATATTGAATGGCTTTATCATCATATAATGAAAACTAGAAAAGCTACAATTTCTGGGGAAATTGTGTGAAGTGTTCTTGCCTCCACCAGTAGTCTACAACTAGGGATCGAGCGATTATCGGTTTTACCGATATTATCGGCCGATATTCTGTATTTTCGGCAATATCGGTATCAGCCACTAAAGATACCGATATTGCTTATATTGATAGAGTGAGAAATGCATTTCCAGATGAGCTATATTAGCCTAAAGTTTGGAATTCAGGTAATCACAATAAAGTGTTTAGTGAATAAATCCCTATACTATGTGTTCAGCAGTGACTTTTATTTACCCAACTAACCTATGTAACAAATAACCTAAACAGGATTTATCCATAAAAAAGGACTGTACACTATACTGTGTTTGCAGTACTGACGTTTATTTTACCAATAACAAACCTTAACGGATCACCTGGCACCCCGACTGGGTACCTCCATTGAAGGATACTCCTAGCGCTTCTTGAGGATTCCAAGCACTCTAGCCAACACCACAACCACTGCAGGCCGAACCTCTCTTCCTTCAAAGCGAAGCAGGAACAAGCTCTTACAAGAGCTTAGGAGGGATTAAAGCAAGGGAATATGCAGAGCATAGCAATCCCTTGTAGCAGATTCCCCCAATAAGAGACAGGACTCCAAATTGAGGGTGAAGTAGAAATCAGGTTTAATGACACACACTCTGCTTTTATGCAATTCTCCCATGCAAGGGAGACGCCCACAGACAATTATGATTTACCCAACCACACACTGGTTACATCCCACACATCTCCTCCCCTTAGCCTGAGAGGTAACACAATTAGCCGTACTGTTTAAAACATACTTTTTACCCAACTTTCATAACTCTAAAACTATACATCCAATATTAATAAAATATCAATCAAACATACTTTTTCCACCTGCACTATGAATGTTTACATGGTGTGTTCAATAAAAACATGGCAGCATTTAATTATTTGTGTGTTATTAGTTTAAGCAGACTGTGATTGTCTATTGTTGTGTCTATGATGATCAGATCATATTTTATGACCAATTTGTGCAGAAATCCATATCATTCCAAAGGGATCACATACTTTTTCTTGCAACTGTATAAGTCACCTTTGACCTCAATTTCACACAGAAAAATGTCTAAGTCTCATTCGAATGCATGAACGGGGCCGTTTGTTCAAATAGCCCAGTCTAACAGTGCATTCGAATTGTCGAACGCACTTCGATTCCAGCCGAAGTGTCGAAGTTCATGAGAAGGTAAGGGTCAGTGGTGTTTGTGCAAATGTGTAGCTGATTTTAGTTCCATAGATTCAGTGGCACGCACCGCTGACCGCGTTCGACTAAATTAAAATGGCCGTCGCCACCTGTTAAAAGTACAAATCCTTTCTCTGGGAGTTAACGGGCCAGCAGCAGCACAACAAAAATCCATTATGCCAAAATACTGTGTTTAAAGTGCCCAATCTCCCAGGGGCCATAGTCATAAGGTAGGAGGCTGGCAATCAGGCTCCTTCAATCCCAGGGGCAAAGGGCAGTGGGTCACATAAACAGCTAGTGACAAAAGGTAGTTTGTCACACAAACCAACAACATTCTGATTACAGTGATTGTTCCTAAAGCTTGTTATATGCCTTTGTGTTCTCCGCTCTAGTGTTACAAGTGTGCATGGTTTTTAATCTGGAATGTAAAGGGTCATCGCAGGCACCATGACCACTTCATTGATTTGAAGTGGCTGGAGCCAATATGTGCAGTGTTTTGCTATGAAACTATGAACATACCTAGTTTATCCCCTCTGCTGCCCGAGATGTAACTCCGCCTGCAGCAGTGTCATCTGGGGCTCCATTCCTGTGCACAGAATTGCATTCGTTGGCTGAAAGAGGTCAGCGGACACTCTCAGCCAGTGACTGCCGGATCAACTTCTGCAACCAGATGTTGTTACTGGCTTGAGTAAGGAGACCGAGCCCCTTGGGATCCAGGTAAGAGGGCAAACTGTTGTTTGCCCCATTACCAGGGAACACCATAGGGTACTTCTGGCATCATATCCACTACAGCGGGATACATGGTTATGGTTATCATGCTTGGACTAAGCCTTTAAGGCTGTCTTGACATAAAAGCCACCTTTAACCAATAGGGCAATATAACTTGTTCAAACCTAGAGTTCCAGCTATTGTAATACATGTCCCTGGATTCAGTGACCAGAGAATTTAGGAGCTGCTGAATGAATGAGTGTCCCCACAATGCACAGTATTGGGACGGGATTTGGTTCAAAGACTATCCTCATATCACATCTTATTAATCGTATCCATTTAATTAAAATGTGGCGAGGTGGGTCTCTCTCTTTTCTAACTACAAAATATTTCATGCGTTTCTCCCAATGGCCATAGACGATGAATTGCTGGCACCATTTTTTTTGTCCACATACATAAAAGTAACCGGCCATGAATTAGTGTTGAGATGTACAGAAATTGCATATTATAAGTAAAACATTTAAAAAATCTGTGTAAATCTAAATTGGGATGGGATAAGAAAGGATATCCGTTGCTTTCCAAAACACTAATATATTTATGATTAAAAATAGTACTCTGTGCAATATATTTTTGTAAAGGCTTTTCGAGTTTGTTTTTCAGTGAGTGTTATTTGCTTGCTCTATATTGAAATAAATATTAAACTGTTTTAAATAAAGTTTAATTTGTGAGTAACAAATTTTTTTTTAAAATGGGGTAGTATCTCTTTATTCTAGGAGTTTTGTTGAATCTCCCCATCTTTTTCTCCTGTTGTGAGCTCTCGTTAGCTCTCATTTTCTTGACTCTGTGGTTGCTTATCTCTACAGGTTTGGTTTAACATTCAGCAGTACGATACACCAATGGGTATCAGTTTTGACACAAGCAGACCTAAGCTATGGAAGCCATTCTTCTCTCGAAGTTATCCGAACCCTGGGCTAGCCAGTGTACAGGTATTTAAATGGAGATCTTTCTAGCATGTTGTTTTTTTTAATGTAATCACCATGTGCATCTTGGGAATCTGTTTAGAGCTGATGTCCTCACAATCTCTGGGACAGTTACAGGGTATCACATCTCCTCTAAATGATTTAACGGAGTACACACTAATTCTCTTTTAGTTTTCTCCAAGTATCAGTGTGCTAAGCAAATTAAACCTCTTTATTATGACAACAGATAATTATAAATGTCAAAATAATGTGTTGTTTTGTCAGAAATAAACTTCAATTATTGTTTTTGTTTAGTTTTTTTGTTAAAGTTGCAGATAAGCCTTGTGCCAATTTGATTAACGATCTATTTATCATGTTCACAGCCTGATGATTTAACATATGACCGTCCAGATAAGACTGCTGCTGCAGAACTGCAGGACAGGTAAGGGACATCATGTATTATAAAGCAACGTTGCAGGATGATCAGTTTAAAGGTAATCACCTCTATTTACTAAGCAGCATAAATAGCTTTGCTACTGCTGACTTACGTTACCCACAGACAGTGACGGCACTACCTTAATGCGGAACAGAGTGCTGTTTTAGGACACCCCGGCTCGCCCATGCTTAAGGTGCTGTGTCCCTTAATAGATCTATCTGACTGGCCCAGTGCACTCACTGCAGGTGTCACGGAGACCTTCTGGTCTGCATTTTTGGTAGGTACAGACTCCTCAAGCTTATCTTGGTTGTTTTTGAAATTTTAGGAACCCACTTTTTTATATGTATTCTTTGTTGAGAGAGCCAATCGTCTCTCCCTTATTAAAGCTTTATACTAGTTTGTAGGATTAGCTGGTTGTCTCCAAAAACACTTAAGTTTTTCTTTTGTGTGTCTAATCTGTTTATAGAATTGAGAAGATACTCAAAGAGAAAATCATGGAGTGGCGACCAAGACATCCTACTCGGTGGAATCGATATTGCACATCTACGCTCCGCCACTTCTTACCACTGCTGGAGCAAAACCAGGGCAAGGATGTAGAAGAAGACCATAGAGTGGAACTGCAGAGACAGCTTGGAGATTATAGGGTAAATAAAACCATAGGAATCTTTGTGTGAGAGCAAACTAATGAGCCTATACATTTTAAGTATTAATAAATGTTTGGGTTTTTTTTTATTCCAGTTGTCAGGTTTTCCTATTCACATGCCATTTTCCGAGGTGACGCCACTAATCGAAGCGGTGTACAGCACAGGAGTCCACAACAGTGAAATACCAAACATTGAGTTTGCCCTCGCAGTGTACGTCCACCCTTATCCGCACAGTGTTTATTCAGTATGGATCTATGTCGCTTCTCTTATTCGTAACAGATGATGAAGAACTCCAACCAAGCCACAGAAAAATGGGAAAGTTCATTTTCAGTTTTGCCAAAAAAAACAAAACACCTGGAACTCGTTCCAGTAAAGGACTCCTCACAAAGGAGTAAGCGTTTCTTGTTTGTATAGAGAAAGAGTGCAAAATTTTATCAAGAATTGGTAAATGCTTATCTATACATATACCACTGTGTACATTGCACAAAAGGACTGAGGTAATGAAAGCGCTTGAGTGACTCTGTTACTGTATGATATGCAATGAAAGCATTGACAAGTGCCTTTAACAAATAGAATATGAAAATTCATTTTGGAGACAAAGAATATTTCATTCCATCTGAATGGACATTGAAACAAACAACCTACACACACATAGAAAATGCATTGTAGTCTCAATGAAATGTATCCAGGGTAACAGTCAGTGGGCTAAGCATTATATTGAACCTACATGCCTGGAACAATAAATGTAATATCAGGGCATTATTAAATGAACATTTCATTTTTTTCAATTTTTTTTTTTTAAAGTGTCCCCTTTTGGTTTTTCTCTTAACCATTTAGTAGATATACTCCCAGCTATGCTGAACATTTTCAAATCAGAGCTTCTCACTGAGAAGCCTTGCAGACAAATTGCAAATGCACATCATTGGCCAATTATATATTTCTCATTGCATTATAAATGATGGAGAAGTGTACAAGAGGCAAGTATTCGTCTGTTCAGCTTGACGGCCATGCTGCCTACATAAGCTCAGCAGACAGATCCAATTACAGGCAAACACCCAGCTAGTAATATAGGTTCCAATCACACTTTCTTATTGAACTATAGTTCAAAGCAAGTGAGACAGTGTAAGTAAGATGAAATATAAAGGGTTGATTTCTCTTGAAGTGCAGTAACAGACAATTTAACCCCTCAGGTAACTGGAGTGTTCCTTTAACTCTCTGAAAGGCTTTGCAGAATATTCCCTAACAATTATACAGACTGGCTTATGTCATTCTGCACTTTTCCAGATTGTTTTTTGCTTTATGTAGGATGTATGGCTCTGATGATTTCTTTATACATGTCTTTAAAGGACCACTATAGGCACCCAGACCACTTCAGCTTAATGAAGTGGTCTGGGTGCCTGGTCCAGCTAGGGTTAACCCTTTTTTTTTTTTTTTTATAAACATAGCAGTTTCAGAGAAACTGCTATGTTTACACTGGTGGTTAATCCAGCCTCTAGTGGCTGTCTCATTGACAGCCGCTAGAGGCGTTTGCGTGCTTCTCACTGTGAAAATCACAGTGAGAAGATGCCAGCGTCCATAGGAAAGCGTTGTAAATGCTTTCCTATGAACTGGCTGAATGCGTGCGCGGCTCCTGCCGCGCATGCGCATTCACCCGATGACGTCGCTAGGAAGAAGGAGAGGAGGAGGTAAGCTCCCCGCCCGGCGCTGGAGAAAGGTAAGATTTTAACCCCTTCCTCTCCCCAGAGCCCGGCGGGAGGGTGGGGGCACCCTCAGGGCACTATAGTGCCAGGAAAACGAGTATGTTTTCCTGGCACTATAGTGGTACTTTAACAGTGGGATCTGCAGGTATATGGACACAATTCCAATTCGGACACTCAACAATAGAAACTATTTCTATTTGAGTAAAGTACCACACAAAGCATTTCGGCTAGCACTTTCATAAGCATAGGAAAGAAACAATTGTATATGTGTGTATGTCCTTGCTACAGCTCGAAAAGACCTTCAGTCTGTGCTATGGAAAAAGGGAAGTGCTTCTAAAGGCTGCAGACAAGGTATCTGCAGCTTTTGCAAGTTTTGTTTTTGTTTTTAGATATACCTTCAATGAAACGATGTAGAAATGAATGAATGCATGCATGTTTTCCTTGGGGTATATCAAATAAATAGTGATTGTTACTTTTGTTTACCTCTTTCCAATTAAGTGTTCTTTTAAGCATGCATTTGTCTCTTTCATGTCTCAATATTTTGGATGTGGTTACATGTTCCTCGTGGTGTGTTGATGTTCAATTACCATTATTGTACACATCCATTAAGATTGCACTATCTATACTATGCATTATTTATGATCTTTTTTATATATACATTTGCAAGAATACTTGTAATTAGTAATATAATTTGCCTTAAAAACCATCTCACAATAACAGACAGTTCATACTCTGATGAAATGTGTAAGTTAAGAAAAGGTAACTTGTGTGGTCAACACCAGAGATTGTTACATCTCTCTCAAAATCTTGAGTTTGTCAGTTCATACAATTGATAGGATATAAGATGTACAAATAAGTCCAAAGAGTTGTTCAGCTTGCTCTTTGTTTTAAGAACCATGAAAAATCTCTTGCATACTCCTCAACAGGGACGTTTCATAAAGCGGGAGTTGGGTGGGCGGACCAGAGACAGAACAGGCATGTCAGTCTGACATGAGTACACAACAGGCTGATTGCCAATTACATTGGCTGGCACTGTTAAGGCCTTACCATGCACAGAGCACTTTGCTTTATGGTAACGGTTCCGTGTTGTCCTATAAAGCAAGACATAAGAGAACAAACTCAGGACATGACCCCAATATCAATACTGTACCACCATATTTAAAACTGTTGTGAGGCCTGTTCCGGTTAATATTTCCTTTCCTCTTGGTGTTGTAACTGTAATTACATCACAGTTACACTATTTGATCTATATTTCATTTCAATCCACAAATTGTCATGTTGTTTACATGTTCATATTGTTCATCTAAAATTTACTGTGTTTTCTAAATCTTGCTGTGTAAATATATATTTTTTTACAATGCAATAAATTATCTGTTCCCATCCATTTTAATAAATAAAAGTGGTTTTCCATGTTAATCGACTCTACATCGCATAGAATCATCATTTAAGCCAACGTTTTGGAAGTCATTTATTTTAACAGTTGGGAATATTCTGAAATGATTGCAGATACATTAAACTCCGGACCTTTAAAACACTTTTGCTTGGGGGCGTGGCCGGACGCCGAATGAAGCTGGCAGCACACTGAAAGAGCTCCGCAGCTAAGGGCTCCTAAACGCGGCTAAAACCCACTATTACTGGCTCGCACCCGACTCCCCGACCCGGGTCACGATGTCCCAACACCGCGCAAAGAAATGTGTGGACACGAAGGACAAGGCAGCCTTCTTTGCAGCCCGAACTCCACACATCAAGCAGGCTGAAATACAGGCCCAAGATGGCGCCGAGGCTGAACTCCACGCGGACTTTGCCGACACACACGAGGCAAGCGCGGACACCCCGCTGACCCCGAATTTACTACAAAAGATGTTAGACGCAGCGGTCCTGAAAATGCAGGCATCATTCACATCGGCCCTGGCTAAAATTAATAACGAGATCACCGACCTGGACGCACGAGCCTCCCAACTAGAGGAAAAAATGGAAGTAAATGCCACAGCCCATGCAGCTATCGAAGACAGACTAGAGGATATCGAAAGGAAACTGTCTCTGCATGAAACCAAAATCACAGATGCAGAAGACAGGTCTCGCCGCAACAATATCAGGCTCAGAGGGGTCCCAGAAGATGTGGAAGCCCAGGACCTAACGGCCTTCACCATGGAGCTGTTCCGCGCGGTCCTGCCAGACATACCCGCAGACATGCTCTTACTAGATCGCATCCACAGAATCCCGAGACCGCAACACTTACCACCAACCGTGCCACGAGACGTGCTCATGCGGCTCCACTATTACCACACAAAAGACCAAATCCTCCGTGCACATAGAACTAGGAAAGACCTGCCTGATAAATTTAAACCTATCCTCCTCTTTACGGACCTGTCGGCGGAGACACTCCGGCGGAGAAGATCCTTCAAACCAGTAGCAGAGGCTCTAAGACACCACCGCATTCCCTACAGATGGGGCTACCCAGCGAAACTCCTCATCACCAAAGGAGGGAAGCAACTCATAGCCGCCTCACCGAAAGAAGGCCTGGAGCTGCTGCACAAATGGGACATAGCCCCAAATCTACAAACACCAGGCCCGCGCAAGACACAGAATATCGACGGCCGCCCTCAGCGACAACGGCGAACTACCTTCAGGGACGATGACCACTAGCCATACCTGGAATAGCAAGTGTTTTCTACTTTCTTTAAAACCTAAAACATGTTTAGCTATAGATTGATGTTAAAAATAATTGCTGACTAGAATAACCACATCCCAAAAGGGTTGACAAATTGCAGGCGACCTCTAATTACTGTAAAACATATACAAAAAAAAAAAAAAAGTTTTTCCTTATATATTGCAGGAACAGAGTAAGATACAAACTAAGCGACAAGACTAATGATCCACAGGATCAGCCACACTTATCCTCCCCGTGGCATTTGACTTAAGACGACCCCTAGAGACCACGTATGTAGTCCATAATGTATGGGCTTTCGTGCACCGATTAAAGGCTTTAGAGGCCTGCTGACGCCCCAATGTTAATCTCCCTAACGCCTACTCCCTCTCTATTTCCTTAGAGAGCCCTCCCGAGTATATGATTGTATTAGACTACATGCGATTCAGCTTGCTGGATCACCATGTAAGATTAAGTGGTGTCAATCTCTCATAGCCCACCTTTGCCAGAATGGAGGAAGCGATGTAACAACTGCAACCTGTATATATGTTTGATTATGTTTTACTGTTTCCATGCACCTATCCGACGCACCCAGAGCGCGCCTAGACACACTCAAAAAGGCCGCAACTACTCCTACAGCAACCCTAATGGCGGGGACAAAACCACCAAAATGTTAGCAAAGTACCGCCCCCCACCCCGACAGATAGACCACCATGCCGATACGACATGCAGATTAGAGGGCCCTATGAGCAAAACCCCCCCGGGTTGCCCACTACGACTCAAGCCATATGCGCCACCCTATATGTCTGTACCGGGGCGTTCACCCAACAACCCCCCCTCTGCAGCGGCAACCTAAGACAGGGCGAGAACCAAGCGCACCCATACACTTGCTAAACTAACATATTTACGGGTGGGGCCTGCACAAGATAGGCCCTAGTTAGCTGTCAGCTGGATTCGACCCGACTACACTACCCCCGCTTGAGAAGTGCCATACCGGCACATACCCCCGAAAGTACCCTTTGTACATTCAATTTTTTTTTGTAAAGTTTACTGTTTAACTATACACCCCCAGGTATTAATACCCTACCCCTACTGTTAGCCCCCACCCCTGGTACCGACACCCAACCCAACCTAGACCTCACAAATTATACGAAAGGGTCTTCCTGAGATACAAACAAAGCACCGACCCCCAACTCAGAACCTACATCTCTGCACCAACCCAAGTGACCTACCACTGATCACGACAATGAAAATATATACCCATAATGTGAGAGGCCTAAACGCGCCCCATAAGAGATACAATCTCCTCAAAGAGATCCGAACTTCACAAGCAGACATCATATGCCTGCAAGAAACCCACTTCAAACATGGCTCTAAACCCATCCTTGGGCTTAAACATTTTCCCTACCAATACCATGCCACGTCCCCATTTAAAAGCAGGGGAGTGTCGATCATGGTGAGCCACACCTTGGCCTTTGACCTAGTAACAATCCAGATAGATCCGCAAGGAAGGTATATCATTCTCATCTGCACGCTAAACAACAACACATACACAATAGTTAACTCCTACTTCCCAAACGAGAACCAACCCCAATATATGACCACGCTACTAGATAAGATCGAGAAAATACAGATGGGCACCCTAGTCCTCTGTGGGGACTTTAACCATATCCTCGACCCTGTTGCAGACTCCACAGCCACACACACACACAAGAGGAAAAAGGCCCTACGCAAACACTGCATCTCCCTGCACAAAACACTAGCATCATATGGGCTTTACGACGCTTGGAGAACCCTCCACCCAATGGATAGGGAATACACCCATCACTCACAGGTGCACAACACTTATTCCCGCATAGACGGCTACCTAATGCACAGCTCACAACTACAACAGATCAAATCCTGTGAGATAGACGCCTCTACAATCTCAGACCACAACCCAGTGTCTCTCACCCTAGCCGATTCCTACCAATACCAACATCGCAGCCCCTGGAGGCTGAACGAACACTTGCTAAGTGACGCAGACTTTACCAACAAAATACGAGAAGAAATACAACAATACTTTCAAACCAATGGCAACGGCGAGATCAACCCCGCCACACTGTGGCTCACGCACAAGCCGGTCATCAGAGGGCTATTACTCAGCCGAGCGTCCTACCTCAAGAAAACAACACATACTGCATTGCTGAACCTTCTCAAACGGATCCAAGACCTCCATAGAGAAAACCAACTGCACCCCTCCAAGACCCTCCAACAGAAATTGCAAACAGCGCAAGACGAAGTTAAAGCAATTCTTCTCAAGAAAGCCAACATAGCATTAAAAAAACTCAAAGCAACTTCCTACTCAATGGGAAACAAAGCAACGAAAGTATTGGCACAGCGACTCCGGATGAAGCAGGCACAAGCCCGCATCCCATTCATAAACTCACACACCGGGACTAAGATAATACAACCCGCACAAATCTGCAATGAGTTCGCACATTATTACACCACCTTATACAACCTGAAAGATCAGCACTCCCTGGCCCAACCTACATCCACATCAATTCGCAACTACCTGGCACAGATTGCCCTCCCCAAACTCCTTGAACAGCACGCAGCACAACTATCAGCACCAATCACCACAGACGAAGTGCTCACCCTGATAGACAAAATGCCGAAAAATAAAGCCCCAGGCCCGGACGGCTACACTAACGCTTATTACATGGCCTTCAAGGCAGAAATTGCCCCAGACCTCACACGCTTCTTCAATGAAGCCACCCGACTGGGTACCTTCCCCACCGAGTTCTTAGCGGCACATGTTATCACTATCCCCAAACCGGGGAAACCCGCGACCACATGCCAAAACTTCAGGCCAATCTCTCTCCTGAATGCAGACGCAAAGCTATATGCCAAAATCTACGCAGAACGACTCAAGTCCATACTACCAACACTAATTCATACAGACCAGGTGGGATTTGTAGCAGGAAGGCAAGGGTCGGATAACACCAGAAAAGTACTAGACATATACAACATATTGAAAAACACCAAACAAACGAGCGTCATGCTATCCCTAGATGCCGAGAAGGCAGTCGATCGCCTGAACTGGCAATTCCTCCAGGAAACCCTACAAGCCTATGGATTCCCAGCACCCTTCCTCTCTGCAGTCAGTGCCCTATACAGTGATCCCAGGGCGACGGTACTCACCTCAGGATTTAGTTCACAGGCCTTCCCCATTACCAACGGAACCAGACAAGGTTGCCCACTGTCCCCTCTCCTTTATGTGTTAGCCTTAGAACCCCTGGCAATAGCAATTCGATCCAACGATTCCATCCGAGGGGTACTAGTGGGCCAAACAGAATATAAACTAAGCCTATTTGCCGATGACATTCTTCTCACACTCACACAACCACTTATAACACTCCCCTCCCTACACAAAGAAATACATGCATACAGTCAACAATCTTATTACAAGCTCAACGTGGCTAAGACACAGGCAATGTGCCTCAACACACCAAAACACATAGAAACACTCCTGAGATCCGGCCATTGCTTTGATTGGAGAGAAGACTACTTGGTGTACCTAGGGATCAAGATAACTCACAGAGAAAAAGAACTATTCCCTACCAACTACATAAAGCTGCACAAAGATATAGACACCCAGCTGCAAACGTGGAGGGGCCTGTACCTATCGTGGGTCGGAAGAATAGCAGCACTGAAAATGACAATTCTACCTAAAATTCTCTACCTCTTCCGGACACTACAAATCAAGATCCCACAAAGCTACCTCACAAAATTACAGGCTACCCTCCTCAGATTCAGCTGGGACGGCAAACACCCCCGAGTCCCCAAATCACTTCTGTTGAGAAATACGAAACATGGAGGCATGGGCCTCCCTAATCTCAAAGCGTATTATCACTCAGCCATCCTTGCGAATGTAGTTAGTGTTCACTCGGCCAAGTACATCCCCCAATGGGTAGAGGTAGAGAATATGCACAGTAAGAACCAGGACCTGCCTACAATGCTCTGGATACCCCGGCACCTGCGACAGCAACCTACAACCATGCTGAACACCACCAAACACCTCCTCACAATATGGGACACCTACAGGGACCAACTGTGCTCCGCACACCCGTGGGCCCTGGCAACTCCAATTCGGACCCTGTACCAATGCAATGGCCTGTTTCCACATCATAAATGGGCAGAAAAAGGAATTACACATGTCTACCAACTGTGCACCAAGGCAGGTCTTAAACCGTTCCCAGACCTGCAGAAAGAATTTGCCCTCCCTCCAAGCTACACATTTGCTTATCTACAAATCAAAGCGCTAATAACCCACAACGTAATCAAAGACATGGAACACTCACTGAGATCGTCCATAACGAAATTTGAAGCACAATGCCTCTCCCTAGACCCTCCAAAGAAAACAGTTTCCATCTGTTACGACCACCTTGCCAACCCTAAAAACAGCGACACATGGAAGTTTATGCAGGATTGGCAGACAGACCTCCAGGTGACAATACCCCCAAACGAATGGGAAAAGATTTTCACTTCTCATATAGGGCTCACAACAAGTACAGCACACCTGGAAGCATCCAGGAAAATCCTATACCGATGGTACATGGTACCGACCCGTCTGCACACCATATTTCCCAACACTTCAGACCTATGCTGGCGTTGCCATGCAACTAAAGGAACTATGATGCATATGTGGTGGACATGCGATAGTGTGCAAGATCTTTGGAAAGCTACAGTCCGACTTGTAAGAAGTGTCACGAATCTCCACTTAGCTCTCGACCCTAAAACAATCCTGCTCCGATTGCTCCCAGACGACTTTCCAAAACCGATCAAGAAATTGATATACATCATACTGGGCACGGTGTCCATACTAATAGCCAGGAAATGGAAAACAACGGACTTGCCCTCCATCCGAGAAGTTGTAACAGAAGTAACACAAGCAATGGAGTACGAACTCATCATGTGGAAGCAGGCAAAAATCGGGAAACTGAGCCCCTACACCGCCACAATATGGCGAAACTACACACAACAGCTCACACAACACCAACACAGTCATTAACGAGCCCGCAAAGAGGCCACAGCACTGGCTACCGAAACGACACCACCCTTTAAACCAACACCGACCACCCTACACACTTACCAACCCACCCTGTGACATAGAGGTCACGATCCTAGGACCCACCAACAGCCGCAAACCGGTACCACGCTGCTACTCCCCTCCACCTGTTACTCGCCCCCAATTCACAGGGACCCCCCACTCTCACCTTACACCCTCGACACACCGCAGGCACCCTACCCACATCGACACCCTTCCCCCCCTGGAGACAAGGGACCTCGAACAACAACGAAATAAACCATACTCGCAAAACTTAGTATAACGACAATTCACGCACTAAATGAGCGAACTCCCCATCCGACAGAGACCCCCCCCCATGAGCATCATCTACTGTAACACCATGACATCAGGGTAATACTAAGTAAGGAAGGCCAAAGTGTCAGGGAGCTACCCCCTTCCTCCTATTTGTTCCCCCCCCTTAATTACAAATGTATATCGAAAAATGTATAGCAATTGTACGACCCCACTATGTACATTTGAAGTTCCCCCTTCTTTTCTGTACCCCATTTCCTTGTCTTTATGAAAATAAAATTTCAAATTGAAAAAAAAAAAAAAAAAACACTTTTGCTTGCTGAAGTGCTTTATGTGCGTACAGTGTGACCTCTTTTTTTTCTTTTTTACAAAAACTGCAGATTTCAATCGAAATTGGCACTTTTTTAAATTACCCTTGTTACACCCTGGCATTTAATCAGGCAACCATACCTGTAGTTTCACTAAGTTAAACAAAACCAGGAGCTAACCTCAAGAGGCATTAAACTGCATTGGGAAGATAGTCTATGTTTGGACAGTCACAGAAAGTTTGGACTGGGGAGGAACGGGAGATTTTGTAAAGGCTGCAGATCTACAATTTTTGGAACTCTTGGGACCAAAGTGTTCTCTATTACCGTTTAATGAATACAGTCTTGGACCTAGTCCCTGACAAATACCATATCCCAGGTTAATGTGTATTCACTCCTCTGCACTGCCCCATTTACCTCTCACATACTCCCTATTATTTGAGTAAGGGACAATCAAATTCTTCTCTTCCCCACTAAGCAACTGTACAGGTAAACCATTTAAAAGGTCATCATTAACACTGCTTAGCAAGCAGCTAGATTTTGACAGCACAGGTTAAAAAGATGTTCCAGACCCATGAAGTGCAAAATATGATAGCTTTTACACAAGGCATTTGCATTTTGCCATTTGAGGGATGTATTTCTTAAATGCACCCCTCTAAATGAGAACATTGGGAGGACCAAGTATGACACAGCCACATGTTGGTCCTTTGCAGAAGTGGCAGACTGTTGGGCTTCAAATTAAGTACTTTTAAAATAAAGTATTTTAAATACATTTTGCATGATGAATCTTATTATCTCTACAAAGCATTAAAAATTAAAACAAACGCTACCACAGCTTGTCTTGTCACAATAAATAATTTTGGAGTAAATCCCATTATCCATAAAGTAAGAATGAAAGTAGCCTTCTGACATTGAAAGTATAGCTATATAGGCAGCACGCTAGATCCCTGCAATCTAAACTATCATTGGGACAAGTCTACACAACTTTATAGTTAGGGTAACGCAAGTTTGCAAAGTTATAAAAGTTTGTGAAAACTCATTAAAGCGACAAAGCCTCATAAAAAAAAATTGTTAAAAGCAGTACAGGTCCATACCAGTTTTATTACTCAACATATTTGTGATTTATTTTTTAATTTTTTTACTTGAGAACAAACTGGAAACATGACCGGTCTTTTAAAGATATTATGGTTTCCTGCAAGGGTAGAACTGACCGTTTAAGCCAGTGAATATTCTGAAAAGTTTCAGAAAATTGATTTATCTAAAAACAGAATGAGCACTTAAAGTTTTGCTAGGCTGAGAACACCTTTAAGACTGTGTGCACCCCAGGGGGTCCAAGGTAAGCGTAAACCTGTTTTACACCACTGGTTTCTGTATCAGGGCAACAGGGGCCTCCGTTCAGAATAACCTCAGGATGCAAGCTGAGATACAGCATGATGTTGCAGTTCTTACCTGTTTTTACTGCCATAATTCATGGAGGCTGTCTATAGGACTTCATTTAACTCCACTGGTGCTAAGAGTTGACAGACTTGGAATCCGATCCCTCCCAGAATTGATTCTCTACTCAGAAACACCACAGCCACTAGACACTATTAGCAGCCTAGTGTGGTGGGCCATAGTTTTGATTGCTCGTCTTCTGACATTGTCTTGAAGCAGAGTTTGGACTTATTATTTTATATAGTACCAACATATTCCACAGCGCTTTACAATTGGAGAAAGGGACGAGAAAGGACCTGCTCAAATGAGTTTACAATTTATAAGGCATGATATGGAAATGCTAATACATATGAAGAAGTCAATTAATGCTTTCCTGCAAGATATTACAAGCTGCACCAGATAGATTTATGAAAGTGCTGTGCTGTGATTGGATCAAAGTTGAAAGAGACTAATCACCAATGTAATGTCCTGCTCAGTCCACTGGTTTCCACAGTGATTGTCCCAATTTTAGAACATTGCAAATGTTCAAGCTACTTTGACCTATCCCTACACCCACCCACTATCCCTGTTACAGATAAACACCGTCTGCTAAACCAATATAATAAAACATGTCAGGCTATTTTAACAATATACAAGTCCACCTGATCAATGTGTATCAAGGTGATCAGGCCTTTCCTCTTATACCATCTCAATGCAGGAACATTTGCAAGTAGCTGAGCATTCTCTCAAAAACATGATATATCATGCAGGTATACAGAGGTGTCTGACACAATGTACATGTTCTGGAGAAACCGTGGTACATAAACACCATACACATCACTAACGGTAGGACACACATTGCATATAAAGCTTAGGGTTACACACTGCATATACTGCTCTTTGGAAAACCACATCAGGTATGAAGTGGATATTTATTATACGCTCATAGCACATACCCAGTTATGAGATTTACCGGTAAATAAAGCAATGAGAACAGCCTTTAGGAGTTAACAGACATTGGCATAGAGTCTATGCCAATAGTCTGAGTGACAGGAGAGGGCTGCAGTTTTCATAAATTCTTATCATAAAAACTGCTAACAGAGAGTGGCATAGAATCTATGCCAATAGTCTGAGTGACAGGAGGGGGCTGCAGTTTTCATAAAGTTTTATCATAAAAACTAGCTCAATGTATAGATAGTTCTGACGGACTGCCTGGCACCCCGGACCAGATACCTCCGTCAATCGGTGCTCCTAGTGCTTTCCGAGGGCTCCAAGCACTCCACCGGACACTATAAGCACTGCAGAACCCACTTCCAGCGGTGCAGCTGTGCCGGGGTCTCGCCGTCCTCCACCCACCCTGGATCCAAGACCAGGATCCAGCTCCAGAGAGCGTAGCAGGAACACGCTCTTACAAGAGCTTAGTGATTATACTCTGGGGAGTATTGTGATTATAGCAATCCCCAAGAGTGTAGCTTTCCAATCCCCCAAACATGAGCCAAGACTTCATGAAGGGGTAAAGCAGGTCTGTTTATTGCAAGCCAGCACTTACAATTTATACAGTTTTTCAGGCCAGAGGCACACCCCCTGGATCTGATGGAACACAGGGACACAAGGGACGCAAACCAATCAAAACAGACATTAACAGTACAACACTCCCACATACAGTAAACCATCCCTCCCCTCTGCCAGTGATATAATTAAAGTAGCTAACACAATAACCTAATTATCCACAGGCAGAAAAACATACGTTTTCCCCAAAGTACAGAAAACACCCCAAAACATAACATATCCGCATAAATATAACACCCCGGATAGCCCTGATTCAGGTGAACAACATATCCAAAAATCACCCAGATCAGAGCAGGGGTTCAGGAAATTCCTGGAAGTCTCTTTTGACCGACGACACGCAGGAGTTCATGCCCAAAACAGTTCCAGAGAAATAGGCTGTGCGGGCGGTCTACTTTCAATGGCTAAGTTCAGTTTAAATAGCCGAACGGGAACCGTTCATGCAAATAGCCAATGCTAAAGTGTCTTCGAATTGTCGAACACCGTTCGACTCCCATCGAAGTTCCAGAGAAGGTAAAGTTCAGCGGTGTTCATCCCAGCGCGTGTCCGATTTGAGTTCCATGAACTCAACGACAAAACATCACTGAACATGTTCGATTAAATAAGATGGCCGCCGCCACGTGTTTGACTATACAAACGGTGACCACCCAGCCGTTCATCAGTTTGGCTGCGGTTAACTCCCAACCTGGGAGGTAAAGAGGCTGCACACTCCACTTGTGTGTGGTCTGACTGTTCGATAGTTTGAAGTTCCACTTCGAAAGTTTAAAGGGGCATTGTGCTAAGTCCCAATATGCACAAATAGTGTTGTTAAAGGGCAATACATCCCAGGGGTCATAATCACAGGGAAAGAGGCTGGCAAGCAGGCCCCTCCAAGTACAAGTGGCGAGGTTACTTTCGCCACAATAGTTTAAAGAGACAAGCTAAATTTAATTAAAAGTATATGACAGGTACCCTTTAAATAGTGATCTTAAACGCTACACCAGATTTTCAAGGTCAGAAACGAGTTACTATGCTTGTTAATTTCTTATTCAATTCCATTGTCTCCGATAATCCATTCATTAAGTTATGATGTTTGCATCTTTCCCAATGTTGTCTACAACAATTACAATATTGTATATACAATTCTTCTTTTCTCTCTACTGACAATCATATACCCCAATTGTATACATGTTGTGTGTCAGTCATTCAGGGTTAAGCAATAGCGGTGAGAAACCAATAACCACTAAACGGGTAAGGGCATTTTTGCATTAAGGTGTTCTGCCCATTGAGTAATCAAACAATTGCACAGACATTAACCTTTCAACACCTTAATAAACCATGATTAACCTACTTTGTTTGACAGTAATCTTATTTTTGCAAGATTCTAAGTCATGAGCTGGCTCACTTGTCTGTCTGAATTCCACATGATAAGGGGCTGAGATGTAAGCTTATGATGGTAGTAATAAGCATTATTAGATCTGCATGTGTATCAATGGTTTGGAATCGCAGATGGTGAAAATAAATTTTTTTTGAATGTTGCTCAACAAATGGTTTAAAAAACAATTTACTTTTTTTTAAAAAGAGAGAGAGAGACAAAACAAAAATATTAGATTTTGTTTGTAATAGACGTTAAAGCAGTGGTTCTCAAACCAGTCCTCAAGACCCACCAACAGTCCAGGATTTAGGGATTGTCCTGTTGTGTCTAAGCTGTTTTTAAAAAAGAAAAAAAAAACCATTTTAGACTCTAAAGTATTTTTTTTTCTATCTCAAAAAAAACCTTAGTCACAATAGGGCAATCCCTAAATCCTGGACTGTTGGTGGGTCTTGAGGACTGGTTTGAGAACCACTGCGTTAAAGGAACACTATAGTCACCTAAATTACTTTAGCTAAATAAAGCAGTTTTAGTGTATAGATCATTCCCCTGCAATTTCACTGCTCAATTCACTGTCATTTAGGAGTTAAATCACTTTGTTTCTGTTTATGCAGCCCTAGCCACACCTCCCCTGGCTATGATTGACAGAGCCTGCATGAAAAAAAACTGGTTTCACTTTCAAACAGATGTAATTTACCTTAAATAATTGTATCTCAATCTCTAAATTGAACTTTAATCACATATAGGAGGCTCTTGCAGGGTCTAGCAAGCTATTAACATAGCAGGGGATAAGAAAATCTTAATTAAACAGAACTTGCAATAAAGAAAGCCTAAATAGAGCTCTCTTTACAGGAAGTGTTTATGGATGGCTGTGCAAGTCACATGCAGGGAGGTGTGACTAGGGTACATAAACAAAGGGATTTAACTCCTAAATGGCAGAGGATTGAGCAGTGAGGCTGCAGGTGCATGTTCTATACACCAAGACTGCTTCATTAAGCTAAAGTTGTTCAGGTGACTATAGTGTTCCTTTAATTTGGGGTAACAGGGCAATTCCATGCCATGAGACGTTAATTTGGGGTAACAGGGCAATTCAGTCTTGATATGCAGAATAAAATATACCAAGCTTGCTTCAAATCTTCTGCTCTCACCACTTATGCCCAGTGCAGATCATGCACCTGCTTAGTTCTCTGCCATGTAGTAGTTAACTTACTTTGTTTATGCAGCCCTACTCACACATCCCCTTACTGTGGCTCACACAGCCTCCATGAAAAGAAATGGTTTAAAAACACACACACACACACAAAAACCTTGCAGTGTGAGTTCTTATCTCCTACTTTGTTAATGGAACTTCTACCACACACATTTTCATGATAAACAATCATTTATTGAAAGCCAGTCTGATTTCTTTCACTGGATTCAAAATTGACTTATTGTATGCAGAGGATGAGTCGGAACATGATTACTAGATTCCGATACGGAATTAGTGGCCCGAAAATGAGGCTGGATTAAGGTCTAGACCAGGCTTCCCTAAACTCCGGAACTCCAGATGTTGCTGAACTACAATTCCCATGATTCTCAGCCTATTTTTTTCATAAAACCATGGGAGTTGTAGTTCAGCAACATCTGGAGGGCCAGGGTTTGGGGAAGCCTGGCCTGGACGGAGTAATAATGTACAAAAATATATAGCATAACTTTTTAGTGGTGAGCGGTTTACCATGTAAAGAAGTAAGTGATAATTAGGATCCTGGCGAACCTGGTTTGGGATTAATGAGTCTAAAATTTGAACTGGGCACCATTTAGAAAAAGTAGTATAGTATGGGATTTCTACTGGAGGACCAGACTGACTTGTTTTGGTACAAGGAATACATAGGATGCAATGATGGTTGATTTTCTTTAAATTCTTAAGCTTAAGGCACGACTGCAAGTCGGATGCTTTTTCAACGGTAAATTCTTTTTGGCCTCAAGAAACTGTAGAAAGCTACGTAAGCTGCTGGTTTCATTATTATATTGGTGGGGTTATTAAAGGGCCGTTTATCCATTAATTCCAAGATTTCCCTAAAGATGTTAAGGTCTATAGGGAGTTTTTTGGATGGTTCTGTAGATTTAGTCTCTGAATACCTCTCAGCACACTCTTAACCGGATAAGAAGACAAAATGGGAGTTTTATTGGGGTATAGTGATAACATGTAATGTTGTATGCCTGTTAAGTATAGTTTAATTGTATTGTAGGTTAACTTCAGAGAAATGTGGCAAAGAGTTGTGAAAGCAACCGTAATTTCAACTGAGAACACATTTATTATATTGAAATCACACACAAATTTCTTAAATAGACCATAGCTCAAGCATAAGCTTTTTTTAGTGTTGGTAGACAATCCTGCCTGTGTAAGTAATATGCTCTGACTTAAACAACTTAAGACATGATTAGGTCTTTGAATTGTGGCAGATCTCTGGGCTGAATATTCGCTGTCTGATGTCTGAAAAATTCCTGCAAATTAGAACGTGACAGAGCATCAGCTGCGTTATTCAGAACACCTGGCACACAGATGCAGTGTAAATAGAACTGAAGTTTAGCTCCTAACCAAGTGAGTTTCCTTACTAAATACATTATAGTAAGAGATTTTGACTAGCCTTTATTAATCATGTCGCAGGCTGCCATTTATCAGAGAAACATCTACTTGCTCTCCCTTTTCACTCATTACCTCATATATGTCCTGCTTCTACTATGGGAAAGACTTTGAACAGTGCTGATTAAAATTGTCTAGATTGGCTGTTTCTGGTGGCTTGTACCCAATCATCACCGTATATAACCGCATAACCTGTGGCTCCTGCTGCGTCGGTCCATATTACTGGGGAGTCATTCGTAATCGGTGGAACAAATAGAGATCTGCCGTACCATGAGGATAGAAAGAAATGCCACATTTTTAATTCAGTCCTAGTTGGGACATCAGAATCAATTCTAGAGTAGTCATCTGGCAGTCCGTGTCGCAGTGTGAGTAGTCTAGAGATAAAATCCCTGCCTTGAGGAACGATCCTCATGGCAAAGTTGAGTGAACCTAACCGTGACTGCAATTCCCTTGTAGTGCAGGACCCACAAGAGCTGCAGGTATCGATGTATGTCAGAATTCTGTCTATTTTCTCATGGATGCAGAATTTAGTCTGATACCCAGGAAATTAATTTCCATATTGGGACTTTCTGTTTTGTCTGCAGCAATCGGAACTCCTAAGTCCTTGAATAATGAAAGGGTGTGTATTAGGCTGGTTGGTGTGGAGCAGTGAGGTTCAATTAAGAGAAAATCGTCCAGGTAGTGTATGACCACTGGATATCTGCGTTTGTTAAGTAAGAGCCATATTGAAGTTTCAGCAAAAATATAAAAAAGTATTGGGCTACTTTTGGCACCAAAAGTCAGTCTTGTGGCAAAGTAGTATAGGTCTTCCCATTTAAAGCCATGCAACTGTCAGAGTGATGGCTGTATTGGGAGGAGTTTGAAAGCATTTGTGATGTCTGTTTTGCTCATCCAGGCTCCCTTACCGGTATTAATAATAGCTCGAATAGCATCGTCTATTTTTGTGTATTGTAAAGAAGTCTTCCGAAGATATTAAAGTGTTTAGACTAGTCTGGTCCACTGTGCTTCATTAAGTCCAGGGTCAACGCAGCTGTCTACCAAATTTTGGAGCACTTCATGCTTCCTTCCTCAGACGAGCTTTATGGGGATTCTGACTTCATTTTCCACCTGCCCACACTGCCAAAAGCACCAAAGCCTGGTTCAATGACCGTGGGATTACTGTGCTTGATTGGCCAGCAAACTTGCCTGACCTGAACCCCATAGAGAATCTATGGGGCATTGCCAAGAGAAAGATGAGAGACATGAGACCGAACAATGCAGAAGAGCTGAAGGCCGCTATTGAAGCATCCTGGTCTTCCATAACACCTCAGCAGTGCCACAGGCTGATAGCTTCCATGCCACGCCGCATTGAGGCAGTAATTGCTGCAAAAGGGGCCCAAACCAAGTACTGAGTCCATATGCATGCTTATACTTTTCAGAGCTCCGATATTGTTCTATGTACACTCCTTGTTTTATTGATTGCATGTAATATTCTAATTTACTGAGATTGTGGATTTGGGATTTTCATGAGCTGTAAGCCATAATCATCGCACTTATGACAAATCACAGCTTGAACTATCTTGCTTTGCATGTAATGCGTCTATCTCATATATTAGTTTCCCCTATTACGTTGCATTACTGAAATAAATGAACTTTTGCACGATATTCTAATTTTTCGAGTATCACCTGTACAAATCCAGTTTCTCTGTGTGGTGAGGATCACATCCCTAAATAAACCAAAAGCTAAAACGAATTCTGGGATATTTAAATTTCTTGTTAAGTCTGGGATCTCTAGCCTTCATTCCCACAGACAGATCACCAAAGGTGAAGCAATGAGAAGAGAGGTCAAATTAATGTCTTTACCCTCTAAAATGTCAAGTTTCAAATTTTGAGGGATCAGATGTACCGGGTTAATAATGTTAGTACTTTTTGAAGGTGGTGGGTTGGAATTACCTCCTAGGCTTGGTTCTGGAAGGGCTATGGGTTGTTGTATATCCGGAATAGATGTGTGGTTAGTGATTTCCAGATTGTCCAACCTGTTATTAATAGTGGCTATAGAAGCCACCCGAGATAAGAACATACTATGAAGTTCTGTTAAGCTATTTTGGATGTTGCATTCACTACTGGGGCCAGGTCTCTCGTTATCGTTTTGAGCAATCAAAAAACAGTTCAGCTTTCCTAGCTGTAGCTGGAAAGGGAATATTCCTTCTTTTAAGTTCTGCTGTAATTTTGGGTATTGTCCATGATCTGTAGCTGGATTCTGGGCTGATAGCTACGGTCTGTCTCGTAGGAGAATTGGATCTGGATGGGGTGCTGGTAAGCGTCGTCTTTGTGTAGCAAGGTGTTAGACTAACTACGGGTTTAAAGAAAACAATTGATTATTGGTATGTAAGGCGACAGGTATGAAGTAAATCCGCTACCTACTACTAGTGCCAAGTGGCAAAATTATATTATTCTAACTAGTTTGGCGACAGATGAGGCCCTAATTGCCAAGTGGCTCTATCTATGATTTGGTGCGTGGGGCTTCTTTGATGCCGTAAGTGGCGGGGTGTTGGCCTCTCGGTGAAGATTACCAGATTTAAGATAGATTGGCCATGGCAGATGAAGCCCTGACTAGAACATAATGCAAGGCTCTAGCTATGCGCTGGGCTTTTACCTCCGAGCGAGAGGATGGGAATTGGCCTTCCAGGACCACTCCAACTAAGGCAAAAAAGCCTATGAAATATTTTTTACCTAGTTGGCGAGAACTTTCAGAAGGATACTTCATACCTAACAAAGGTTTTGAAGAAGCTCTTAAAGATATATATATATTTTTTTGTACCTTGCCAAAAACTTTTTTTAATGCTTTTTTAGCTTGAGTATTTAAACCTAAAAACAGATTAGAATAAAATAATTTTTATTTTATTTTTTAAACTTAAACCCGTATTTACCTACTGGAATAAGCAGATCTTTTAAATGTGGAAAGGATGATGGAATTGGTTTACTCGACTTGGAGACTAAGTATAAAATTAAGTTTTCAGCATGTGTGGTAGCATTAGTTTTGATGAAATATTATCATAAATAATGGATTGCGTACCTAGCGTGTATTTTAATGACCTATGGAATTTTCTATTGTTTTGCGGGTTTATATTAACCTAAAAAAGAACCAGCAGAACGAGTCAAATTTAATTTCCTATTTATATTTATATGACGAAGGAAATAAAATACTTAAAATTTACTGAGCCAGTAATTGCTCAAAGAAATTCCTGAGCTACAGAAAGTTAATGAGATTCCCCCAGAAAGCTGAGACCTGAATGATTAGGAGGGAACAAGGAAAGAGACAAAAGGGAAAAAAGGGGAATGAAAAAAAAAAAGAGAAAAAAAAAGGAAATATAACAACTAAAATTACTGAATCGTGCAATTTATTTGAGAACTTTTTCATTTCATATATGAACTGGTATGAACAACGATTATAAATTAGATTAACCCTGAGAATTCTGAACCGTTACATTGTTAGGTACTTAGTGAACCTTCCCCCCCGAGACTGTCATACAGCACATTTAGAGAACAAATAAGAATTCACTTAAATAGTAGCTGAAACAGTATTGCATAAAACTAGTGAATTGCCATAGATTTAATAAAGAAGGCAAACGAATTCCAATTCCTGGACAAGAAAACAAACAAACGTAAAACCTTTCATGCGAATTGGTGTTCGTAATTTTTTTTGATGCGAACAGCTGTGAACCTGGCAATTATGTGAAATAGTTTAAGTATAAACGGTATGAAATAAATACACGAATGTCGTTCGTATGCTTTCACCCATCCGAATGAAGTATCTGTAGAACACACTGTCAAATAAAGCAGATAAAACGTGAATACATTATTTAAACAAACGGAGAATACAAACAAATTGAATACGAATTGCTTCCACTCTCCCACTCGCATGGAGGTAGGCAAACTTCAGCACTCATGATATTGTGGGTTACATCTCCCATAATGCTCTTACATGTATAATATTTAATAATTACCCAGAAAGAAATCAGCAAGAAATGCCACAGCAATATGTCACCAAAGAAGGAAATTTTATGGTGAGCGCTGCAAAAAATTAACTTTCCCATATTTAGTTGTAAGGAAAAAACCAAAAACAAACCCATATTGTATTGAGCAGGGTAGTCTATCTTTGATACAGAATTTCAAAAATCGGTCATTTGTTTCTGAACACTGAATTTAACCTTAAGGCACTTTGTTATGAATTAAATGCTACAGACAGACTACACTGATCAGCCACATTAAAACTACCTGCCTAAAATCATACAGGTCCTCCTTGTGTCCCATAATGCATCTTGTCGTCACCTCTTTCTCAGGTAAATGGCACACATGTCCATCCACCTGATCTAAAGGAAGACCTGATTCGTCATACCAAGCAATCTTCTTCTATTGCTCCATGGTCCAGCGTTGACGCGCACGTTCAACATGCTCAGCAAACTCTGATGCACTGTGTGCGCTGACATTTTTCCATCATGGCCAGCATTATATTTACAGCAATTCCAGCTACCGTAGCTGTTAACATCAGACCAGATAGGCTAGCTTTCGTTTCTCATGTGCATCAATTAGTCGGTTTACCAGAGTTGTCCTTCCTTGCACCACAATAGCATACTAGAAACACCCCTACATACCCACAACACAGTCATCTAGCCATCACTTTTAGCCCTTGTCAAAGACACTCAGATCTTTTCGCTTGCCCATTTTCCCTCATTTCAACACATACAATTCAAGAATAGACTGCTCACTTGCGGTCTGATGTATACCACAGGTGTCATTGCAACGATATGATCAGTGTTATTCATGTCACCTGTCAGTGGTTTTAATGTTTTGGATGATCAGTGTATGTACAAGGTGTGAATCAAGAAAGCATAGTTAAACACTGAATGATGGCTGTATGTAACCTTTATACAGATTATTACAAGGACCAAGCACTCAGCAAAAGAAACTGTAGAAAAGCTGTGCACAGCAATCCTCACATCATAACAAGAACAATTGCACTTTAAATGTCTATTTTAATCTCTCAAGTAGCTAATGGGTTAAAGTGTAAAGATAAGGACTGTTATTTTCTGCAAAAAAATACAATAAAATTCATTAGCGAGTCAGTGAAGTGTAAATTATCTGGCGTTTAAGGTAAATTAAAAGAGACTTTCAAAATTAGGCAAAATTATCTGAACTGTTAAATTATTGAAATTAAATTTAAAAAATTTACTTTGAATGCACACTGATTTCAAATCATCTCCCCACCACCCCATAACTGATGGACCAAAACCCACAACATTATTTGAATGGAATCAATGAACAGTGATTTATGGAAGTTGTAGTCCAATAACATCTGGGGGTATGGAGTTCAACATCCCCACTGTGGTGAATAACCCTGCTGTTCTATCAATCCCAATGTTTTAAAGGTGATCCCAGAAAAGACATGACGTATCTTCTAAAAAAGTATTTTATCTAAACTCAATTATTCTCAACTCCTTTTACCAGATATAACATGATAGGAAGGTTGAAATGGTGCAGTAGAGTAGGTCAATACAAACGCAGACAGACAAAACCGTTCAGACAATGAAGTTTTTATTAAGCGAAAACTGTTACTACTTTTGACAGTTTGCTCTATTAACAATGTATGCTGCTCATAAGGAAAGACTCCAAAAGGGGCTCCAAAACAGACTTAACACGTCATGAGAGATAAAAAGGTAAAGTGCATGAAAGAATGGCTGCTCAGATGCGTGAGGAAAGTTTGAAAAACAACAGGATCATTCACCAGATCGGCAGCAGGCCCGAAAACCGCACTGCAGGTTCTGGCATCCGCTGGCGGTGTCAGCATGAGGACCTACACAAGAACAGAACTCAGGTGAAAACCAAAATCAGCAATTTACATTTAACAGATAACATCCCTAATATTGTGTACATGTTCCTGTTACTAGCCAAATCCATGCTATATGTTTAACATTAATAACTGGGCAAAATACATTTTAAAAGAGTAGTAGACGTAAACATTTAAAGTGACACTATAGTCACTATAACTATTTCATCTCTTTGAATTGGTTATAGTAACTGGAGTCCCCTGGCAGTGCCTATATTGTCCCTTAAATCGGGATTCAGAGATAGGATTCACTGTGGATGATTTTATTTTTGCTTATCACCAGTGTAAATGAAAAATTAAATCTCAATGAAATTGTCTGTGTACAGAGCCTCGTTTTTTGGTTCCACAATGTATAACGATGCCATTTTAGAGACATGGCAATGCTTACATTGCGGGGTTAAACAAACCTCTGGCCGCTGTTACACGGACAGCAAATAGATGGTGCTTCCAGAGTGTTTTTGATGTTCCACGTTCTCAGGCATTGCCTAAGGACATTAAATGTCCTCTGATGCCTCCCTACAAGAAGCATTTGACTTGCAGAGTGCTGTCTTGTCCACAATGCTTCAATATGAGAAGCATTGAATAGGACGAGAAGTTGAAGAGGAGACTAGACAAAACAGGAGGTGGAGTGGGTGGATGAGATTCGGCGCTGGAAAAAAAGGTATTGGATTAAACTTTTAACCATAGAAAGGGGGGACACAAAGATGTCAATAATCTATTTAAAATAAAGAATATATATTTTTGTCAGATTCCCTCTAATAAAAACACTGTTTGCTTTAGCAAATTCCTTAGACTGAGCACAGTCATTAACCTCTTTCCTTCACTGATCATACATTTTCTACTAAAGAAACATGTGCCACACTTTTAAGACACTACTACTGACATTGTTTCAGAACAATGGCATTGGTTAATATTTTTGGACAAACTTTTAAAATGATTTAATATTTTGGAGAAAATAAATAAATGAAAAGGTTATACAAAATTATTAAACTGGAGGCAAATAATAGAAAGAGCAGTGAAATGGAGCTGTGCAGTAAACACTTCATTACGCTGTTAAAAACAGCTCACTGTGTGAGGGACATGAATTCCATTTAAACTAACCAAGTAAATACACAGAGGAATCGAACAGCTGCAGTGGGTGTAGGAACTCCTTGGCTGAGTACTAAACCTTTGGTCTTCAGGACATAGGTTACTGTGCATCCATTAGGTTAGAGATCTAAATAGATGGCTGTGTCGTTTCACACCACCAATATTTCCGCTTTGCTGATGGCCCTTCTAATTTGAAGTATTACATTGATCATGTTTAATGGCGAAGAAAAAAATAAACATACATACTCACCTTTGAAGTTCCTCCGTTTCCTACACCTGCAGTGAAATCATCTTAAGTGAACAAGTAGCTGAAATGCCTCAGCAAATCTTGCCACCTCATTCCCCTTATTTGGAGTCCTGGGACAGCTAATTAAAGGTGACAAGCATGAACATGGGGCATTAGCAACAGATTGAAAAGAAACAGGATATGTTTCTTTATTGTAACAGTCTGCATAGCACAAGCTCATGACAACTCTGTATAGTCAACAGTCTAATGTTAGGGCTCTCTTTTCTCCTCTTCCCTCACCAATCAGACAGTCACTGTGCCAATCCCTGGAGGGGAATCCATTCCTCCCTTACTGTGGAGTGTATAATTATCCGTACCACTGTGTGGATGAAACCACTGAGAGGGGAACTAGCAGTTTAAAGCTCTGCAGAGAAGGTGGAAATCTTCATGACCGCTACCAGCTCTCAACCTACAGACACAATGAAAGGGGTACTTCAAAGGCTGCAAGAACAACCTGCATGCCTCACACACAGTCATTTATGAGGGTCATTGGCCATCTACATATATGAACATGATCCTTCTCCACTATACATCTGTCAATCATTCAGCAATGAGGAGAATCAAAACAATAGAAAATAGGGAGGGAAATTGATAAATTATTTAATCAGAAAGGAAGATGGCATAACAAAAGGGAGAGAAGTAAATTAAAATATAAACAATGAAAAGAAGAGAAGAGAGGTTTATTGAAAGAGTGCTATCAATCTTCCAATTAAACCAGTCTTTCTTTTCATTGCAGTTTAAATACTAAGGAGGCTTTCTTTTCATTGCAGTTTACATACTAAGGAGGGGCCTTGAAAACAAGTGATTATGGAGGTTGATAGGGTGGGGGGGAAGATAAGATATGATGGGACAGAAAAATTGTACCATTCATTTTTAATGTGCCCATTCCCAAGCCAAAACATTTGTGCAATGATGTTTGACAGCACAGGTGGTAGGGTATTGAAAAACAGTTCTCATCAGTCTGCAATTCCCATAAGCATGTGCCAAAAACACAGTATGCTCTGACTAAAGATTTATTGCTCTACTTATCCATCTGGAGTTCTGATAATTGTATGCTCCAGTGTCTAGCATAAAGGTAAACAATTTACCATGATTCACAGCCCACCTTCCAGTATGTATATTTTCTTTAAGTATCATGGGATTTGTAGTGTATCAGCAGGTTGCATACTGAAAGGCTAAAGGCAATTCTGATCGTGTATTAAACCAAAAAGATAAAAGCACCAAATGTTTAAATTCAAATGTTATCATCACCAAAAACTACCTGTGGGCATATGTGCTAATCTTTTATTGGGACACTTGCAAAACTTTGAAAAATTCCATATTCGATTACAATTATGAAAGCAGGTGGGGTAGGTCAGACAAAAACACAAAAGATTTATTCCTCTAAAAATAATCATGGGCTGAAACTGGTGATGGATGGTGTAATTACAGAATTATCAATCTCCTCTTTGTAAAGTTTACATGGTTTTCAAATTCCCAAAATATTATATTAAAATGAAAACATAAAATGTTGCAGATGCAACTACGCAAATGTTACACTTACTTGTTTACTTTTAAAAGGAACACTATAGTTACCTGATCAATGTTTACATAGCCGTGCCCCCCTCAATGAAAAGGTGATATTTACTTATCTTTTCTCTATCGCCGACCCGGTCTCGACGTGACTAGCCCCACCTCCACAGCAGAGATAATCAATATTAACAATCTCAGCCAATCCAATGCTTTCCTATAGGAAAGCATTGGGAGGCTATTGCGCATGCACGGCAAAACACCATGCTGCACCATTCACACAGAGATGCAGTGAATGAATTAATCTCTACGGGGTGAGAATGTAGGCGCTACATTGTGTGCAGTCTGGGTCTGGGTGACTGCCACTAGAGGTGTTATTGGGCAGCAATGTAAACATTGCCTTTTCCATGAAAAAGCAGCATTTACATTGCTGAGCCTGCAGAGACAGGCAATAGGCACCAGAACCACAACATTAAGATGTAGTGGTTCTGTGGACTATAGTGTCCCTTTAAAACAGGAAAATAACAAAGTGATGTATACATTGTGCTAGACAAATTAGTGTCACCTTATGGATTCAATTTAATTACATTTTCTTATACCTCAGTTTTGAGAACCATATTGTGCATTGATTTCTGGGGGATGTCTATGGAAGAAGCTTAAAATGAGACAAACCTGAAGCTCTCATAGGAGCCACATCATCCTCCAGGAGACTGCATCAGTATTGTACTCAAGCATGTACCCGAGTACAAAACAAAGGCCTATGGATCCCTCTACAGAACTTTTAGTGGTATGTGCAAGAAGATGCCCTTTCATTCCAAAAGTTCTTTCTATGCAATATGAGTGTTTTATATATTAAAAAATAAATAAAAAAATAAAAAAAAAATATCTATGAAATACTCAAAAGTGCCCTTTGAAGAAACAATCTAATTTTAAATATATATAATTTTTTTTTCAAAAGTTAGATATGTATTTTTGTCCTGAAATAAAAAATACCTAACTTGCAATTCAGCGCTGGTATGATCGCCTCACTGCAGACGCTCTGCCTTTTCTGAGGCCACCAATGGTGATGACAAACACAAATAGCATGGAGAACCTACAGCAAGTTGCCAGTATTGCCAAACAAATATTCTCATAGAGAATAGCATTTAGTGGCATCATGCTGTGCAAGGTTTTCATAAAGAATCACTAGAGGCGTAGTTTCAATTGTAAATACTGCCATTTCTCAAGAACGGCACAAAAGTAAGATGAACAAGTAAATGAAATGCCACACACAACAGGTGCATTGTGTGTGTTGCACCATTCACTGCTATTAAAAAATGTTTCACAAGAGTTTTAAAGAGATACAGCCTCCTGCAAGGGAGCCAAGACTGCTGAAGAAAGTGATGAAGAATGTTGGCAAAAAGAGAATTATAATTTTTGCAAGGTACGCAAGCAACACTTTTACATACACTTCATTCCATTCAATATGCAAATAACCCAAAAAGAAACAATTATTTCATTGCTCACTACCATCTTCCTATATATCACATAACAAGAAAATGTAACTAAGCAAACATTACCATTAATGTTGTCACAGTAGTAGAAGTGCTCATCGTTAAGAGCAGGGCATGCTGAAACCAAATCCTGCAGGCCAGATCCAGTCACCATTAGACACCCAGAGAGATTTAGGTGTTCCAGATACGGTAATCCGCCCCATAACGTTAACATCCTTTAATCATAAGATACAGAAAAAAAAAACACCTGTCAATTGCTTCACAAACAATCACTATTGTATGCAACAGGAGAAAAATCAAATGGATCCTATATATTGTCTCCATAAAGTACAACCCCCTAAAGTGCACACATTGTAGTAAAACATACTGGTTGGCTTGGACCCCGTTTATCATACAGAATATTATATATTACTAGAAAATGCTGTGGATTGGACCCAGTGTGTAAAAACTGAAAAATCCCCACATAAAAAAAAAAAACCCAGATCTGAACTGTGGACTTTAAAAAAATAAAAATAAATAATAATAATTAAAAAAAAATGGACAGGCCTGTCCCCTAAAACACTTAATCACATGTTCCTTGACAGCTTGCTTTATATATGTTCAGACTTCTTTTTATAAATCTTCTTTGCAACACCTCTTGGCTGTTAAGCAGCTGGGTGGGGTTCCTGCCTCATTCGCTTTGAACTATAGTTCAAAAGAGGAAGCGAATGCTTCTCTTAAAGAAACAGTAGTTTTAATATGTCTTCATGAGAAGCACTGTTAGTGAATCACACTGCTTTTCTAAGAAACACTTTGATAACAAGTTGCCAGTAATGATGCAGTAAAGGCGAGCTTAACAGATTTAAAATCTTATCAGTGACAAAAATGGAAGGGTTGGGGAGCAAGGGTGGGATTGGAATGGCAGAGAGGATGGGGGAGGGAAGGAGCCCGTGATAACCTCCACAGACCGCAGCGCTGGACTCCATGGAAGACCATGGCAGTGGACATAATGGACAAGTTCAGGTAAGAAAAACTAACCTTTCCCTTCACCCCATGGCCACTGGACACCCAGCAAAGCAGTCACCATTGGGCATCTTTGTAAAATATGAAGGTGATAGAGCCGCCTTATGTTAAATTGTAAAAAGACACCTAAGCAACAGGCAACACTTTAGGAAATACCGATACGAAGTATCTCCAATAACAACTTGAGGGTGAAAAACCCAGGATTCTTCTAAAAATAGTTTTTCCATCATTATGAGAAATGTAGTTACAGCTAAAGAGCCAAACCATTATGCATTATGTAGATTGCATCCTAAATAATTAGCTGTTTAAGCTCAATTTTATACTTGGTTCTTGCAAAAGAGTTAACTGTTTTACGCCTTTCTGTACAACAACCAATGTCTTCTGACCTCATTCTCTTTCTAAAATACATTCTTGCTGGTTACTGTGCATGTGTATTGCTCCCATTCTGTCCCTCAATCCTAACCTCATCAGCAAACCCAGCAAAGATTTCTGGGAGTTGTATTTCAGATTACCTAAATAAAAAATGAGTTAACTGCACTACAAATCAAAGTCAGTGCTCTGAGCAGAAATTAGGTTGTGCACAGAAATATTGTCAGCCCCACGCACTTATTAAACCTTACAAGTGCTGTGTTTGTTCAGACTCAAGAGAAAAGAAGAGGCTCCTGACTAGCAAAGCTTCTTCATGGAAAGGACAAAGTTTATGATGATGTAATGTATAGGGAGTTGCACAAATCAATGAGCTTTAACCCCTTGAGGGCCAAACTTCTGGAACAAAAAGGGAATCGTGACATGTCACATGTCCTTAAGGGGTTAAAGTACAGTAAAATGTTAGCTATTGTGTTGAAATAGATTTTATTTTAATTTAATGCATAATTTACAATTTACCTTACATCCTGGACTGTCCCTTTTAATTATGGTCTATTTGCGGCTTTGCTCTGAGTCTTGTTGTCATGCACTAATGTATTAGATTTGCAGGGGTGAATATGTACAGTATACACACATCCTGTGTCTGTGTATCTATATATCTATCTCAGATGGATTATTACACTTCTGTACTTTTGGGATACCCACCGTAATCCAACATCTGTTATCTGGTGACATCCCGAAAGGCTGAGGTATTGCAAACCTCGTGCAGTCTGTTCCGAATTTGCACTTCCAGAGCAAAAGTCTGTAATCTCTGACTGTGGGGTCTTTTTTCCATTTTTGCACAGTCCAGAGGATCCTGGGAGTGCCTGTTTAGTCCTTAGTTTCCCTCCAGGGGAACAGAGTGAATGGCCACAGAATGTTATCCCTGCAGACCTGCAATGCTGCTGCCAACTGACACTAGTCCTTACTCCAAGCACTGGCTTGCTGCTGCAGCAACCGCCGTTATAACAATTTAGGTTGGATGACATATTCCAAACACACAGTCCTTCTGTATTTTTATATTTCCAATCAGCTGCATCTTCAATATCTGCAAGATTGTCCGAATCTAGAATCCAAATATTTGAAGGTGCATAGGATTCTGATTTGTCAGGGTCTGGCCATAGATTTACAGAATATATTCCACTTTCGCCTGTCATATAGGACATGCTGCACTGAATGCTATTCGCAATGTCTTTGCTTCCCCAGGATGTTTTCACATTTTTGTGATTCAGGCAACATTTTAGCATGTTTTTCCTGTGAGATGATAGCACACCAAGTGCTAAGGACAGTCTTTCTAAAGTCAGATCAGTGATTTTGTCACAACCAGACAAGTCGAAATGGCGGAGATTCTGGCAATTACCCAATGACCATCTGAAAGAGATTACAAAGATTAAATTAATATCAACTTTACCGTGCAAGATTACCAGGACATCACCTGACACCAATCTAAGCAAATGCAGCATCAGAAGACATGCTGTTGGTTGTAAAACATTTAAGGGAACCTCCACTTTTTTTTTTTTTAATCAATCAACAGCATTTAGTAGATACACCCCTATAAAAAAAACATGCATGCATTTAATAATGTTAATATATCTAAAAACTTTGCAAGCCCCCCTTCCCCGCCCTGGCTGTGCAATGTAGATGTCTCAATGCAGCTTATTCTTAAGTCTTTGTAGGGGAGGTGCTCGTCTCTTCAGTTAAGCTTCACTGAGCTAAACTACAAAAAGTAACAGAACTGGTTGCCAGATTGACGAAAAAAAAGGTGTAACAAAGTTAATTTCTAAATGTGCCAATTTAAATTTAAATCTGCAGTTCATGTAAAATGAAAAAAGCACTCCAGCTAGTGCAAAACACACACACTGAGGAAGGGATAGGGGTCCAGAGGTTTGTCTTCCGTATGCTCTTCAAATAAAAGTGTGGTTCCACGAGTTGGCCTAATCTACTAAGCTGTGCATTGTTACCTCCTATTTTTGTTGTTACACTTTGCGGCTGATAAACCATAGCAGCCTTCTACACGTTTGCTGCACTAGGTGAATTGTATCTATACTGTTTTAGCACTAGAGTGACCGCACTCCCTTTTCTTTGTGGTTTTCCCAACATTATTCTCAAGTAAGCTTAATAACCATGTATTCCACTGCTAATGCATTTTAACTAACCCATCAAATGCAGAATCTGAGATATCAGTCTGAGTAAGATCCACATGTTCCAAGTTAGGACAGAACTCAAGTATCTGACGAATCTGTAAAACATAGATGTTAATAAATTAACATGTATGGGCATATATGAACTTTCTACATCACAGTTATAACTGCTAGCATACTCACCATTTTGCTGCTGACAGCAGAGCTATAGGCAAGAACAAGGGTTTTCACAGAACGTCCAACACTTGGAAGAATGTTATGTATCAAACCATGGAGTAATTCTTTTTCTTGCTGTGCCACATTAATGTGGGAATTATCCTCATCTGTCTCTTCTGGAAGAGGAAAAGATACAAACACAAAACACCTTATGGAGTGTGTGTGTGTTATGTTCTAAAAACAAACTCAAAGATATAAAGCAGCATTTATGCAAGTGGAAATACTGCTTACCGGATTCATCTACATCTGCATCTTCATCATATTCCTGATAGGCGAGACTCTCATCTTTTCTTCTTGAAATCCATTCATCGTCTGGTTCTGTGTCAAGGTGTGTAGGTGGTCCATTGTACCAGTTGCCTATTAAATAAACATTTGTACAAAATAAAATAAGCATAGCAATAGAAACAAATCATTACATTTCCAAAATTGAAACAAGGGCAGGTGAGCGGCAATCGATTATCACAATTTAACTTCAGTGACTCTACAGTCTCCTTAAAGGAGTCCTGAAGTGGCTGTTTAGGTCACCAGCCCCCCCGATGGCAGTGAAAAGATATTTTTAACTTACCCTTTCTCCCTTGCCGTGAGTGGCCTGCCTCCATGGCTGAGATCATCAATGTTGATGACCTCAGCCATTCAAATTCTCATAGGAAAGCATTGGGAGACTATAGCACACGAAGCAATGCATCTCTAAGGGGAGCATTCCGCGTCTCAATGCAGAGTGTGGAGACACTGAATGGAGATGCTACACTGTGTGCCACACTAAGATAGTGAGCACTTCTAGAGATCGTCCGATTGATTGTCACTAGAGGTGTGTTACTAGGCAGCATTGTAAACACAATCTTTTCTCTGTTTACAATGAACAGCTTACAGGGACAGGAAATAGACACAAGAACCACTACATTAAGCTGTATTTGTTCTGCTGACTACAGTTTCCCTTAACAAACAAACAGATCACTCAATGAAAAACATTAAGGCTATAAATATAAAAAGAATACAATAAGCATTAGACAAACAAATACATAGAATGCTAAAGTGAGTCCTATATAAGATATTTTAAACTTTAAACCCCCCCCCCTCCAATTTTTATATGGTGGTAGCTCAAAAGAGAAAGGTATGTAAAAAGAAGTACAATTCTAGGTTATATCTTTTACGTACCTGAATATCAGGAGAGATGCAAAATGGACCGTCCCCGCTTGAATAATATAATATAATCATATTACAAAAAATAATTTATTTGCAAACACAAAGCAATACCCTTTGAAAACCTATATTAGATGGAATAAGGACAGAAGTAAAGATTATATGAATCAATAAAATAAAAAAAAGGATCTTAACAGAAGTTGGTTTAGAGTTATTATTAAGTTCTTGTTCTGTTGTATTGGCTTTGGAAAAACACCCAAAGAGAATGACTCACCTCGCGCCCACAGAACTGGGTAGAGATGCTTCCAAAGAGATCCAGTTTTTGCCAGCTGTGCCCATTTAGTGTTTACTTGAATACAGCGACACAGTTCCTGCGGGTTAAGGTAGCTAAAAATGTTTAGCATTACCTCTGGAGGAAGATGGGAAATTGAAGTAGTGCTTGGCTGAATCTTTGTTTCTGTATAAAGAATACATTAATGCAGCTATTAGAATAAAATACAAATATTGAATAGAATATGTGTTTAAAGTTGCACTGTCATTTCCCCCATTCTGTTTTTCCTTTCTCTCTTTGCATCTTAATGATTATAATTTCAGCATGCGCCTTTTCGTTATTTGCATTTATATTCGTTTCCTTGCACCAGACCTGGGTGTCTGCATTTTGCTGTGCTCTGTTCATTATGTTGGCAGTTTGACCTTTTGTTAGCTTCTTTGGACAGATAAATTGTGAGTAAATAAGTTTACTAACTGAAATGGAACTTTGCTTAATCTCTGCCAAAACTATCACTCCCTCCATGTGAAAAAGCAGTCCCTAACTTTATCTTATGTAGAACTAAAAAAAATTAAGGTAAATATCAACAAAATAATAACAAAAGACTAACAAAGTGGGGTTAAAAGTGTGTGTGTATAATAAATAAATGATATATATATATATATATATATATATATACACACACACACACACACACACACACATATATACACACACACACAAACACACACGCAAAATATTATTTAAATAGGGAGGATAGGGGCGCCATAGTGTCAGGAATACAGGTAACAATATGTGAAATGCGCAAAAATTCCCATTTGAAACTCAGAGACAAAGAATTAGAGCGATGTCAGTCTCCTACTTCAAGTAATATGAATTATTGAAGCAAAGCCACTTGAGAGAGTCATTTAAACAATAATCCTAAATAGTACAAACTTCCTTTAACATTGCAACACACACTAGATAGAGCCTGTTCTATACATTGGCAATTGTAGATGATTGAAAAATAAAGGGCATGTTAGAGATTTTGAGTAATTTGGCTTAGATTTTGCAGTTTCCCTGCCAATTTCTCACAAGTCCGAGTTTAGTGAATAAACTTTATTAAAGGGTTTAAAAACACTTTAAATAATAAAGCCACATGTAAAAATTAATCTACACTCATACATGTTGATCGTCCAGGACTTAGAAGGCACCATCTAGCAAACTAGAACTTCCATGATGGTTTGCTAGTATTCTCATGGAAGCAGTAGTTCTACATATTAGCTATCTCAAACATTGAAAGACAGTGAATATATTAAAGGAGATAATCCTGTATGCAGAAGTATTGGTAAATTAGCAAAACTCTTGCAATCCCAAATCATTAGAACTGCAAAGGGAGAAATTATGTAAAATGCTCGGTTTGTAGTACTTTTAGGAACTGCATGCTACAGAAGATATAGAAAGCAAGCTCGACTTAAATGTCCTTACATATGGTTGAAATGTCTCACCTTGCTCTGCCTTTTCATCTACTGAATATTTGAACACTTTTTGAAGCTCTTCAGCTTGGTTCCAAATGCTCAGGCCTCTAATACGTTCGGCTGTGTCCTTCTGGGAGCAGTGCTGTGCAATCACTTTCTTTTTTATATCTTTCAGCTCATCGTAAGTGAAATATTCCATCAACATAGGCTGAAAAACCTGAGAGAAAGCACACGCAAACGACTAATCCACAGCTGTCCAAATCGTTTAAGAATTAAGGAAACAGAATTTTACTTCTATATTTATGAGGGTTATACACACACACGTTTATATTTATGTAGTCAAATCCCAATGTATGAATCAAGTAACTGCAACAATGAGGAGTATGTAAGCTGTCCATGGCTTAGCAGCTAACAGATTGTGAAAATAAAGCTATGTTGAAATAGCAAGTTATTACTACGGGTAAATACAAATACACGGACAGAAAACTGAAATGCTGTTTGTCCCCTTTTCAATATCAGAGTTGCTGGACAGACAGCTAAAGATTAAAAAGAGGATAAAAGAAGGAAAATAAAATCTAGTGCAATACTGACTACCAATACCAGGAAAAAGGCAAATTATACCAAGAATGTACTGTCAGTCCTTTGAAATGAGGAACCATGTTTACAGTAGTGAATTAATTCACAAAATGCAAAGTAGCAGATTATTATAATTATTAGAAGGTTTGCCCTTGTATGCACTCTGATTAAGAAATATTACAAAGCGGAAATTAATTATAGTATAAAGACCTACAGCACCCACATCGTGTTTAATTAATTATTCCACTTTATCACAAACCTCTTCCTCTTCCTTCATGTGGGGAAGGAAATCACTGGTGAAAGCTTCCAGCCTCTCCTTCAGCTGCTGAGCATAGTTCAGTTGCTCATACTCATTCTGGAAATAAAGAAGTACAGTAATGTTTTTAAAGTAGAAAGTATGTTGTTAATGTTCAGGTACAATATTAGAGAAGTTGCATCCCAAAAGACAAGAGTCATGTACAGTAATTATCATGATCTGCAAGCACTGAAACCAATACTTCTGTATTAGAAGCCCTTTGAGCAAGCACTCAAAGTGAATGAGGAAGCCCTTCCAGCTATCCTAGCCTTAAAAATGTTCACTTTTATAAGACAAGACCAAGTGGACATGCTCTTAATTGGAATAAGTAAAGTTACAAAAAAAATAACACTCCAGCCGTAGATGTTTAAAGTGAGACTAAAGCGCCAGGAACACAAACTCTTTTTGTCAGCTGGCTGTGGAGCTCTAATAGGCATGCGCTCACATTAGGATTTCTCCATAGGAAAGCATTATTCAAGCGTGAGGACGTCCAGCATCATTTAGGTGACCGAAAGTTGCCTAAGCACCTGGAAGTCCCTCTAGTGGTTGTCTAGTAGACAGCAAGTAGAGGAGGAGTTAACCCTAGCAGGTAATTATTGCACTTTATAACAAACTGCAATAGTTACATGCTCAGGGTTAAATGTGATAGGACACTGCTCCCAGACCACTTCAATGCGCTAAAGTGGTCTGGGTGCCTATAGTGTCCCTTTAAGAACAACATTTTCTATTCAGCCAACATAGGACTAGAACAAAAGACATTACTGCTAAAAATGCGTAAGGAGTTATCTGCAATTTTTCTCTTTTCTAACCTGCCCTCTGTATCATGGAAAACCATTTAATGATAAAAGTCTATATATTTTCAATCAATATTAAATGTGGTGGATCCTTACAATTTTTTTTTTTTATTTTTTTTTACAGCAGATGTGGTTTACCTGCTGCCTTATAGATTCAATGGCAGGCAATCCACCACAGTCACAATAACGCTTTCTACTGAGACCTCTATCTTATTTATAGAACCTCTCCCACAAGTAGATCCAAAAGGAGTATGTTACTTACCTGATCCCATCTCGATTCACTGTCCCACTGGTTAGAAAGTATTTGAGCAGTTGTCAGTTTGAAGCACAACAATCCATTAAGTTATAGCGCTATCTGCACTCACAGACAATATGTACATACATGGGCCTGCAGTAAATAATGACTGTATAGTAGAGAGAGAAACTCCCTTACATCCTTCTTTTATTATTTAGAATTACTTTTATATTTTTATTAAAGAGAAATTTTATAAATTTAAACTGTGTACTTTAACTTTTTTCATTACATCATCTCAACTGAAAACTAATTATGCACGTTAACCATCCTGACATCACTTACCTTTATATTCTTCAGTCCTTTCTCAAACAGGACAAGCATCTCCGATAGCTTATTGTCCGAATGCACATTGTACACTGTCTGGCTGCGTTGCTGCAGCAAGCCGATGATATATTCATTCTCAATTTGCTCATGCATTTTGAACTCTTTGAATGTTTCATACAGAGACTGCAGTAATGCTCGAAAATCCGTGTTGTTGGAAAAATTGGTCTTGGAAAGCTGTTAAACAAAATAAAATAAAAATATTTGCATACAGTAGTTATATATTCTAGATCTAGACCATTGCTTTTACACACTGCCGGTGATATTTAAGCCTGTCTCTGGGGAGCCAAACAGCCATATCCCACCAGCTCTATAGTTGTGATGTGTAACCAATAGGATCAAACATAAAGCACAGACTTTTTTTAATGATCTACATAATACTTCATTTTAATATAATTTTTTACATTATTTCTGCCATTTATCATGGATAGAAGCAGTATAAAACAAGAAGCAGATTCATTCATTTGCTGTCAAATTATCTCTTCTTTCCCAAAAGCACAACACCAAATATTTCTCTAAGGCTGGTTTCATCAATCTAATTGTTGGTCTGTAGTGATGTCCCGAACGGTTCGCCACAGACTCCAGTCAGCAGACACATTCCAGCCAATCAGCAGCAGACCCTTCCTCCCAGACCCTCCCACCTCCTGGACAGCATCCATTTTGAAGCTGCATTCTTGGTGAGCTGTCCAGGAGGTGGGAGGGTCTGCTGCTGATTGGCTGGAATGTGTCTGCTGACTGGAGTCCGCGGCGAACCGTTCGGGACATCACTATTGGTCTGTCAATATTATCTGTTTAGTAAAGTAACACAATCCGATGTCTATAGAATCAAACATAGCAATCTAAATTGAAGTACGCTATTAAAGTGAAATATGAATCCTACAACATGCTATATTTACGTCTTACTATTCTCCAGAGCACCGAAATGCACAAAATGTAACATTAATTTTCCAGTACTATGGACTCCTACATGCACAACAGTAACGCCATGCAAAAACATAGATGCTTCATTTTACTTTGCTTAAAGTCACATAATTATTCTTAAAGGGACACTAAGCACCAAAACAACTTTAGCTTCATGAAGTTGTTTGCGTGTTGAGATCATGCCCCTAACAGTGTAACTGTTTCAAAGGACAATCCAGACACTTAATGCACTGTTACCTGCGGAAATGCTTTAATGTGTGAAGAGTGTGTCCCCTTTTTATAACTTACAAAAAGTACAGATTTCAATAGCTTTCAAACGGTGCCGATAAAAGTCCCACGAACATTCTTCTCGACACTTAAGACGGAGGTCCGCACCTTTATTTGGAAGGGCAAATCCCCACGCATAGCGCACACCCAACTGATCTTACCCAAGCTCCGGGGGGGCTTAGCACTCCCAGACTTCGAAAAGTACTACCACGCAGCACACATCACCAGGGTCATCAGCTGGTCGATAGCCAGCGGCACCAAGCAGTGGCCACAACTAGAAGCTGACATAACCAACTGCGACCTCAGAACCCTACCGTGGATCACCAAGGCAGCATATAGAAGCAAATGCATCACCAACCCATTCGTGGCGGCGACCATGCAAGTGTGGCATGGGCAAGGCACGAAACGATACCTCACCACGGACCCAGGCCCGCTCCTACCCCTGAAGGGTAACCCAGATTTTCCGGCTGGAGACTACGGCCCAACGCTGGGCCCAGCAAGATGCAATACGATACCCCGCATAAAAGACGTTCTCCACCAACCATTTGACATCCGGCCACTGGAAGACTTATACCCAGACAGGCCGCACACATTTGCCCACGCACTAGCAAGAACGCAAATTACTCAATATGCTAGATCCATCCCGCAAAAACCTTCCCTACTGAGAGACTTAACGCAATTTGAACTTCTATGCACGCAGGACAGGGAACCTCCTCGTGCCATCTCACAAATCTACACTATCTTAATCACGAGCAGATATCTACTAGCACCCCCGTGCATCAGAAAATGGGAGGAGGACCTTGAGGAACCTATGACAGACGCGGACTGGGACAAGAGCATTACCCTAATACAAAAGACTCCGAGCTCGGCACGCTCCCAAGAAAACTCTTACAAGATCTTTACTAGATGGTATCTGACGCCAACGGCGCTACACGCCAGAAACCAGGAACTCGAAGACACATGCTGGAGATGCGGGGAGGAAGCTGGTACGTTTATACATATATGGTGGACGTGCACTCGCATCAGACCGTTCTGGGACAGAATTAGGACAATCATACACGAGGTCACGGAGGAGCTCCTGCCACAGTCCCCAGCCGCCTTCCTCTTACACCACACCACCATGGCGACACAAACATACAAGAGATCGGCTATCCCTCGACTTCTGAATGCAGCTAAGGTGACCATCCCCATCTTCTGGAAACAGACCAGCACACCTCCCATAAAGAGATGGATAGAGGAGGTGGAAGCCACGAGATCATTCGAGGACTTGAAAGCAGAAACCCCGAACCTCAGGGACCGATATACCAAACGCTGGTTCCACTGGATGAGACTGATCTCATCAGACTCCTTCCGGCACCATCTAACCACACCGTAACTAGTGGCAGGAGGAAGGGACCTAGGGAGACACAGGAGGCGAAAAGATGACGACGGGGCACAACGAGCCGGGCGGGGGACAGGGGGCGGGACACAGGACACATGGCCCACCCGACCCGATCCCACACACAGACGTCACAGCGACTGCCACTGCTGACTAAGACAGCCACGACGCCCGCAGACATGATGGCATACACGTGCCACACACATAACCACCGGCCAGGCCGCAACCGCTCGAGGGATGGCTAGGTATACAGCCCTCACATGAACAGATGACAGATAACACGCCGCACACTAGACCCACTACTTTGCCGCACCTTACCTCTGGACGAACAAGACATAGAATGACTGCAAAATCAGGTGACAGACCAGACAATGGAGTCACAATGACAGAGGGCCAAAGGTGTCAGACACATCACTCGAAGTAACACACGATCACACATGCACGACACAGACACGAGAGACCACGAATCACATACACGCAGACCACGCCAACAGACCGCTCCACATCATCGGACACCACTGCAGGACATATACGAGACGTCAAATACGACAGCAGAGAACTCATACTCTGACGTAAGGACATGACAGAGTTGTTAACCTCGCGACATAGACACAGGTCGATAGACATTTAAGCCGGAGAGGAGGGGAAGACATAGCCGACACAACACTGAACGTAACCCAAGCAACACACATCACACATGCAACATGCACACAACGGAGGAGACGCAACGACTGACCCAACTCACGTGAACAACGCTAAAGGGCCAACACTAACTACAGCGGCTACAGTAACTGACCACCCCAAAAAGATACATTGCTCCATGCAACATAGTGAGGGACCACATCCTACACTAATATAGGTATAGGCAAACACATACAGAGAAACACCCTAAGGGTCGTTACAGACCTGTTCAAGCACTACCGTGTCGCTCACGGACAATACCTAACCACTACGCTTCTCCCCAAGATATACACTGATACAGCGACTATTTAAATGCAGTTACGCAACACACAACCGGGTCTCGCAAAGGCAACAAGACGCCAGCTAGATACAAAATGTTGACTACAACCACAATGTTTAGGATGTAATAAGTTAGTGAGGTTGCCTGTACACCGCACTGTTATTAGAGCTGACACATAGTCTGTTCCCCCTACTCTATATGCTTACTCTAAAACGACATACAGACGCCTAGAGGGTAAATGCCTAAAAATTTTACTGTATTAAACGCTATACAACATCTGGCGGGTACACAAAGCCTCTGCGAAGGCCACAACCTGTGAACCTGTTCATGCAAATATAACCGGGCCTCCACGCAGGCACGGACCCGCCACTTTAACACTACGTTTGCAATGTAATATGCTAGGAATCTAACAACTAGATGCCACGGATAAGAATATATGGCACATAGCAACGAAAGGTGAACAACAATGTCACGCTAAACGGTCCTCTGCGCAGGCAACCGAATGTTTCCACCGTTATAAATTGATGCTTAAGCCCCTGCGCGGGCAATCACTTGCTTCGTTATTTGACAAAACAGTTTGATACATGCATCCATGTTATGAATACAATAAAAATATTTAAAACAGATTTCAATAGCAATTTGCACTTTTATAAATTAACCTAGTTACGCGCCTGCTGGGTTTCAAGCAGACAAAAGGTTTGGTTAGCTCAATGGGGCTAAACTCAAGAGGCTAAAATTGCTCAGAACACCTGCCTTGCAAAGACTTCTCATTGAGCTGCACTGGGAAGTCTGTGATTGGACAGCCACAGAGAATATAGGTTTTGACAAATGGCTGCCTATGAATTGAGCCAGGTGAGTTTCTAGTGCAGACATGTCAAACCGCAAATGATTCTCAAGGCCAGCTAAACTGGGCAAAAACAACTGAAGCTGCATTCCTCTTATTTAAAACACACCCAATCAGCAATTATAAAACTGTATTATTACATCAGCATATATTCATCCTAGGCAAGCTAAGTTTTTTAAACTCAAGTTCCATTTGTAATAAAAGCTATATCTTCCAAGTGCATACATGTATGAATAATTGCTACTGCTTGCATAAGGGCATATAAACTGCTGGAATAATGAGCAGCTGGTCTAGCCTGTTACATGTAAAGTGGCTCTGTCACGTCTCAGCAATTCAAAATGACAATTTTATGAAATACTGATGCTGAATGTGTTGCAATCAAAAGATACTATATGGCAAAGAAGGGACTGTTTTGTATTATGGTAAAACCAGAGGCTGACAAAAGGCAGAGCTCTGCCATCAAGGTTTGTCCAAACCCAGCAGCCATCACAAGATGAATTATTGTCGCGTTTTATCATTGAAACGTCAGATTGCATTACACTTAACTATGAGTGATGGTGAATTACACACCATAAAGCCGAAATAAGGTGTTGGGGACTTTTAACCTGTAATGGGAAGCAGGTCTGTTCTTCTCAAACAGGGCTGAATGTAGTTATCTGAAACTCTCAGCCAATCGAAGACTTCCATCACTGCTCAGGCTAATGTTTCCTCATTAACACAAACAGCACAGAGGGGATTGGTTCCTGGCGATTCTTTAGCATTAAAGGACTAAAAGTGTAATGATGGATGGATTGTCATGGCCAAGGGACTAAGGACAATAGGGAATCGACCGATTATCGGTCTGGCCGATATTCTGTATTTTCAGCAAAATCGGTATCGGCTAATAAAGATACCGATATTGCAGACCAGGGCCGCCATCAGGGTCCTAGGAGGCCCGCAGAAGTCCTGAGGGGTCCGGCACACTCTTACTTACCTTCCCAGCAGCCCCCTGTCAAACTCTTGCGGCCATCAGAGCGTTGCCACGGGTTACCGCGGCAACGGTCCGCGCGGCCGAGAGTTAGACAGGGGAGTTGAAGGGAAGGTAAGAGTGTGCTGGGCCCCCTCTGCACAGTCCATGCCACCGGACCACCAGGGAATCACATACCCCAATCCCTGGCCAGGTAAGAAGCGAGAGGGAGGACTAAAAAAAAAAAAAAAAAGTTGAACATTTTTAGATTTATTAAAAGAAAATTAAAAAAATGTAACCCCACAACCCCATTTTACACACTTAACATACCTACACAAACACACTACACAAACACACACTGCATTCATTCACTATATACACACACACACACAAACACACACACACACACACACTGCATCCACTAATCAAATAATCTCTCACAAATTTGCTTAAAGTGCTGATTTCAATGGAAATGGACACTTTCATGAATTCACCTGGTTACACCCCCCGACTTTCAATCAATTTTTTAAATTCCTGGTTTGGTTAGTTCTGTGGAGCTAAACTCAAGAGGCAGCAATTGCAGAGATCACCTGTCTTGCAGTGACTTCTCATTGAATTGCATTGGGAAGTCTGTGATTGGACAACCACAGACAGTCTATGTGAGGTTGGTGGGGAGAATTTGCAAAAGCTGCAGACAAGAGAAATTACGTTTTTGCAAAAAAAGGTTTTTAGACATACCCCCAATGAAAAAAATAATACACAATTTAAAGCATGCATGCTGTCATTTGGAGCATATCTACTAAACAGTGCTTTGATTCATTTGGTATTTGGACAGTAGAGTGTAACTTTAAATTAGTGTTTTTAATAGAAGCTTGAATTCAGCACAGACTTCAGATTTCAAATTATTTAATACATAACTGGATGTTAATAAGTTTGTAAGATCGTTTGTTTTGAAAACAAACGATCTTACAGTTTGATTTAATACAATATGAAACATTTGAGTATCAGGATTTGGAACAGGGTAATCATGATATTGAATCTAATGTTCAGATAGGACACGTAATGAATAGTAATATATCCTATTGCCCACTGTGGAGAAGGCCCATCTAATGCCGGCTCAGAGTACATGCATACTTCTTGGCGAGAGAGGTTTTTTTTTGTTTGTTTTTTAAGTTGGCAAAAGTGCATCAGAGGTAGGTGTGAGGTAAAAGCTGCACTCTGCTTACAAGGAGCAGGATTCTACACGAAAAATGTACACAGAATTGACACTGGCAGCCCAGAACAAGTCACGCATGCTGGAGTGAAACTAGCCCCCAGCACACAAGTGCAAATATCTCACAGTATGTGCAGTATTACAAGCTGAAACACTGCACATTCATACTCCTACCAGCATGACCACTGTATGTCACTGACATGGTCATGGTGATTGGAGTACCCCTTTAAGAAAACAGTTATTTCTGGAACAATATCATTAGCCTTTGAAAATAATTGTAAAAAGGGAAATAAAAATCAACCCAACATCCAATAACAGGCCTTTACTAGGGGTGATAGACAGATTCAACAAACATTGAAAAGGGATCTCACTGAACTGGCAGTCATGGCCAGTAATTTAATCTGAGCTCTGAGCCAGTAAGGCAAAGGACGTAGATTGGTGGTGTGGACAACAGAGGTAGAGAGGGAATATTAAAAATAAAAAAAGCGATCACTAACCACTGTAGGGAGGCTGGGAATACAAAAAATAAAATAAAAATAAGGGCACATTAAAGATACACTTTAATGTGCCCTTTTTTTTTTTTTGTATTCCCAGCCTCCCTGCAGTGGTTAGAGATCGCTTTTTTATTTTTAATATTGAGAAATGCTTTCCTATGGACACTTTGAATGCGCGCGCAGCACTTGCTGCGCATGTGCATTCGGCTCCGCTGATGTTGGCGGGGGAGGAGAGGTCATGGCGCTGGATTAAGGTAAACATTTTTAACCTCTTCAGCGCCACAGGAGGAGTCCCTGAGGGTGGGGGTATCCTCAGGGCACTATAGTGTCAGGAAAACCGCTTTGTTTTCCTGACACTACAGTGATCCTTTGAATTAGGATCCTGATCTAACCCCATGTTAAACTTAATGCACATATAAAATTATTATTTTGGTGTCTTTAGAAAAAAAGTACAATTTGTACAGCGGGCGAGAAATTACTGTTCTGATATCACAACTCTTTTCATGCAGAGTCATTTCAAAATCAGCATAATGCTTCAGACAGGGCTTTCCTGACTGCTCAGATGACTATGCTGTGGATAGTTAATGAAACAAAGATCAAATCAACTGCCTCTCAATTGACACAAACAACAAATATCTATCTATATCACTTGATAAACTAAAATGTCCTTTCTAAGATACATATAATTTTAACCTGACCACAGCCCTTCACGATTCTTTAGTGAAAAGCATGCAGGGTACTTTTGAAATGGAGTCAATCAAGTTGTCGCTAACGAGGTCCCTTTTATAATTTCAAGTCAAAACACAATGCAATGTGTCAAGAGAAGTTCTTTGGGAAAACGATTCCAGGCCAACCACCAAGTTAACCAACAAGGTCAATATTGTATGCACTTACCACCAGACTCATCAGCTGTCTGATACTAGTGGAAAGTAAGACAGCATTTAAGTGTAGGGAAGTATAGCTCGGGCAGTACCAGGATTTTCTCTCTTATCTACATAAAACTAATCAATCTTGAACGCTAGCTTTACATAGTTACAAGAGACTTGCGTCCATCAAATTCAGCCCTCCTCTCATCTGTTTTCTGCTGTTGATCCAAAAAACAAAAACAAAAAAAAACCCCAGTTTAAAGCGCTTCCAATTTTGCAACAAACTTTAAAGGGAATGTAAACACAAATAGGTGTGGTAGTAGTTGGCGCTTATAGGAAATTATACAGTGATAGTAATTTGATTTTTAGCTGTTGTAAACACTCTGTGGGTACTCCCAATACCCCACCATAAAGTAAAAGACACCAAAGAAAAAGATAACTAGAGGTCTGGTTGATGTTTCCACCTTCCAAGCCTCTAATTGGAGTGCAGCGCTATACATATCTATACAGGATAGGTATTTGAGTACATACACATGTAACTTACCCCTCTTAATAGACTTATTAGGGGGTGTACATGAAAAGCAAAAAAGAAATATAGAGAATAATTGTGCAGTATTGTATATATACAGAATATTATTATTGTGTGTGAGTTAGATCTACTCACATTTATTAGAGCCTTTTTAGATATTAGGCTCTAAACTTCTAGACAGCTTAACCCCTTTAGTTCTTCAAAATTCTTACTCCTCTCCACTCCACAATGTATGTATGTGAGAAAAGAGACTCAAGGTGTAGTATCCACGGAAATCCTCTTTTGATAATATACAAAAAAGAAGAAAAAGGGGTGCACACCTTTTTTAGAGCCTTTTAAGCACTGGCTCTAAGTTTGCAGGCTTAGTGTCAAATTGGGGTGACACTTCCCCTTACCGGAAAAAGTGCAGGATGCAATAATAAGTATTTCTAAATTTATTACTTAACATGAATAAAATATAGCTTAAACTACAGCTTATTGCATTTGTTCTGGTGAGTAGAATCATTACCTTCAGGCTTTTTGCTGTAAGTACTGTCTTTTCAGAGAAAATGCAGTGTTTACATTACAGCCTAGTGATAACTTCACTGGCCACTCCTCAGATGGCTGTTAGAGATCCTTCCTGGGTCATGGCTGCCTAAAATGCATCCAAACATTCAGTGTCTCCTCCCTCTGCATGCAGACACTGAATGCTGGCTCTGCCCCTGATCTGCCTCTTGGTCAGCCTCAGCCAATCCTATGGGGAAACACTGTGATTGGATCAGGCTACCACTTTTGATGATGTCAGCAGACTGCTTGTTTTTCTGAGTCAAACAGCATGCAGAGCTAGGCTTCAGGCTTGAATACACTAAAATTTTGCTATATTTATGCAGGCATGAGGGGTTCAGGGGGTTAGATGGTGGTTTTAACACTATAGGGTCAGGAATACATGTTTGTGTTCCTGACCCTATAGTGATCATTTAATGTCACTTTTATTCTGAAACAATTGAACGGCTGTTAAATTTAACAAAGTTATGGTTTGGCTAAATCTCTGAAAATAAAGTTTGCAAGTACAGGTACTGGTAAAAAGAATGGCTTAGTGAGGTACTTGGATGAAAGGAAAAAAAAAAAAAATCTGTTCAATAAAATAACATCAATTTATAAGATTCTTCCCAAAACTGTCTTGCACAACATTAAAATGGTTTGCGGTTATTGAGTCATGTCTCAAAATGTTTGGCCAATACGTTGACAAATAGAATGATTCAGCAGCCCCACTAAAATTATAAAATATACACACTTACTATTTTGCAACAAATCTACAGGTTCTGTTCATTATGGAATTATGTTTATTGAACCAGTAAACAGCAGGAATCATCCAATATCAGTGAACTTGAGGGAACTTTATGTCACCTGCTACCTAGTCTCTCTTTTCAGGTAGGAAGTATGAAGCTGCAAGATGGTACTCAGCTACAAACGATGTTGATCTTTCTTAGCAAAAATCATGCTTTAGATATGGAGGAGAGAAAACAAAAAACTTTAAGATGCTACATGAGGCTTCTTACACCTACTGGTTTGGGTATGCCTTAGGAAAAAAAAAGTGACTTTAAAAAGTTTTAATTAATTTTATGTTAACAGGAATGTGTTACATTTTACAACACTATGTACTTCAGTGAAAGGAGGTTGCTTGCAACATTACAATAATACAAGAACAGCTTGGCCATGGCTTTCCGTTATGTGTGCTCCAAGTGTCTGTATTACAATGAAATGATCGAAGTAATCATAATATTGCATGTCACCATTAATATTAGTAGGAGTTTATATATTTGTGCAAGACGTGACGTGTGTATTTAATGTTGTAATTGGAAGATGTGCACACACACACCACATTGATTTTAGCCACACATACCTTCAATGACACGCACAGCTTTCAGAACTTGTTATTGTGATCCTGCTCGTTTTTCCCATCTATAACAGTTTATAGTGTGCCAAAACATTTTGCGAAGGGTATTACGTGCAGGTACAATGATGTACGTATGTTAATAACACACTGTTACAGAGGCCAAACATTGAACAGAGTTAAGCGGTATTTTACCGTAACTGGTAAATCATAAGTTTAGACGAAATGGAAGAGAAAGGGAGGGGTGTCTAGCTTATACAAGCATATAATGTAACGCAAACGATGCATAACACCATGCATCAACGTCACAGCTCTGTTGTGTAACATATAAAGCTCTGACTTCTAAAATGGAGATAGTTCTCCAGTGTTACACTAGAGAGGACAAATCACTACTTGACATAATACCAATAATGGATAAAAATAAAATAAAAATAAAGCAATTTATGTGCAAAGTAAACTCTTTAACCCCTTTTATATGCAGCTTGTTAAATGCATTCCTCAAATTACTCACAACATCTATAGAAATATACAAATTCCAGGACACAAGCAGCAGTGGTTATTTAAAAGAACATTCGAAAACACTAAAAACCAATGCTGATTTCTTAGGTCCACAGAGTTCAGATGTGGTACGATTTCTATTAGGCAGAGCAGTTACACTCACCTAGGTAATGAGTGGAACAACACTGGGGATTGAATAATGTGCCCCATAACCCGCTATTGAATGGAGATTTATGCTACAAGGTGCGTGCCACGGAGAGGAATGAGAGGCTCAGGATGATTGTGAAACTTATTCCTGTACAGACAGGGCCTGCCGGCTGCTTCTAATGGAAATTATTTAGCAGAAGAAGCAGCAAGAGTATCTTTGTTACCTATTTTTTTTGACACAATTTTTTAATTTTATCAATGTAATGCATTACAAAAAAAAGGGTAACTTCAACTCACAGAGTATCTGCTTAAATAAGTAATGAAAACACAAAATGACATGCAAACCCATGCACAAAATAAATGCTGCATTACTGGAATAAATGCTAACCATCATGTAAGTAGTTCAGATACTGTGTGAATTTGGAAAATGCAAAGTAAATTCAAAATTTTACACCAAAACAACCAAACTGGAAAGTTAAAGGGACTCAATAGTCACCAGAACTACTACAGTTTATTGTATTTGTTCTGGTGAGTAGAATCATTCCCTTCAGCCTTTTGCAGTAAACACTGTCTTTTCAGAGAAATTGCAGTGTTTACAGTACAGCCTGGGGATAACTTCACTGGCCACTCCTCAGATGGCTGCTAGAGATGCTTCCTGTGGCAGTGCTGCAGTGTTCCTGACATTCAGTTACTCTGCCCTCTGCATGGAGACACTGAACTTTCTATTTTTTCTCTGCCTCATTGACAGTCTCAGCCAATCCAATGGAGAAGCATTGTGATTGGCTCAGACCACCACATCTGATGATGTGAGCACATGTACGTGGCAGAGGCAGCATCTGCAGACTTGAATGCAAGTAAAATTTCACTTTAAGGTAAGGAGGGCTAGATGGTGGTTTTAACACTATAGGGTCAGGAATACACATTTGTTTTCCTGACCCTATAATGTTCTTTTAACCTTGTTTTCAGTATGCTACTTTGACCTATAATTGGAAATTCACACTTTAGTGAATAGCTGTTTGGTATCTTAGGTCAGCTGCTACCTCATGTATACCTCTGCAATGTTTGGATGTATAAAAAAAAAAAAAAAAAAGTCTTCTTATTTTGTTACATAGTATTCAATGGTACATAAAAGTATGTAGTGGTTTACAATATTCCATACTTTGCACAACTCTTCGATAACATCAATTTGGATCTAGTTGATTAATTTCCTTTCATAAGCCAAATTAAGTTAAAGAACACTCAAATCACCAAAAACACTACAGCATAAGACCAATTACCTGGAATCTGCCAGTCAACTCCTCCATGAGAGCAATCCTTTCTAAAGATTAAAGCCCTGCCACTATAATAGGTAAAATGAAAAGCAGTGGAAAGGCCTTAATATTTATTTGCCAAAATAAAACACTACTACTGCATTTTGTAACATGTTTCAGCTCTGATTGGGAATAATTGTGGTTTTAGAATTCCGATAAGTAAACAAAGTAGATTTAAAATACTGCACATAATGCTTCCATCACCTTTGATTGCTTATGAAAGAGGCAGTCTAAGCATTAGCACCCCATGTTCTGTGACAAACTGCAACTGATTTGATAAAAACTAGGGTCCCAATCCGTCTTACTCTGTATTATTAGTGTGGAAGTTCTGCAATAACACTATCAATTTATGAGAAATTTGGACAGCCAGTGGCTAAGCAAGTCAGCTGACGTACTAAGCCTTCCAATGCCAACCACATATCAATGACTTTGATTTTACTAACTTAGGCAATATGTCAAAAAGAGGCTGTTCCGCAACTAATTGTGAGAGGGGCTGATCTTATTACCCCTTGAAAAATTGGGATAAACCTGACAGAGGAGCAGTTACAGCCACTGGTAAGGGCAAGAGATGTCCATCATCTCCTGTTGTTAGTACCCCTGGTAAGGGTAGGCGATGCCTGTTATTACCCATGGCAAGGGTAAGAGATGCCTGTTATCACCCCTGCTGAGGGTAAGAGATAGCTGTCAGACCTGATGTTATTACCCATGGTTAGGGTAAGAAATGGTTGATGTTATTACCCCTGCTGAGGTTCAGGGATGGTTGTGAGAGCTGATGTTATTGCCCCAGGTGAGGGTAAGAGATAGCTGTCAGACCTGATGTTATTGCCCCAGGTGAGGGTAAGAGATAGCTGCCAGACCTGATGTTATTGCCCCAGGTGAGGGTAAGGGATAGCTGTCAGGCCTGATGTTATTGCCCCAGGTGGGGGTAAGGGATAGCTGTCAGGCCTGATGTTATTGCCCCAGGTGGGGGTAAGGGATAGCTGTCAGACCTGATGTTATTGCCCCAGGTGGGGGTAAGGGATAGCTGTCAGACCTGATGTTATTGCCCCAGGTGGGGGTAAGGGATAGCTGTCAGACCTGATGTTATTGCCCCAGGTGGGGGTAAGGGATAGCTGTCAGACCTGATGTTATTGCCCCAGGTGGGGGTAAGGGATAGCTGTCAGACCTGATGTTATTGCCCCAGGTGGGGGTAAGAGATAGCTGTCAGACCTGATGTTATTGTCCCAGGTGGGGGTAAGAGATAGCTGTCAGACCTGATGTTATTGTCCCAGGTGGGGGTAAATGACATACAGCTGTTATTGCCAAAGGTGGGGGTAAGGGACGTACAGCTGTTATTGCCCCTGGTGGGGGTAAATGACATACAGCTGTTATTGCCCCAGGTGGGGGTAAGGGATAGCTGTCAGACCTGATGTTATTGTCCCAGGTGGGGGTAAGAGATAGCTGTCAGACCTGATGTTATTGTCCCAGGTGGGGGTAAGAGATAGCTGTCAGACCTGATGTTATTGTCCCAGGTGGGGGTAAATGACATACAGCTGTTATTGCCAAAGGTGGGGGTAAGGGACGTACAGCTGTTATTGCCCCTGGTGGGGGTAAATGACATACAGCTGTTATTGCCCCAGGTGGGGGTAAGGGACGTACAGCTGTTATTGCCCCTGGTGGGGGTAAATGACACAGCTGTTATTGCCCCAGGTGGGGGTAAGAGATAGCTGTCAGACCTGATGTTATTGCCCCAGGTGGGGGTAAGAGATAGCTGTCAGACCTGATGTTATTGCCCCAGGTGGGGGTAAGGGATAGCTGTCAGACCTGATGTTATTGCCCCAGGTGGGGGTAAGGGATAGCTGTCAGACCTGATGTTATTGCCCCAGGTGGGGGTAAGAGATAGCTGTCAGACCTGATGTTATTGCCCCAGGTGGGGGTAAGAGATAGCTGTCAGACCTGATGTTATTGCCCCAGGTGGGGGTAAGGGATGTACAGACCTGATGTTATTGCCCCAGGTGGGGGTAAGGGATGTACAGCTGTTATTGCCCCCGGTGGGGGTAAGAGATAGCTGTCAGACCTGATGTTATTGCCCCCGGTGGGGGTAAATGACATACAGCTGTTATTGCCCCCGGTGTGGCTGGGAGGGGCCCGCTCTATGTACCTGCTCACAGTATCCTCCGACCAGCTGCTTCATCCTCCAGTGCGGCGCCGTGAACACGTCCACCTCGTCCGGGAAGGGAGCCATGTTCCCGTCTCCATACAGCGGTGCGATGCGCACTCACTCCATCCGACTCACAATAACAACACCAGCAGCAGCACCGACCCACCTCCTCCTCCTCCTCGTTACAACTGCGCAACGGCGGCCTACCTCACTGCGCATGCGCAGAGCGCTCACGGCCCGGCGCACAGCCCCGACTGCGCATGCGCTGGTCAGAACGCGAGACCCGACCACATTGCGTCATAGCCTCGTACATAACGAGCCCGCACAGCCTTTTACTGCGCATGCGTGAATGAAAAAAAAAAACAAAAAAAAAAAAGAAGCTGATCGGCATGACTGGCGGACTTTACGTTTGCGCATGCGCAGAAAGCTTGAGCCGTGACAACCCTATACCCAAACAATATATATAGGAGTTACTGGAGTTAATAGTAAATTGGTGTTAACTATTGTCTTAACTGCTAATTATTAACTCTAGCTTTTAGTGACTTGACTATATCAAAGTCAGTTTTATATAGAGTTGAATTTACTTATATGTCTTGAATGGACCCTTTATAATAAATAAAAAAATATTATAATTTATAAATTGTAATAAATGAGATCCTTTTGGGTTATTCACTAAGCCGAGGTTTGCCAGGACGTAATCAATGAACTGCAAATGTTATGTCAAAATAATGTGAAAATAAATATTAAAACATAAGCAGAGTTATTCGCTAAAGTGAGAATTCAAAGCGAATTTCACATTCAAGGTCAGAGTTGCTGAACTGGAAAAAGTCTCAAAGTCAGCGTTGCTTCAAGTTCAGCGACTTTGGCCTACAATTTGAAATTCGACTTGAATTCTGACTTTAGTTAATAACCCTGTAAATTGAGGACATTGTGCACTTGGGATAAATTATATGGCGTTTCAACTCGTACCTGAGGGTAGAAACAGGACTTATTAGTTATCATCCTGGCACTTTTTATCACATGTGCTTGGATGATAAATCTCCTATATAGATGGGCACGTTGGCAGGGTAGCTATAACCCCCATCCACCGCCAGCCCACTCCCAATCGCAGAACTGCTGAATTTGCCATGCTTTAGAAGTTTAGCCATATAAAATTAAATGGTGATCCAAGAGGCATAACATAATTAAATAAGCTAATGTTCTGGCTGCAGAAATGACCACAGAGACTGTCGGCTTTCAAACTCTGTCTGACCCAAGGTGTATGTGTATGGCTGAAGGATCCGGTCATATACTAAAGGTAGGGATAGAGTTAGATACACATGACCCATGCAAACTAGAAAAGGCTCTTTCCTCCCAGGATGCATGCACAACACATTCAACACTGAACCACTTATGTATAAACTGAATGCTGCTGCAATAATTTTTTTTTTACCAGATTTACATTAGTTCCCTTCATCCTATCTGATGATTGGAACTGCTCTTTCCACTTACACTGCTTATTCAATAATTCTCTTCTGGACAGAATATTATAAGGTAAAATCAGCCCCATAAACCAGAATAAGCAGAATAAGACACTGCTGATTGGAGCAGTGCACCAAGGCTCAACTCTGGCAGTCAACGGGTTAAGCAAATTTGACACGTTACCTTTATGTAACTGCAAGTCCTTGTATATGGATTCAATCTTGCCTCTACCTACATAAACCCAATAGACGGGTATATTAGTTCAACTGACCTGCTCTAACATGTAGTTAGGAATAGGTTACACAAGGGGTGTGACAGGTGTAACCATAAACATAATAGGATTTTTTGTTTACAGAAAAGAAATGCAGTTACGTCACTAAGAAGGTTATTTGCTGAAATGTGAATTGTTGGTATTCAAAATAAATTCACTAAGGCTGGCGGAGCTAAGCAACCGAGAGGGAAAGTCGCATGGAGCATGAGCTCCGACACAACCAAGTTCAAACTTACCAAATTTACACATTCAGCATCACCCAACCCACACTATAATAGCCCACTGAACCGACAAGTACCAGAGCGTCATGATGGGGCGAAAATCAAAGAAGCCCAAGCAGGATAGCCCGAGACGGGGCCAAAACATAGCTGAGCTGCTACGCCAAACACAGGGGGCTTCAAGGCCTAAAATGGCTGCTTATCTGGAAATCTACCCTGAATTCTCCGATGACTTCTCTTCGGGAGATGACGTAGCAAACCTCCCGGTGGAGCCAATACCAAAACCAGCTACTCAGAAGGCTGATACCTCACCGGTGACGACGGCGGTGCTAAAATCACTGCTCGCTGACCTCCAACGTACCCTCCAATCGGACGTGGCGTCCCTACGGGCTGACATCCAAGGCCTAACGGGGAGAATAGGAACCCTGGAGATGGAATCCACTTGCCACGCTGCCCAAATAGCAGCTCTTCAACTGGAGGTACAGGGCCTCAAAAGCCAGAACGAGGAACATGAGCGCCGGTTTGCGGCAATCAAAGATGCAAGGCCGGCTAATAACCTAAAAATCCGGGGCATCCCGGAGGACACCCCAACAGATGAACTGCCACACATGCTGAGGCGCCTGCTTACGGCCCTGCTACCGCCGTGACATGCCAAAACAGCACAGCTGGATGGCTTCTTCCGAGCCCCAAAACCAGCTCAGGCACCCACCGCAACACCCAGAGATCTCATCATCAAATTCCACCGCCACAAGGACAAAATGGTGGTCGTGGCGGCGACCAGGGGAACCTCAACTTACCAGTTCGTGGTGATCGATCTAACATGGACCTAACTGGAAGCACACTCACCTGGAGACGGTCCCTCGGGCCATTCACCATGCTGCTGAGGCAGAAAAACATACCCTACAAGTGGCTGATGACCCAAGCCTTATGGATCCAGAAAGGAGAAAACAAGCACACAGTATGCACCCTCACAGAAGCAGCGGCACTGTTACCCGTCCTGGGGCTACCGATGGAATCACCACACCCCGCTGAAATCCAAAGCGCTGCCACCTCGACGCACAAATGGAACCCTGACCGGGTGACCCCATTTGTCCCACGAGGCCCGACCTGGGAACAATACGAATTGGCAACAAACTGGAATCTGCAGGAGAGAGCCACCACCCTAAGGACATTGATCTAAAGCATAAGTCTTATAATTTCTTAGATCCGTTAATTTCTCAGTTTTCAACGTTACTCTTAATGTTTTGACGCTACCATGACGACCAAGCCTACTCACAACCCACCTGACTGAATGGCCTGTGGACCATGAATCACTACCCCCCGCCTGACAGTACTTAAGCAGGGAACACGCAAACCAACCTGACAGAGCCAGGCGCAACACCAAGCAAGGCACCACGCGACACGACACCCCACGACAGGGAACGTGTCACTTAAAAGCAACACTAACTCACATACTTCCCGGGTTAAACCAGGCATACCTGACGGGTCTGACATAGGCTTACCTGCATATTTTGAGAGGGGGGATGTAACAATAAATAGGACAATTACAAGAAAACTTACAGGAACAATAGGTTGAAGAGGACCCTGCTCAAACGAGCTTACAGACTATAGGAGGTGGGGTATTAGAGACATTAGGACAAGAAATATCAAGTAGGAGTGAAGCAGAGCTGGAGGAGAGAGCAAAGCACTGTCCCATAGGAGAGAGCAGGAGACAGGTATGTAAGGTAGAGATTACTCTGGGAGGCCATAAGCTTTCCTGAAGAGATGGGTTTTAAGGCCCTTCTTAAATGATTGAAGACTAGGGGAGAGTCTGATGGCAGTAGGCAAGCTATTCCATAGGAGAGGAGCCACCCGCGAGAGGTCCTGCAAGCGCGAGTTGGCCGTACGGGTGCGAGCAGCGGTCAGGAGGTGGTCACGGGCAGAGCGGAGGGTACGAGGAGGGGCATATCTATGGATTAGTGAAGAGATATAAGTGGGGCTAGAATTGTTCAGTGCTTTAAATGTGTGGGTTAGCACTTTGAATTGACTCCTATAGCATACAGGGAGCCAATGTAAGGACTGGCAGAGGGGTGAGGTGTGAGAGGACCGACTAGAGAGGAAGATCAGTCTAGTTGCAGCATTCATGACAGACTGTAGCGGGGCAATACGGCTTTTGGGGAGACCAATCAGGAGAGGGTTACAGTAATCCATGCGGGAAATTACTAGAGCATGGACAAGCTCCTTGGTAGCATCTTGCGTAAGAAAGGGGCGAATGCGGGCTATGTTTTTGAGTTGGAACCTACAGGACTTGGCAACAAACTGGATGTGAGGCTCAAAGGTGAGACCAGAGTCAAGTATGACGCCAAGACAGCGCGCTTGCAGGGATGGACTTATGTGGATATCACTGAGTTGAAGGGAGAGCGAGAGAGGAGGATCAGTATTAGGAGGAGGAAAGACAAGGAGTTCAGTTTTAGAGAGGTTAAGTTTCAGAAAGCGTGAAGACATCCAGTCAGAGATGGAAGAAAGGCAAGCAGTGACACGTTGCAGGACGGCAGGGGAGAGGTCCGGGGAGGAGAGGTATATCTGAGTGTCATCAGCATACAGGTGGTAGTGGAATCCAAAAGAGGCAATAAGTTTACCTAGAGAGGCAGTATAAAGAGAAAATAGGAGGGGACCAAGGACAGACCCTTGGGGAACTCCAACCGAGACAGGACGAGGGGAGGAGGTATCCTTGGAAAAGGAGACACTGAATGAGCGTTGGGAGAGATAGGAGGAAAACCAAGAGAGGACAGAGTCACAGAGACCGAGCGATTGAAGAGTTTGAAGGAGGAGAGCATGATCAACGGTGTCAAAGGCAGCAGAGAGGTCAAGGAGAATTAATATGGAGTAGTGACCTTTGGATTTAGCGGAGATTAGGTCATTAGTCACTTTGATAAGAGCAGTCTCAGTAGAGTGGAGAGGGCGGAAGCCAGACTGAAGAGGGTCAAGGAGAGAGTTGGAATTAAGGAAGCGAGACACACGGGTAAAGACAAGTCTTTCCAAAAGCTTTGATGAGAAAGGGAGCAGGGATATGGGATGATAGTTAGAAGGGGAGGATGCGTCAAGAGATGTTTTTTTCAGGATAGGTATTACAGTGGCATGTTTAAGGTCAGCAGGAACAGTGCCAGAAGAGAGAGAGCAGTTAAAGATGTGTGTTAGAGTAGGCACAAGACAAGGGGAGAGAGTTCTGATGAGGTGAGATGGGACAGGATCGAGCGGGCAAGTGGTGGGGCGAGAGGAATGGAGAAGCGCAGCCACCTCTTGTTCAGTAGCCGGGTAGAAAGT